ATCTGCAGCTATCTCGTCGAAGACGTCTGCAAACTCAGCATACTCTGCTGGGATGGAAGGAGGAAGTGGAGGGACAGTAGGAGCGGTGGAAGAGCGGTCGGCGGCGCGGGCCGCGACCTCTGAGTGGATAGCACGAAGAAGAATGGGTTCCATACCGGCGTCCTTGCAAGCCCTATTGAAGACTGCAGCACTGACAAGTGCAATGTCTACCTCGGGAGTTTCCAGCTGAGCAGCGAATTGAGAGACCGTAGGGTAAGAGTAGATGGGTTCAAAAGGGAATTTGGACGAAAGGGGCTTGGCCCGTAAAGTCCGAGAGCGAGAGCGAGAGCGAGAGCGAGAGCGAGAGCGAGAGCGAGAGCGAGAGCGAGAGCGAGAGCGAGAGCGAGAGCGAGAGCGAGAGCGAGATCGAGGTGAGTCCCCAGGAGGGGTCTCCAGAATTGTCGGTGGAACCGACGGCGAAAGTTCCGGTAGCGGAACAGCGACCTTTGCAACAACAGTGTTGATAGCAGAAGGCACAGACATCTGTGGAGAATCAAGGTGTGAAGTGTTATGGAACGTAATGTTTCGAGATGCCCAGTCAATCAACAGATTGTAGCGGGATAAGAAACTGTAACCTAATACTGCTTTACAAGATGAATCTAAATGAGTAACATAAAAGGGTAATAGAAGCAGCTCGCCAGAAGGGAACTGAATGGCGATATTCGCCATATCGGTAATGGGTTTAGAAGATAATGAACCATCAAAGAGACGAAGATTAACAGGAGAGATTTTGGTCCCAGGAATAGAATTTTGAGAAACGTAACGAGTATCGATGAAAGAGTCAGTAGAACCAGAATCAACAAGAGTAGGAAATTTAAGAAGAGCAGAGATGGGTTCGGCCGGCGCGGCCGAATCGGATAACGAAAATTCAGTAGTCAAAGATATTACAAGAGATCGTTCAATAGAGGAAAGAGCGGACGCGTTGAGATATAACTCCCCAGGTGAGGTACGAACCTGATCAACGCAGCTCCCGTTTCGTACCGGGGAACAAGAGCTGCGGATTAGTTTTCCGAATCCTCTTCAACAACCTCAATGGTTGCTTCGGGGGTTTCTTCAACCTCGGCAGCGCGGCCCTTCGATTCTCGGGCCTTTCGCTTATTGCAGTCAGCAATCTGATGCTTACCACCGCAGAAGAGACAAAGGTTGTTCTTCATCCTTCTTTCCCGTTCGGAGGGAAGTACTTTACCATCTGCTCCTAGATGGTTGAACGCGGGGCGCTGACCGCCGGATTGGCCGGAATTCGAAGAGTTCTGGGGCTTACCATTGTTGTTAGGCTTGCCACCAGAGAAGGGTTTAGGTTTCGGCGCGAGCGGCGCCGAAGAGCCCGAAGGCTGAGAATTGTTTTGCTGGTTAGTAGAACCAGTCTTGAAGTCCGAGGAACCCTTCTTCGGGTTCCGAGCAATAAAAGGCTTACCAGCCTCACGCTTTCTAGTTTCCTCGCGTTTCCAATAACGATTGTCAATACGAAGAACCTCTTGACGGTAATCGGCGAGCGTCGCCGGCTCGGGCAAACGCGCCATTTCGTCCTTGATGCGTTCAGCTAGGCCTCGTCCATAAGCCCATTTCAGGGCAGCAGAATCCCAGTTGGTACTAGCAGCCAGGGTGTTGAACCGGATATTGTATTTCCGGATGTTCTCGGTTTCCTTCATCTTCAGATTACCGAGAGAATCTTCGGCCTCGCCTTGGGCGTCGTAAACTCCGAAATTATCCTGAAGCTCCTTTACAAGGGCTTTGAAGGAGGATGTCCAGGCCGGCAGCGAGTCGAGATCCGGGTCGAGAATATCAGGGACAAACCATTCTTTGGCTGACCCACTGAGATAGGAAAGGGTATAGTTCACCTTCCGTTGGTCGGTGAAATACTTTGGACGGTCATTGAAGACCAGGGCGAGATTGACGAAGAACGTCTTGAGTTTTCGGGGATCCGAACCGTCGAATACCTCTGGCTCCTTGACCTTACTCTTGGATTCAGAGCTGTCAGAGGGGCGGCCGAGAGCGGCGAGGACGGTACCAAGGGTCTCGATGGAGCCCTTGAACCCCGAGAGGAGTTCCAACATAGCTCGTTGCTCGTTGGGGATGTCAGGAGAGATTGGGGAACGAGGTCCACCAGGTCCACCAGGACCGCCGGGACCGCCGGGACCACCAGGACCACCAGGTCCACTGGGGTCACCAGGTTCACCACGCGGTAAACCGCCGGAATCGTCATCCAGATCGTCATGATTGTTGTCGGCGCCCGGATTGTCGGGGTCGACAGGAGGGTCTTGACCATCGTGATCACCGGTGTCCAAATCGAAGTGAGGAGGTGGGTCACGAGGAGATTCAGAAGCAGCGCGACGTTGGGGTTGTTTCCCCGTACGGCGGGCTATGGCTTGGAGGATTGGAGAATCAATACGAGTAGTTGAACGGCCCCGAGCCGGAGCGACCACGGGGGGTTGTCCACGGCGAGGGGTCAGGACTTGGACAGGTTGTCCGTCACCAGTGTACAATGTACTGTACTCGAATTGTTGTTCTTCTTCCATGGCTTCAGGAAGAGTCGACGTAGTAGGAACTGTAGCTGGACCGAAACCGCGATTACGGCGACGTGGTTGACCAATGGCAGAGATAGAGTCGGAGAATGGGGCAAATGATTGGGCTGTAGTGAAGAAAGTGTTTTCTTCGGAGTTAGCTCTAGATTGAGCTCGAGTTTTCGGAGGCATAAAAAATGATATGTCAGTACGACGTTAACGGATTGAGTTTAATTATACTGTTAAGATCATGTACACCGTGTAACCGTGCCAAAGCTACAAGGTGTCGAAGTGCGGAAGACGAGTGGGACAGTAGTGAAGTTATTAACAACACCGCCGTTACGCCGTTAGTCCCCGGAGAGCGAGAGTAGAGAGAGAGGAACTAAGTAGCAGCCAGGTCGGAGCGGCGGTATCGCCGATGACGAGGAGCGGACCAGAGAACGTCAAAGTCCTAAGGTCGAGGAGAACGTACTTCGAGGCGTTGAGCCTGAAGACTTAGAGAAGAGTTAAGTTGAGAAGGGAGATCTAAGTTGATCTAAGTTGATAATTAAACTGAGGAACTACAGTAGCGTACAGGCAGTATTTATATCTACGGAGCGGCGCAACGGGGCGCAGCGCCAGACTAACTACTAGGAGTTATACGTGTAGTCCTGCAGGGTGAAGTAAAAGACAATAAGGAGGGACTAGAGTGAAAGGGTATGTGTAGCGAGAAAGAACAATAAGGAAGAGATTACAATAAAAGGTAGATCTTCGGAATACCGAGCGGCGGAATGGAGGCCCGAGGCATGGACTTGACACACTTGCATAACCATGGGTCGAGACTAGTTCGTGAGAGGTGACAGACCATATGAGATTGCACACCTACGCTCGCGAGCAATGGCATGATCAAATAAACTCCAACAAGTAAAACAAGTATGTAAAGAAAGACTTGCCTGACTCATAGTATCAACCCTCATTCAACATTCTCCCGGTAGTAGTATTCCGAATCCGAATACATCGATCCCGAACACCCCTGCCAGACGCCAGGATTCCAGAATAGTAAGCATTCCTCGCAAGACCTTTTACAGCTGCCTTGTTTTTCTTGAATTCATACAGAGAAGGTATTCCAGTTGCTTGCTTTCCGCCAATGCTAATACTTGCACGACAGGATTGGAAGCGGCAATCAGGCCAGGATCTCGTGTAGAACTTCGAAGATCCCAAATACAGAGTTTAAAATCGTTTCCACCACTCGTTAAGATGGACGCATGTACTCCACCATCCATACTCCATTTGACATCACAAACCTCACTTTTGTGAGCTCTAGACTCTTTGAACGGTTTGGCACTAGGCTCACGGAAGTCCCAGTGTTTGATAGAGAGATGGCCAGAGCCTGAGGACGTGTGGAGGCGTCGTAGACTTCCAAATGGCCTCGGTAAGTCGCCAAAGCGAAGACTTCAAACAATATACCCACCGTTTGCATTCATGCTAGGGGACTATACTCATCTTTCTCACTTGGGATGGTACATAACGGCGTTGGCTCATCAGTGTCCGCTCTCCGCAGATAGATTTCAAACCCTAAACCAACACCAGTGTTCCTGAAGGAGGCCAATCTAACAAATTGGTGTGAAAGTCGTCCGAAATGTCTGGTGCGTCCAGTGACTTATACAGTGTTCTTGCAACTTTACGTATGCGAGGACGTGCTTGAGCTATTGGCTTCCGTGTTTGTGGTTGCAGCGGACTGAGTTAGTAAATTTCATCCGTTGGGTCGTTCAAGCGGGAGTACGATTCGGACATCGACTTTTCAGGCGAATGATAAGTGAATACACGACGAGGTATGTTTGGAGAGCGAGTCAGTTCAGATTGAAGCACGGTCTTGTATAGGTCATTTGCGTGATCTGCGTATGATCAACCTCAGCTCCTCTCGAGTACGAAAGAATGGTCTCGGCGTACCTTTGACCTGGCCCAGAGACGCACTTGGTGCGCACGGACGAGTTTCGTCGCCCAAATTGTAGGATACCTGAATGCTATTCTCCTGGAACGGAACAAATATATCTACGATTTCGAAGCTACATCGTGTTTTGAGTTTGAGGCGTTTTACATGTAGGCTCCCGGTATGCGTCGCAGTCTTGAACAGCATCCTGACCTTCCTAGATGGCAATCTTGTAGTAGGAGGTTCAAGATTAATACGGCAACGTTTTCGGTCTGGCTGAGTTTTCATTTTCAGATTCTTCGTACATAGCGGGCAGCCGCTTCCCAAACCTCGAGTTCTTGAATGATGACATACAGCAAGCTACCAATCTGGGCTGGTTGTTGGGATGAGAGTGGCAACTTGAAGGGCGGTGATCATAATCCTAGGCGTGGTAAGTCACCTGACCGCTTTTGTTTGCTTAGGGGTTATAGAGTTATATTATTGTGTTGCAGATTGGACTACGTTCCATAGCAAGTGGGTCAAAGCCCTCAGCCGTATTCTCTTTCTCCAGGTCATACTGTGCTAAGACCGTTGGCGGCTTGTCCTATCATCCTTCCCCGAAGACCGGCCATACAAACATACACTTCATTGGGGAAATCGGGCGCATGCGAGACTTGTGCCTGCAGTCGAGTACCAATGAAATGCTTCAAAGGTTCATCGCCCCGATCCATCTTCTCAATCAGACTCCTGAGCCTGATCAGATGTACGCGTCGCTCCTGAACCCCATTTTCTCCCAGAGCCTTCATCCCTTCCAAGCCCTGCATCTGAACAGCATCCAACCACAATTTTTGCTTCCACTGGTCCTCCACGAAATCAGGACCAATTGCTCGGGTTACACTCTGCCAAAGTCGAGTCCATCTTCTACAACTTAAGATGTGCCGTAGGGCAATCTGGTCAGCAGGAAGATTGATTCGGCCTATCTCTGAATACGGCCCCACGCTAAGAACTTCGAGGCCAGGATAGGAGCGACATGTCCAATCTGGAATGCAGTACTTGATATAATCAAGCCTCACACCCAAATCAAATTTCGGCAAGTTCTTCTTGGGCTCCAAGTAGGCTTCCAAAGAGTTCACTGTAGATGATGATTTGGTAGGCAGCGCGGTCGGATTCAGTTTGGAGGGTAGCTGGTTCGGAGACTCCACCATTCCAAAAGTTGTCGGCTTGATACCACTGTTCTCCAGCCATTTTGTCGATCTTGTCAGCTAGAGGATTGATGATTGAGAAACGGGCTGAATGGAGGCGACGTATATCCTTTTGTGTTAATCCAGCCTTTTCGATACACAGCTCCAGTAGCCCCTCAACACCGCTTTGAAATGCAAGACGAAGTCGTTGGGTATTCTCTGCATTACTCAAAGCCCAATCGCTAATCTGACGGGCAGTCGCAGCGATGAGGAAATGAGGATGTGGCCCTGAAAATGTAGGGGCAGACGCCGCTGCTAGTCTTAAAATACAATTAGGAGAAGTGATAGAGAAGGCGACATAGAGAGTTCGACAAGTAGAGGCTGCTTCTGTGAAGTCTTCGATATTACGGATGAAGAGAGGAAGATATGACAGTATTTCAAGCGGTAAATCGATGAGATTGACCATCGAGCTCAAACACTCCCCAAATAGCGACGAAAACGACGCCTCTGTTGATTAGATGAATAAATAATTCGAGGAAAAGGTGCTGTGACCGTGACATAACCGAAAAAGGAAGTCTGTAAATCTCCTTGCATTCCACTGATGTCGATCGACCTTGAATGGGTAAAGCTTGACTCTACATTATCCCTTACATTGGTGAACATATTGAATAGACAGCTAAGCACAACAGCAAGGCCGTCGTTCATAGGTCCTGTCGAAGTAACCTCCATCGAATTCGGCACAACAGCTCCGGACATCGAGTTAGTCGATCTCCGCGACATATATAGAGACTTTCTCGAAGACAATGAGGACGATGAGAATGAGTTAAAAGCTACTGTGGGCACAGAAGAAGACGACGAAGCCTTTGAATGGGTGTCGCGCAAAGCTGCTCGTCGTGAAGAAGGTCTTGCTTTCCAACAACAGCCGCAATTTGCACGAGGACCAATGAACATGTTCGCTTCTACACCTACCCTCCATTCGCCCGCAATGGAAACTTGGAATCCTTCTCTCTCCAGCTTAGTCGACCACAGACCATCATACGCTTCATGGTCCAGTCCCGGACCATCATCGCCGTTCCGTCAGACGGTGTCCAATAATCCCATTAATTCAAATTTCGTAGTTCCCATCCCCCCATACCTCGGCTTCAATCAAAATATCGTCCAGAATGGCCCTCCACCTTCCTCCAATGAATCATCGCTATCCAACCAACGGGAACCTTCAGAATCCCCTCCTCCTCCTCCTTCTACTGCCAACAACTACCCAAATCTACAACTCCATCTTCATATCAACTGGCATTCCGACCTGCGTATCACCTTGACGACTTCACTGCTGATAAACTACCCTTCACCGATGTTCATGTCCTTACCCATCAAACTCTCCGTGACCGGACTTGTTTTTACGGGTGAACTTGCTGTTGCGTACGAAGGCGAACGCGGACGTGTGCATCTTTCTATCCTGGATGACCTGGACCCCTACGGTCTAGCCGCAGAACGCTCCAAAGGTGATCCGCCTCCCAGTGCGAGCGCTACTCCTCCTGATGACGAATCAGAATCTATTCATCCTCCTCGCCCTGCTAAACCTCTCCCTGTTGGACAGCGACTTCTTCCCTCAATCTTTATTGAAAGCGAGATTGGTCAGACTGATAAACATGTCCTTAAAAACGTGAATCGTGTGGAACGGTTCATTCAGGACGTGATACGGAAAGCTGTGGAAGAGGAATTGGTCTTTCCCAATTTCCATACTCTGGTCTTGAACGGCGGGGGTGGCTAACGAGTCCCGCTTCTAGTCATGAATCTCCTCGCTCTGCATAAGTGAGGTCGTTATCATGCCGGTCAACCATTGACATTGGATGGCTCCGAGAGTTTCCAAGAGCTTGTCGATGTGACGATGTTTTACTACAGAAATTACAAATGTACTTAAGGACTATGTCACGACATAGCATATACGTCGAACGCGTGCTATAATGAACAGGAAACCACGTCAATTTTTTACCATGTCTAGCAACAAATCCAAAGATGAAAGGGAGCAGACCTCGTGTGCTGGAGCGTAACACCAACCAGGGGGAGACATGTAACCTATGCGTCCCTCACAGTTCTAATGAATGACCTCAAAATCTTCCGTGTGGCGTATGCCTTCAAGTCGTCGTATATGCCATCAAGTCGTCGTATATGCCATCCTCATAGCTCTCACTGTCAGTCAGATTGAGGACAGTTGAGAAGACATGAAGATTTCATCTATGGGTCGTGTATGGCCGACCACAAATATTCCTCTGTAATCCCCGAAAATCTTTTGGAAAGAGTTTGAACTACTAGTTGTTTTGGTCTGTGCCACGCATCATGTAGTAGACGGGGCATAGCCGAAGCCTGTAGACGTGGAGGATACAGAACAGTCGCCGAGAGTGCAAAGATTAAAAAGATGAGGAAGTGGTGAAGCTCGGAGCTCAACGGTGCTACATAGTGTTTTCGGTCAGTCGCGTTGCAGACACTGCTACTGCGACGGCGCGTTTCAGGCAAATGCGCTAAACAACTTTTTGAATATGAAGCCTGGGTAACTCAGAACTCCATTCACAATGTAACACATCTCACAAGTTGTAGTTCTGTCTTCTTTCTTTATTTTATTTGCAAGAATCTTCGGGGTCTGCCCGTGCTTTCCTTGTATTTTCTTCTGTATCCATAGGCAGAAAAGGATCGGGAAAGCGAATCCCAAGCTAACGGAACATCCAATGGAGCAGAAAAAGTTATTAATGGCTACATGTAAGCACTCACATCGTTAGCGCATATAGGTACGAAAACTATACAATAAGATGTCGGATCCATATGTGAAAGAAGGAACTAGTCATTCCAGTGAGCCTCATAGTAAAGATTTACTCATATATGGTCCGTCAAGCTCGTAACCCAATTTGCGGTAGTAGTCCCGAGTACCAACACCTATTTCAATGAGTGTTCGCGTGTCTGAACCTGATTACACTGGAAGGAAGATCCTGAACTCACCTGAAATTACGGCCAATTTAATGCTGCCATGTTCTTCCCTCGCGATACGCTCGGCCTCTTCCATCAACAAAGTACCGAATCCCTATAAAAAGAGAATATAGACAAAGTATCAGCATCAAGGGAAGCAAGAAGAGAATACAGTCAGCTTCATCCACCGAAGACTCATCCACCAGAATCCGCCTTCTGACCGAAGAAAAAGCATTTCCCGCTCACCTGATGTTGGAACTTGGTGGGATCCCTTCCATGAACGGGTACTGCCGTCCCATATACATGTAATTCTCTGACGATGCTACACCCCCCTTCGTCACCGTTCTTGCGCACTAATTCCGAACGGAAAGTCCCCTCGTCCGAGCATTTTCTCAATCGCAGTAACCCAACAAGGATATCTTTTTCCGGATCTTCATACGAAAGGAACGTTTCCCATCCACCATTGGCAGTGTAATCGCGTCGCAAGAGCTCTACAGACTCCGGGCGTACTTTATGGTGGATTTCATGAATCTAAGATTTTTTTCAGCTTAGTGAGCGCAGGTAGGTATTACGCGGGATTCGCAGTACTCACTCCGACTTCCCGAAACCTTACGTCTCGACATTCAGCGCCGAAATCCTTCATCCGATTGAGAGCAAGCTCGCGAAGATTGCCAGAGTTATCACAGCCGCTCGTCACTAGAGGTAGCGGGATATCCCTGGTGTACGGTATCAAACGGTAAGTCGAAGCACGAGACACAGTTGACCTCACCTTTGTACCCGGTAAACTCTTGTCCAAGGAGGAACAAGGGCAAGTATTCGTGCGACAACATCCACCAGAACGTTAGGCGTATAATTCTTGTACTTTCCCGTCCGCCAAAGCTCGTATAGTCCCGTACCGCGAATGACCAAAGTGGGATATATCTTCAGACCATCGCTCCTGAAAGCAGGGTTCTCGAAATACTCCTTGAATTGTTCGAGATCACGCTCAATTCCAACGTTGGGTAAGTCAGGCATCATATGTGCTACGACTTTGAACCCTGCATCTTTTGCAAGGTGGAATGATTCAGAAACTGCACGAACGGTATGACCACGATTGGTATCACGAGCGACATCCTCGTATACAGATTGAACTCCAATCTCCAAACGGGTACAACCGTAACGCAGCATTTGACTGAAAATGACCTTAGAATTTCGTTCGACTGAAATGATAGAAATTTGAGAAACACCTCAAGTGGGGCCGTAAGCAATAATCAGGTCGGGTTTCAATGGTGATCCCTATGGCTTTGGATTTACTTTGTTCGGAGTATCTGTGCGTATAGTTGCAAAAATCCGGACTGACAGAAGAAACAGTCTAAATTTACCTGACTGCTTCATCCACGTCCATTCCCGTGAACCCCGACAAAGCATTATGCAGCTGAGCTACAAATTTTGCTCGATAGTCTTCTGGCATGCTCATGAATGTACCACCCATGATAATGAACTCCACCTAACCATGGAGCTGAAGATTTAATGCTAGGAAACTAGGAAAGAGATTTGTATTAGGTACCTTGTCCACACTATGACCGAGACTTTTCAACTGTTCAATACGTCCCCTTGTCTGTTCGTACGGGTCATACCTAAAAGTACGTCATGAAACCGAGGAATAGGTGAGCAAGACGTTTACACTTTCCTGGCTCGAATAGCTCTCATACTCGTGGGCTCGTAACCAGTGTAGCTTTGCGTGCTGTAGTCGAAATCTGAATCCGGACCACCGGGACAATATCTAGAGAGATCAACTTCAATAAGACATTATATCGTCACGGAATGGGACGCACACGCAGATGTTACCTGTCATGGCGATATGAGGACATCGATGAGGTTTGCACATCACTGCGACAACTGCGATCTAGCATATAGATTTTCTCATTAGTACAAGAAGGAACGCAGGTTCAACCACGCACCCCGCTCGCAGTGCGTATTGGACGAGCTCTAAGTTTTGGCAATAGCGCCTTCTTGTAATCATCCGGGATAGCACTGATGATGTCTACCAGCCTCGGAACACCTCCAAAAGCAAACTTTTTACTGATCTTGGCTCTCAGAACATTCAACGAGACAGTCTGGTTTGTATCGTGAGCTTTGATTAATTCTGCAGCGATTCCGGATGTTACTCTCAGAAGCTGCTCCGCCTGTGAGGGACCTGTAGAACTGGTGTTGATATGAATCTATTCCAAGGCAACTGAAGGCTTTTTTAAAATAAAAAAAACTGTACCGTCAACATGCGACCCTTGAGCCATATTGGAGAAATAAGAGTGTTCACAGTAAAATCACTCTTGAATCGAATGCTGATTTCGTGTAATGAACAATGTACGAAAGTGATCGAAAGGGAAACAAAAAAACACAGTTGCTGGCTAACCGAGCATCTCTATATTTGTCAATATTTGTGTCTACCAAATCCCTCGATCATAGTAAAAAATACACCTAATTGAAGCATAGGCTACACACGTAATGTACATAGGGAGCATAACATAGCGACTAAGCAAGATAACAATTTGACGACAGTATGTTTAGGCTGTAAGTTTTATATGTGAAAAGCACTCAGGAGGCGACTTCTTGCCGGTCAAAGGCTGACAGAGTTATTGCAAGGTCATCTTGAGAGCTTAACCCTCTCGAGGGCGTACTTTGTCCGGATGGAGTAGGTGTTAAACCTACATGTGGTGTAATCAGCCCACTACCACCGGCCCCGAAGACAAAACCGCCAGTGAGACCGTCGAGCGAATTGTACCCTATGGACGAGGGAATGTCAATCGAATGATGAGCGAACAAAGAAAGTGGAAGTACCAGGTACAAGCACACTATCCCAGAAATTGCTGCTGAAAATACTGTCCATTGTCATTCCCGAAACAGGATCCTCCATGGGATCCGGCGCCATTGTAGGAGGAAAGGTGGACACATCAGCAACAGGACCCATCTCTCCCTCGAATTGGAATTCACTCAAAGTATGAATTGTATCAGTGTCTTGGAAGTGCACCTGATGACCAGCGGAACCTATATCGCCATTGAGCACATCGGACGAGCGCGTCTTCTCCTCGGAAGTTCGTTCTAGTCTGGCTGAAATTAGCGCCTTCAAAAAGGTGCTGTACAAGGCAGGCGTATGGGTGGGATTAACGGAATTTGATTCCAGAATATCAGCTACATCCCTGATGAGAGTAATGGTGGTTTGCTCATTATGTAGGTATGCTGAAAACTCAGGGCGTATTAACTATACAGAGAAAAAGGATGAGTACATGATAGCGACGCCGAGTGAAGTTGTTACCTTGAGCAGAGTGAGTACGGCGTACGACGTTTGAACAAAATGCGAGTCCGGCGAATATTTCAAAAATCCAATCGGACCCAACTGATCACGAACAAGCGTTGCGCATGTAGTGGCGCACGAGTGACACCGTGCAAAGAAATGACCCATGTCCATCGGTGATCGTTCGAGGGCGTTTTGCAACCCAAACGAATTGAGAACCAAGAGAACGTAATTGAGATAGAATTGCGTTATTGGGACCTTATATTCAGCCGTCGCGGGAGGATCCTCTGATATAATTTCATTAATATTCTTACTCTCGAGAAACGGAAAGCGGACGTACTCATGGCAAGCAAGTCTTCATGCATCCATCGCGTCGACGACTCCATAATCTGCGACTCAAAAGTTTTCACAACTAGGAGATAGTCGCAAGAGGTTTGTAGCCCGGAAGTAGAATCGGTTTTTGAGTACAGAAAATCTAAACTGCGAGACAGAATCCGCTGCAATTCCTGGGAAATAGACCATTAGACTGTGAGGTAAGATAGAAATATGATGCTTACTGCGTATGCGGCAATGGAACGGTCTGAGGGAATTGCCACAGGAGATTTGCACCAGACGTCCGCATTGCGAATGATGAAACTGCGACTCGTCATGAGGAGGTTCAACGAGAATGTAACACATCTACTCACTCTTCCTTGATAGTATGAGGTTTCCCCAATAACGCGCTATGGCTTCTGTCCAAACAGAAACATAAAATCCATGTCCGTTCCCGATTATGTACCTCGATGTCACGAGCGTGTCCTTCTTGAGTATCTTGACTATTGACCGCGGTTTTGCGATGAAGGTTAAGGTCTGTGGCCATTCTAAGTTGATTTTGAGTAATGATTTATCACGAGATGCATGAAAGAAACAGACCTGATAGCCATACCTAGCAAAAGCCATGTCTTGTCCTGTTCGTAGCGCTCCACAGCTCCCACACCCCACATTGTGAGTAGCAAGTATGCCTGGACTATCTCCACCGATTTGTATCCTTTGGCTGGAACACTAAAGGCAAGTTTTTTGGATAGTTCGGTGAGCCGAGGATGTAATTCCGGCTTTTCGAGATAAAATTTGCTGGCTATAGCGCAGACTTCGAGAGATGAGATCGTCAATTTCCGAACAAGCTATAAGCTGACTCACTCGTAGTAAGTAAAAATGGAGAACGAGAACAGACAAGCGATGGCGTGTGGAAGTTCCGATCCAGTAAGTTTGAATGAACCTGGGTAACCAGGTCAAATAGAACAACTCCTTCCGTTTCAGTAACACGTACATTTAGGTGGTCAAAAAATCTAAAAATTCCGGATTAGCGTTAACAGGGTCGTCTGACTACGGTCCACAAACATTTTAAATAGCGCAACCACTTCTTGCGTACTGACAAAAGTAAGCATTTCTGGTTGAACTTGACGTTCGATATACAGTCGCCGAAGTGGTAATATTGTCATGGGACCTGTGCTTACATCAGTACAGACAAGACTTGAATGGAAGTAGAATTTACCAGGTTTGAAGTAAATGTCGTTGGCCACACCGACTTTGGGATTTTCACCTGGATTGTCGGCTCTGGCTCTGAAGCTGCTCGACGTGCCAATGTGGGCACGACGATTAGCCAGGCTCGCTTCCGCGAGTAAGCCGAGTGGATTCAAAGCGTTATCTGGTAACGAGTGTAATTTCGGCGACCCTCCAGATCCAACTGCAGCGGAAGGTGAAGGAGATCTATTGAGTAAAGCTTGGGTCGACGAATGTTGTGCGCTAGGTGAAGGAGATCGTGATATCATGCCAGAAGCAATACTTGGGTTCCCAATAGAACGTAGTACTGTGTCCAAAGTGCGTTCCATTTTTCGCAAAGATCTTGTTAATAGCTCGTGCTTTCTGATTGCAAAATCAACTCGCATCCCGATAACAATTGCTCAGGTACTTACTTTGAAGAGCGCTTCCCTCTATTTGATTCTTCGAATATGCATTCGTGCCCTCCGGTTTGGCAGCGTTTACAGGGTGGGCCTTGTTCCGCACCGATGCACTTCATCTTCAAGCGACGGCACACTGTACAAGCCCTGCCCAAGTGTCAATGGATGAGAAAATAAATTACATGGAAATGATCACCTTGAACCTCTCGTTGGCTTGGGCTTTTCTTCCTTATCCGTTGTTGGACTCCGAATTTCAGATAGTTCGTCATCCTTGCGCGCTTTCTTAACGGCTTCACTACCACTCGCAGTAGATATCGCAGATGCAGGACGCTTCCCATTGGCATTGGAAGACGAGGAACCGGTAGGATACATATGCTCTGTGGGCGGAGTTCCGATGGTGTCAGATCCTTGTGAGGAAGGAGAAGGGTAGTTCGGCGCAATTGAAAGATGTGGTGGCAGATGCTGCTGAGGCTGCTGTTGATAGGAATGGTAGTACGGAGAGTATAGAGCCAGAGAAGGATCGATAGGAATAGATGGAGAAGGAGGCTGATTTAAATGTGGTAGGGAATGATCCTGAGACATATCGTAATCCTGTGATGACAAGGAAAGAACTTCAGCGTAAGGAGCTGATGAATAGTGATATGAAGGAGCATGACGGTATGATGGGTAGGAGTACAGCGGTATAGGCATAGCAGAGAAAGGATAAGGGGATTGGGAGCGGTAATCCAGCATGGGAGCTCTGGTAAGCACACAGCAGCAAAGGACTTACGAGGGGCAGTTTGTGATTGTGATCTTTATAGTATTTCCAAGACGAGAAAAAACTTGCTACCTTTGGTGTTAATTGGGAGTAAAGACGAAAGATGCCACTTGGGAAAAGAAGAAGCAAAAGATATTACTTAAAATGTCGCTGAACGTGGAAATTCCACGTTTAGTGAATTGTTCTACACGCTCGCCAAAAGAAGCTCGGGCCCTAACGCTTTCTGATATTATCCCAGGACAATGAATGGTCTTTCGTGTGAGCTGGGTGACAGTGGCCAGTTGAAGGTTTCCCGCAACGTCGGTACCAAAGGAACGTGATTGCATAATGACATGAGCTGCTTATGCAACCATAGTAAAATGGTTTTAAGCGCTCAAAGCGCCCATGTTTCAACGAAAAGAAAATCCAAGAACTGGCCTCGTATATGTGAGACCGAATATCTTGAACGGTTAGATATATCCTCTTAATGCCGTTTCGATGAGTCATTTATTTATTGAGCGCTGGCAACAGGCCTTGTGTAATGTGAATACTCCTCCGAGTCCATGGATGCACTTTCTTTTCCCTATCTGTATCTAACTAATGCTTCGAGTTTTTAGGGAAATCAATCACTCAAGTCTGCAAATTTTCATTCAGGCCTTTCTCATGTATCGAGGATTTTTTGTTCCAAGTTAATATCATCATTCACCACAGATAGCCACAGATACTGTGCCGACTTGGAATGCATGTGTAGAGCTATGGTTTCTCACTTATCTAGGAACAAGACGCGGCTCTCAACTCTCTCTCAAGTGCACAGCTTTGTATTCAACCAAGGTCAGATCTACAGTGCTCGTTTGCCTCTTCTGATTAGTTCCACTCTGTTGGAAATTAGCGTGGTTGGTTTTCCTCAGTTACTATGTATTCCTTGCCTCGAAGTGAAGCTCAACACAAGATATCGAAATGTCCGCTCTCATCTCCATCATTCATGGCCTTCTCGTAGTTCCTTTTTAAGTCCTGAAATCCGCCTCGAGCTTCATATGGAGTCCGAACCGCTGGGCCGATGTTTCTTTGCAAAAGAAAGATCATCCTCACGCTTGAGCCTATTCCACGCGGCTGCTATCTGCTGCGGGATGAATGAATCCAGTTCGTGGTCCAAGGGAGCTGTCGGTGTGACCTTCCTCAATGACTACTCCTTCGGCTTGTGCGCATCCACGCAGAATAGACAACGCCGATTCGAGCCGGCACATTGCGAGGGAAGCTCAATTATAGTCGAGTATTCAGGTTCTCAATACAGTCGCTGCATGTAAGTAATTCCTTCGCCGAATTTACTGCCTTCAAACACACGACATCTGAGATAAGACCTCAAATTGACAACTTGCAAAGGAATGATTGCTGTCCATGATGTCGTTGTTTGACGACAGACGCGGCACTTTCTGGCATTCCACTACCTCGTCAATCAAGTTGCACGGGCTTCGCCGAGCACTTGAGCTTCGAGGTCAGATATGTGAATCAAGAATTGATTTTAGCTTGTTCGACATCAGTGTTCTGAATTGCCCTGAAGCCCAGCTCGAATTCGAATACGCCCAACCCAGTCAAACCCAAAGTCTTGGATACTCCGACATTCCTAGTGCCCGCTGCAGCCAGTGACCATGCTTTGATTCTCTTATTGGGTCAAATTGCTCACCCATTCATTGGACAGGATCCGAAATCATGATCATTCAAGATAGTCGTGATTCCTGGCAACGCTAACGACATTTTCTTAATCGCTTCGAATCATAATGATTCGATGCGAGAGCTTGGAACTTGGTTCGATTGTAGAAAAGACTCCAAGGGGGTTTTAGAGTAGGATCCAAAATTACAGAGACCTAAAACGTACAATTTCTGCGGACCTACGCGATTATCCTTATGCGCCCTTCAATCAAGAGCTTAAACACGTTTGATAAGGTCTTCTTCAGCTGCTGTTCTGTTCTCACTGTACACACCCATCTTGACACTCAGCCATGTGCCTCTTGTGTCTGCTTTCACTTGTAATCTTCGACTCCAGGTATGAACGTATTCCCTGCTTATCTTGGTCTGACGTTCAACGACGTCCAAATCTCGCGAAGTCTCCAGATTTTCGAAACCAGTGCCGCTGCTCCTTCGCGGTCCACAAAAAAAACGTCCGCATATATGTAGGGTCTCCGAGGATTGGGATGTCGAGTAATAAATGCCTTTGGTCTAATATTACCTAGCATTGATCGTGGCATTGCTAGCCATTCGAGGGAAAATGAATCTGGAACTAAATCTTCCGCTTTTATATTCATGTGCTTCCTACCCCTTCATTTCCTCGACAGTGCTCTTCTTAAGCCACATGGCTCACATTTCACGAAGCAAACACATTGCGCTACCGACCGCCGTTGAGGTTTACCATTCTTACGGTGTTTATCATTCTTCATTCTCAACTTTGGCTGATACGTCCCAGGGGCGAGTACTAGCTCTCAAGTTGAAATCATCCCTCCACCCGGAACGATTGGTTTAAAATTTGATTTTTTTTTTTTTTTTTGCAATATATTCACAAAGACCGCGATCTCTGCATACGAGTGCTAGTCATCAAATGTTTACAGTCTTTTACATGAACTTATTCCATAAACATACCACGGAGGAACGCGCTTGGATAGAAAGGCCTGGATAGTACAACAATTGTCGAAGGTGTATGTACCCGAGGGGTTCCGAAACGGCAAACCAGGAGCTCCGAGCTTTTCAGGAATGCAAAGGAAGAGAACAGTTCGAATCGTATTCGGCCGACAGTATAAGTAGCATGTGTAGAACAAAATTAAACAAAATTTGGACTACCGCATTCCTGTACATGTAGCTACCATGTGGATACCGGCCTGTAACTAAGTGAAGCACGAAAAGAAGGTGCTGCCGAACCTATGTCTGTAACTTCATTGACTGAGGGATGCATCGATGGATTTTCACAGCCAAATCAGGGTATATACCAAACAGCTTTTGTGAGACTGCAACATCTGCAGTGAAGATTTCAAACAACTAGAATAATGCTACCTTGTGCACTACAACTAATGACGACTGTCACTGAAAAGCGAATTGCCTTCAGAAGAAGAATTTCGGTTTCAAGTTCGATGTGCTCTTGGGTAGATTTGTTCCCCAGCAACAACCGGAAACTTCTCGAATACCGTAAACATCCTCCTTTCCTCAGACCAAGTCGCGAAGAGACCTTCAAGACGTCAACAAATGGTACCAAGCGGCAATTTAAGACTCCGGGCTAGTTCATTAGGCCCACCTCGCATTTAGAGGAATTGACACGGATTCATGTTTCTTAGCAGTTCCTGTGTGCAAATGTGGTCCGCTTTCAGAAGAACTTTCATGCTCTGCGGCATGCATTCCAATAAGCGCATGAGATCAAGATAATATGGACTCATTGTCACGTACCAAACGTTGACACATACCTTGGCTAAGTCCTTCAAATAAAGATTGCAAGGTATGTTACATATACATATTTCATGGAAAACGCATGAGCCACTTACGGCAACGATCTCCAATGAGGGTCTCTGAGCTATTCAACGAGACGTGAACGGGAGCGCTGTGCAGTTTAGAAGACCGGCAGTGGGCAGCCAGGAATAGAGCGGATCCTATCAGGGGCTCCGTAAATGTAAATGGTAAGTATCTCATTGGATACGGTAAATGGACACAACGGGATCTTGAATCGTACACTGCAGAAGTATTCCAAGGCTGAGAAGAATTATTCACTTCCATTAGGAGACCCTCTGTGAGTACACAAGCAAACGAGAAGGCTCGGGGGCTATCGGAAATAGTGCTTTTGTTGGGTTACGCCACGGGGATGTCGCAGACAACCAGAATAGATATACTATTGTTAAGGTTGAAGATTCATATTAATGTGGACGATTCGGCAAGGCCACCTTTCGCATGAGCGATATGGTGTTCGGCACATTTAGACAACTCTTGATTTGTGTATTTTGACGTCTTCCTTTGGCCTACATATATTACTTGAATGTCCGTTTTAAGAAATGAGGCATGTAGAACAGACCGATCCTGAGCGTCCACGGCGACCGCACCTAGTCGTTGTACAACTCTCATTCCCGAGCTCACCCGACCGAATATTGTGTGTTTTCCATCTAGATATGGGGTAGGACCAAGAGTCAAAAAGAATTGCGAACCTAGAAGCGCAAAAAATTTAGTTTATTGACAGTTGGGACGCGAATGGTGTGACCGTTTGTGTTTGGGCCAGAATTGGCCATCGCTAGGATTCCTGCCCCTGTGAATCGAAGTTCTGGATGCAATTCGTCCTCGCTAGTGGACGTGCAGCATATTAGGTACACATCCATTCAAATGATAAGAACACGCACAACTTTTGCCCATATATACTAGTGCCACCGCGTCCAGTCCCAGTAGGATCCCCACCTTGTACCATGAAATCCTTGGGTATCGTTTTCAGATCGTGCCAATCAGCTGACTGGAACGAGTAACCAGATTTCGACTCACAGATATTATTCGGTGAAAAATCACTCCATTGTAATATCCTCGTTTGGACAGCTCCGCGAAGTTTTTGCACGTCTACAGATAAGTAAGAGACTTGGAGTAAGAGGGAGAGACGGTACTTTTGGAGCATGGTTCCAGTAAAGTTCTAGCTGAATGTCCCCAAGACTGGTTTCAAATACCACCGATTCAGACATTGGGAGGTAACCGGTAATATTTGGTTCAGGTAGTCGAACTTGTAAATTGTTCATTCGCACATGACCCCATGATCTTCAACTTGGCCTCATGACCCAGATAATTGGACCTTCAACGTCAACTTCAACTTCGACTTCGACTTTACTTTACTAAAAGTAAAAAATTGTTATGCGCGCCATAATTCAGCGTGTCACTTCCGCCTCTGTAACAGGTGATCATCTCCCGAATTCTAAAGCTCAATACCTGAGAAAATCCCTCCGAAACAGTTGACAATGTAGTCATCTCCCAGATCTCTCGAGGGCTCATGGTACTGGTTGGGATTGGGGCAGGTAATTCAGTACACATGCTCGAGAGTCTGTTTCTTCTTCATCAACTTCCTTGCGAAACACAGACGATACAACCTCCGATGCTTCTGCGCTGATCAACAAAATGTCAGTCCTCTTTTTTTTTTGAATAAATGCGCTGGTCACCAGTTCAGCCAATTCTCACTCAATACACGGTACACGATGCTTCTTCCCTTACAGGTGTGTGCTAACAGCGTATTGCTTTTAATAATATACACTCAACTGCTACTATCGAATGCTAAGTATCAATCTTCGTGTGTTCAATGATCCCGTAGATGTCGAAAAAGCGTGGAAGGCCAGCGTTCGGGACATCGATGGAGAGATACTCTGTGTATCACAATTCACTCTTCTTGCTAATACGACGAAAGGCAACAAACCAGACTTCCACCGAGCCATGGTGAGCTCGAATGTTCTCTGTCGTGGATCGGCCTGGCCAATGACCATTCAATAAGTCTTTTGAAGCGTCACAAGAGATGTATGCAGCATTTTTAAATCGGCTGCGACAAATGTACAAAGCAGATAAGGTTCAAGGTCTGTTCTTGTCTTAAGTTTTGTCCTGGACTCATGAAAACCCGTGTATCTACGTTTTGAAAGACGGTAGATTTGGCGCGATGATGAACGTCACTTTAACTAATGAGGTGGGTAGCCAATTCAGTGCTATATTTAGCATTTCCTGGCTTGGCGCTATAAAACAAGTTCTAACGTGATTTCCACTGGTATAAGGGTCCTGTCACATTCACACTTGATTCACGAAAGTTCGAGTACACAGAGCCATCGAAAGGCGAAGCAGATGCTAACAAGAAAACTGGAAACTGAGTTCGAAATTCTCCCAATCTCGCTATATTCCCATACAGAAAGAAGTTTATGCCTCTGAATAGCGCCGTGTCAATCACAATCTCAAGAGAAACAGCTTTGTTACACCTCTATTTTTCAGTTCGGTTTTATTAATATTCGACTAGGGAAAAGGTACACATAGCTGGATAACATCGTTTCTCATCGGAGGTGCAGCTTGGGAGGATGTACATCGTACTCTATTCAAACCCTCTGAGCCATAAAGTAGGATCAGACAAGCTGAAATTATTGTGCGATCCCACGATTGTGTCTGCAACGCCCTTGACTGATACAGCCGACGACGCTTCGACCGAGTAACGGAAGCCCGGCAGGAGGAATTGTGCAAAACCCAAGTTCGTTGCTTGTTTGAGTCAGGTTGAAGCAGTGATGACAGTAGTCGAGTCCGGAAAAAAATGAAGGAGTGATCTTGGGCGTGAGAACCTCCCTCTTATGGCGACAGCACTGAAAGCAGCCTACAAAAAACTACTTTCAGTGCCTTTGGTGCTAGACCAGTATCCTTGCTGTTATGATAATCTGGGTTTTGAAGATCACCCATTTCAATTGACAATGCTACACTGACATTGAAGTAGAATTCTTGATATGTGGGTCTTTTTACTTACAAATGGAAGCATGCTCCAGCTCCTGGAGAGAATGATAATACTCAACCTTTGTTGAGTTGGTAACTGCTTTCCCCAGTATTGTCATTGAACTGTAAATCCCTATCACTGTTTTTTTTACTTTTTTGCTGCATCATTCTCCACTTTTTTTTATCACAATATTGTTCACGTCATCTGCAAAACCTAGATGGTCATGACAGCAAGGTTACTGGCTAGACAGTGCTGTCCAGCACCAAAAGCACTGGAAGCAGTTTTTGTAGGCTGCTTTCAGGACTGTCAATCTCTTTGCTAAAAATCCAGGTTTTGCAGATGTTCCCTGCCAATTCCCTTGCAGCCAATTTGGCTCTACTTACTGTCAATAAAGCTACCTACTCCAATTATACTTAGACATAGACCTAGACTAACACCTTTACAACCTCATCCCTGTCAGCGACTGGTTCTAGTAACGGATGTCACCAGGTGTCACACTCAAGAAAACCTCAGGTAGCGGAGCGATAAAGGAGGTAAGCAAAGTTCTGGACTAAACCAGGTAGAATAGACGAGATCAAAGCTAAGGAAATACAGCAAGTAGCTACAGCCTATATACTAGTGAACAACCCTCTGCCCTAGTAATGCCCAACGCCCTGGGTTAGTGGTAAACATGAGTAGAACATAAGCAAAGCAATGTGTAAGTAATGAAAGCTCGATCGCCATGCTGTATACGTGTTGTGAGACTGCTGTGTTTAATATAAGTAAATGAAGAGCGCATGTTGTATCAGTAAGCATGAATAATAGGTCAGGTGACAAGATAAGACAAGATATAGGATAAGGGAGATAGAAGATAAGACAAAAGATAAAAGATAAGACAAGGGATAAGGAGAAAGATAAGATGAAAAAGAAGTGATCATAACATTACCCCCCCTTTAAGGCGCGAATTCCATGACGCGCAAGTCGGTTGACAAGTGCTTCAGATGGCATGGTACTTGGGACTGGTTCTATGTCTGGTGTAGGTATTTGTCGGAACAATTCAGTGGGAAATTGAGCAATCGGAATCTCGATCCGTTTAAGGGTTCGAGGCCTGGGCTTGTTAGGATACTTCTTGTGGAAGTCCTGAACAGCTTCTTTGGCATTCGTCATATTAGCTGCAGGTTCCCACGTCATTTCATGTGGTCCGTAACCTCTCCATTTTACTTTGTACTGGATGCCATTCCGATATTTGCGTGCATCCACAACCTCTTCTACTTCATACTCTTCTTCTTCTCCAACTACTTCTGGAGGTGGCTCGGTATTTCGGGGTTGTGTCGGGAATTGGGGTTCATGGTACGGGGATAGGTGTGTTTCGTTGAAGACATTATGGACTCTTTTCCACGTGCGAGGGATGTCGAGTTTGTATGAGCTGGATCCGATCTTTTCAAGGACTTTAAACGGTCCAAATCGTTTATCCCCGAGTTTCTTCATTGGGCGATCTGTCGTTATGTTGGTTCCTTCAAGCCAGACTTTATCACCAGCCTTATACTCTATCGCTTCATTCCGGTGTTTGTCATATTGGCGCTTCATGTCCTCAGCGGCTTTTTTCAGCGCCGATCCTACTTCTTCCCTGATCCGTTTCATACTATCGGCAAACTCCTGTGCTGTTGGGTTTTGTGACGTCATCTTCGGTGTGGTTCCTTTGTATGGATGTCTGCCATTGTCTGCGTAGAAGGGCGAAACCTTCGTAGCTGAGTGTACTCGATCGTTATATGCAAACTCCATCATAGGAAGCCATTCGTGCCAATCACTCTGATGATGATTCACAAAAAGACGGATGTAATGTTCAATTTCTTGATTTATCCGTTCCGTCTGGCCATTAGTCTGAGGATGGTATGCAGTTGTATAGTTGCTTTCGATTCCTAGCAACTTGTACAGTTCCTTCATGAAGCGGGCATGGTACTGAGGGCCGCGATCGTGGACAATCTTCCGGGGCATTCCATGGATCGGGAATACTTTGTCACGATAGACACGTGCCATTCCTTCAGATGTTATCGTAGTATGTGTGGCAAAGAGCCGTAACCTCTTCGTGAAGTGATCAACAAACACGCTAATGGCATTATACCCTCCAGACTCTGGTAATTCGCCAATCATATCTGTTCCTATGATTTCCCAAGGCTCGGATGGTACGTCATGTGGATGTAATGGTCCTACGGGTTTTGTACGATGTGTCTTTGTGGCCTGACATTTTTCACAGCCTTCCACGTAGATCCTGACGTCTCGACTGATTCCTGGCCACCAGTAGTTGCGTGTAATTAACTCGATAGTTTTATAGCGGCCAGGGTGTCCTGCTGTCTGGGCGTCATGATGTGCCTGTATGATTCGTCCTCTGAGCTCTTTGTCCTTGGGGACATAGATGCGTCCTTGCCAAACTGCTAGTCCATCCTCGGTTTCAAGCCATTCCTTGTCTTTAGACTCGAGGGCAACCTGTACTAACTTGTCTCGCTGGTTTTTCTTTCTTCGGATGAGATTAAGCAGATCGTCTTCGGGGGCAGATGTCTGATCCGTTACTTGAGAAATGAAAAATTCTGGTTTTAGCAGTGTGACGTCGGTATTGTCATTCTCCCCTTTCTCAAGGCCTGACATCCTTGACAGAGCATCGGCTTTTCCCATCGATTTCCCAGGCTTATGGAAGAGCTCAATATGGTATTCAGCAATTTCAACTACCCATCTGGCTTGTCGTCGATTCAACTTCTGAGGTTTCCGGAAATACTGGAGATTCTGGTGATCGGTAAAGACTTCAACAGGTTCTTTTGCGCCCAGCAAATACTGTCTCCAGTCTGCTAGAGAATCCATGATGGCCATCATCTCTTTGTCGTAAATTTCATAATTCCGTTCAACCTCGTTAAGTGACCTGGACCTGAAGGCTACTGGTCTCCACTTTCCATCAACGTTTTGCGATAAGACAGCACCATTTGCGTAATCGGAAGAATCAGCTTCAATCCGGAACTTTCCAGTCTCTCTTGGGATAATGAGAGTGACGTCTTCGATGATCCGGTCTTTCAGTTGATTGAACGCATCTTGTTCAAGAGATGTCCATTCCCAAGTCGCATTCCCTGTGAGCCGTGTTAGGGGTTTGGCAATTTTACTGAAATCTCGGATGAACCGGCGGAAGAAGTTGCAAAACCCTAAGAACGATTGTAGTTCGCGCTTTTTCTGTGGTGGCTGCCAGGTTCGAACTGCTTCAACCTTTTTTGGGTCCATCCGGATTTGTCCATTGCCTACGATGATTCCAAGATATTCGACTTCCCTAGCCTCAAAGGTGCACTTTTCAGGTTTCAAGTACAGTTTGTTGGCTTTTAGGATGTCAAGAACCTTTCTGACGATGATCCGATGTTCCTCAATGTTGTCCGTGAAGATAAGGATATCATCCATATAGACAATGACGTGTCCTTGATCAATGAGCTCTCGAAGGATGTGATTCATGAATGCTTGGAACGTGGCGGGTGAGTTTGTAAGTCCGAAAAACATAACTGTGGGCTCGAACAAGCCTCTGTTTGTTCGGAATGCTGCCTTCCATTCATCTCCTTCTTTGATCCGGATGTTATTAAATCCCCATCGGACATCCATTTTGGTAAAGATCTTGGAATTCTTCAGTTTATCAATGAGTTCCTGGATTAACGGGAGTGGATATCGATTCTTGACAGTCATGTCATTTAGCTTTCGATAATCCTGTACAGGCCGTAGTGTTCCATCTTTCTTTTTGACGAAGAAGAAAGGTGAAGCCATGGGTGAGCGTGATGGTCGTATTCGTCCCGATCTAAGGTTTTCCTCTAGGAATTCATCTAAAGCCTTCTGTTCCGGTGGACTGAGTGGATAGACTTTACAGTCAACTGGTTTGGAGCCTGGCGTTAACTCTATGGCATGATCCCATGGACGTCTTTCTGGCATTTGGTCAAAGTCTTTTTTACTAAATACATCAGCATACTCGGCAAGGTATGGAGTAGCGGCATCTGTAGTGGCAGTTTGTACTTTGATATGGCCTTGGTCAGAAAGATACCCATTCCAATCGAACCAGAAGATCCTTTCACCATCGACAAGTTTTTCCTCTGTACCATCATCCTCAGGTGATTCATAGTGTGGCAAATACCCGCATTTGTCAGGACAACGTTCGAACGTTAACGTAGATTCCTTCCAATCAATGCTAGGATTATGGTAACGTAGCCAGTCTATGCCTAGAAAGATATCTGTCTTGCCTAGATTTGTAACTGCCATATCTATTCGTTCGGCATGATCTCCTATCACCATTCGGACTTGTACATAGCCTTCTATGGAACCATTTTTGTTCAGAGTGCCATCGGCGTTATAGACCGGCATTTTGACTGGTAATTTCTTAACAGTGAGCTGGTGATGTTCTACAAAATCCTTATTGATACAGGACCCTGTGGCTCCGCTGTCTAGGAGGGCTTCCGTTTCAATCTGTACACCATTGTCGATATTCTCAATAGTGGTTCGCAACTTTAGCTCACGTCCTCGGGTACCTCGGACGAATCTCTTACGACTTTTGAGATTGGTAACTGCTTCAGTTGCGGTTGCATGACTCAGATTTCGTACAGCCAATACCGTTTCTTCCGATGCTTCTCTGACACGACTTTCAGGCATCCAGGCTCTAAGGATTCCTATAGCCATAGGGAGTTTGTCCATTTGTAACCGCTGCGCCACCCATTCAGGTGTGTTTGGTTCATATCTCACAGGTTTTTCCTCAGCTCGGGTCGTCATTGTAGATAAGTTATTTTTATTGGGTGTACCAGTACTACCAAATTCAAAACTAAATTGACTGTCTACATATGACGATGATGAAAAGTCCGATGCTGATTCTGAGATTGGCCCCGGCAGACCTGCGTCTACTGCTGGGGCAGGACAAAACCCAATTCTTTGGCCATAGCCTCCTGATCCTCCTGTGTCATCCGGCTCCACATGCCTCTGACGAACTGCGGCTTCGGTGCTTTTTCTGGACAGAACTTCGCAATGTGGCCTTGCTTGCCACAATGGAAACATTCCTTGTTGCGACGCGCAGCGTCGATGTCCATTGGTCTGCCTGCACCTTTGAAAGTTGTTCCAGTACCGTCTTTCCTATCTTGGGTGGGTACCGCAGGGGTTGGAGCCTTAGTTATGGGAGCCTGTGTCGTTTGTGGTTGCCATCTCTGGCTACTAGGTCCTTGCCCGGCATTCCGCTGGTATCTGTTTGACCAATTCCGTCGCATTTCCTCACGACGCCACCACATGTCATCGATACTGATAATCTTCTGTTTGAGTTCATCGAATTTCTCGATTCGCTCATTGCTGGTGCCATATACTTGGTCGATCAGTTTCGGCTTTACGTTCATTTCAATTAGCCTGATGACATAGGGGGCGTCCTTAGCATATCCGGCATCTCGCATGATGACTTCAAATTCCTTGAAGAAATCCTCTGCCCTCTCATTGGGGCCTTGACGGAGATGTTCTAGCTTCTCCTGAGCATTCTCTGTGAGTCCTTTGTCTAGGAAGGAGGCATTCAATGCATCCTTGAATCCTTTCCAGGTGACTTTCCATTCCTCCTCGTCGTCATTGAAATTATCGTCCGTATAATTCTGGACCCAGCTACTGACTTTGGGACCTCGCATATACGAGACCGCAATGTCGATTCTTTCACTGTCTGTGACGATCCTATTCCTTGGATCACGAATGTAGGCAAAGAGGGTACGGCGCCACTCTTTGAACTGCGCTTTGTCGCCATCAAAGATGCTGGGCTCTCTGAGCAATGACTTGCCATGAATGTTGGAGGTAGTGGTGGTGGGGGCGGGAGTAGGGTTAGACATGCTGTAGTTGGGTGGTATGTAGGCAGGTATGAATGAGGTGATATTTCGTTCGATAGAGGATGAAGTGGATGGTGCAGATGAGTCGGGGGTGCGGTAACGATCGGTTTGTACCGAAAGTCTAGGTCGTCCTAGTCTTGAAGTAAAATCCGTTGTAAGGAAGACGAGTTACTAATGCAACTCGGTGGTGATGATGGGAAAATGTATGATTGGATTTGTAGAAGTCGGGAATGATGTGGGAGAGATTTCGAGAATAGAGTATGATGATGTGGGAAGCAGCCTTCCACTCTCACTTGATGAACAGATGCACCCTCCCTGTCTAGGAATGGAGCTCGTTGTGCACGCGAAGACCCCTCTCCGAAGATTAGTGATCAGTCGACGCTTTCGTCTGCCAGTACGGTGTCGGACTCAACGTTACACCTTTGTACTATAGGCGACACTGCTCGAATAGAGAGTAGAAGTCTGTGAAGGGTTGGTAAAAATGTGAGCGGGGATAATTGTGATAGGGATATGATTGCGTAGCGTGTGACAGGTGGTAAGAATAGCTTTGATCTTCTGTCAGCGACTGGTTCTAGTAACGGATGTCACCAGGTGTCACACTCAAGAAAACCTCAGGTAGCGGAGCGATAAAGGAGGTAAGCAAAGTTCTGGACTAAACCAGGTAGAATAGACGAGATCAAAGCTAAGGAAATACAGCAAGTAGCTACAGCCTATATACTAGTGAACAACCCTCTGCCCTAGTAATGCCCAACGCCCTGGGTTAGTGGTAAACATGAGTAGAACATAAGCAAAGCAATGTGTAAGTAATGAAAGCTCGATCGCCATGCTGTATACGTGTTGTGAGACTGCTGTGTTTAATATAAGTAAATGAAGAGCGCATGTTGTATCAGTAAGCATGAATAATAGGTCAGGTGACAAGATAAGACAAGATATAGGATAAGGGAGATAGAAGATAAGACAAAAGATAAAAGATAAGACAAGGGATAAGGAGAAAGATAAGATGAAAAAGAAGTGATCATAACAATCCCAGTAAATCTACTGCCCCTCATCCTCTTCCTTCCCTCACATGTACATACCCTCACCCCACAGTACAATACTCACTTTAGTAGTTTGAACATTGATAAGGAATTTGAATGTTTCTTTTTTTGCATTGTCCTCTGTGGTAAGTGATATGTCAATGTATATTCTTGATTACATAATATTCTGTTTGCACCTCATCCAAGTTCATAATACTCTCTGGCCGTGATTAGACTTGATGCCACTATAATACCACCATGCCACTTAAGCACTACTCAAGATGTAACTTCACTGTGACCAAGCATATCCCCCACCCAACACTATGTATGTGACAATGGTTCAGAAAGGACAGCAGATCCCGTTTTAATTTGCTTATCTTAAGACAGCATAGTAAATAAAATGTTTCTCATCGGCAGCTCGAGAGGAGCATCTCTTGATGCTCTACGACTTTACTATATATAGACAGCTGCAAGTGTGAGCAACTTTAAGTGACAAGCTGAAATGGATTACTGTGCGATGCCGCAATTGTATTTCCGCTGTCTACAGCCGATGCAACCCACGACGCTCCAATGTGGTCGACGGAAGCCCGACAGGAGGTAGGTACAGGACCTGGGGCATATTCAGTTACGATTTCCACCTTATGCGTCTGCAACAACGCTACTCCTTCAGGTAGGAACGTCACAGATTCGAAGGGGAGTAAAGCGACAGTGTACTGGAAAATGTATATCGTGTGTCAGGGGCATGTTGAGAAAAAGCAATCAACGTCATACCTCTACACCAAATGATAAAACATCTGATGAAGGCGGGAGTTCCTTTGACAGTGGAATCTCTCCCGTTAAACAACGAACGCGGGAGTCGTTCTCATTGACGTCTTGATCTTGATCTTGCGACCAGCTCGCCTGGCTCACATCCGAGAATTCATACTTTAGCTTGGAAGCCTTGCTTTTTCCATTGTGTTGCATACCTTGACCAGCGTCGAACAAATATTTGACACGTCGGCATAGGTTAAGTATGGTTGTTCTTGGAGAAGCGAGAAGATCGAGCGCTTGCTCATCCACGCTTTCAATACGAAGATGGCAAGGGATAAATGACCCGCGAGTGTAAGATAGCTGCGGCACAGGTGATTATATATCAATAACGATAACAGACAGATGAAAAGAAAAAAGTACCGGGTTTGCGAGGGACAACTGAAATTGCATGCTATAAGTAAGTACGGGGAACATTGAGCCAAAAGCCTTTGACTCACCGTACATCGTAGGATTACTGTCCGAGAATTTAATAGACGCCCTATGCTGTCCACGGCGTCAAACGTTGACCATCCATAAGGATCGAGTCCGGGACCCGGAGCAGGAGTATTCGCTCGATATGCATGTTGTCGCAGTTCTGATGTAGCTGAGGGGGTTGTTTTACGACGGTACACAATCGGTATCCGAAGTCTGAGCAAAAATCTTGCCATGAGTACCACGCCAATGATTGCGTCAAACAGATCCAAAATACGAACTTTGAATCGGCTTTCAAAACCAACTCATATTGGACCCGAACGCCGGAGGTTCGCTCTAGAAATGTTTCTGGCAGAGCGCCCCCAGCGGCGTCGGTCATTGGGAGGGAAATGGAGAACGGGAATGTGTAACTCCCAGACAACTTGCCGGTTTTGGAGCCCGTAGAGGAGTTTCCGATGTTATCTAGGTCGGTACGATAGGTATGAGGGTCATCCTGGCCCTTTGACCACAAGAACACAGTATGATCTAAGAAGGTTTGAGATCCTCCTTCGTTCGCGCCTGTCACAGCACGACCTCGAACCTAACTTTTCTTGAGTCGTAGGACACAACGATTTGGGTTGATATGGGGCTTACGGCAAGCGTTATTCCTTGAATTGTCTCCGGAGACTGTAAATCAAGGTTTACTGTCCCAGTCATTGGATTAGCGCCTTCCTCGATGATCGGCACGTCGTTCGCACTGGACGGCGTTCTCCGATGTATTTCTTTTCGCAGATTGACGGAAGCCCAGGTTTTTCCTTTACTGTTCTGCAGCGGAAACGAATAATGACCTTGCGCCGTCGAAGTTAGACTGGAAGGTGCGAGGTAACATGGAGGAGCAATGGAAATGGTCGAATATCGAGGGAGGACTTGTTCTTGCATTCTGGGATAGTTTCTCTTTGCAAACGGTGTTTGTTTTCGTTTTCATTTTATGCATTCCGTGTTTTTTTTTGTCTTTTGTCGTCCGAGCGCTGTTGCTATACTGACTCCACAATGCTTGTCAAGCAAATAGAATATTGTGGTTTCAGTCTGTTCTTTTGTCAGTGGAATCAATTCCTGTTTGGCAAATTACAACGTACGGATCCGCTAAAGTATACCTCGGCACCCATCCAATTGTTATTGTCAGCTCCGCGCAGCTTCTCATATCCCATCAAGCCCAGTTGTTCAAGACATAACATGATATGCTCCTCGAGGAATGGCGTGACAAGATTGAGCAGATTTAGTCTGGTAAGTTGAATCATGTATGAGCAGTACTTGAATTTCTTGTGTATATTAATAATGATCAATCGCGGTGTCACGACTCACGTGGAAATTCAAAGTCCGCCCCCTCTAGTGTTTACTTTCTCCTTCTCAGTCTCGAGAGGCCTGATTTCATTTCTTCCTTTCTCGACAATAACGCGTGCTTTCCTGCCTTCCTTTGAGATCAATTGTTTGCTTAAGCGACGAACGACTGCAAGGAGGATATTAACGAATATCTTTTTGGATCTTGAGCAAATTAGTGAGCACACTATTTATCTTCGCTCTTCTTCAAAATCGAATTTAATGTTGCTTAGATCGCTCATAGCGCTGAACTGTGTGAGCCTCGGCAAGGCTTTGAACAAACGGCTGCTGCAAATTCTGCTGTCTCCAGAAATTCAACTACGAGTACAGCGACTCCGGCAAAGCCACAGTTTCTGTTTCTCACAATAACGCAAACTTCCAGAGAAACACCATGCAGAATCCTAACGGAAATCATCATGCTCCTGGACAATCTGCCCAACCACCAGCCCTGTACCTCGAGCCTTCAATTAGTACTACTACGTGAGCCTCATTACCTTCTCCTTCAAAATTCGTTTTGGACTGATACATCTTTGCACCAGAGTGGTTACAACCACAACGACCACTACTACTTATGCACCCATTCCACTTCCCGCTCTCCCTCCAATCACTGCGCCACCTCCAAAAGACGGGAAAGAATACCCCTTATACAATGCTCAGCTACCGCATAGCGCGAGAGAGTTCAATATAGTCTTTCCCGGCGGAAAGAAGGCTTTGTTTCGAGATCAGAGCGAGGGGATCGAAGCAGAAGGAAGCGGAACGAACAATGCAATGGGATCGTCAAGTTTGGGTGAAGGGGAACTGACTTCAGGAAAAGGATGGCGGATGTTACCTCGTGAAGATTCGCATTCAAACTCTTCTCAGTCCCCACCGAACGTGATTCCGGTGGTAGGACTCAACGAAGCTTTGGAAGGCTATAGCACCAAGAAGCGTGACCGTGGTCATGAATTCGAGTTTGAGTCGATTGCGATGGAAGATACACCAGCGAGAAAGAAAGCACGAGCACCACCATCACCATTACCATCGCCGCATGGATCACCACCTCCAGATGCAAAATCATCCGTTGGTTGGCATTCGGATCCTCAGACCCAAATCGTTCAAGCGCCAACACCCCCGACGCCGTTCGAACCTGATCTGAGCATGACTACACTTCTCGCTCTCCCATCCCTCCTTAATCATTTTACCTCCCTTCCAGAATCTCTGCAATCTCATGTTCTCTTGATGCTGCTTCGGCACTCCCCTCTCCCTGTATTGCGTACCCTTCATAGTGTTCTGCATCCTACCCTCGCACGCGACTTCCTTACGTTACTTCCTCCGGAGCTAGTTTCTCACATCCTCGGATTCTTTACGTTATCAGCTCTTGGTAGAGCTTGTAGAGTCTGCAAATCCTGGAGGGGCAGAATCGAAGGAGACAAGGTCCTTTGGCGAGATCTTCTCATGCGAACAGGCTTATGGTTTGGCGGCGAGACTGAGGCCAATTTTGTCAAGATGCTGATGAAAAAGCGGCGGAATGCCATTGATTCAGAAAATACGCTCCCGCTTGCACATCCATACAAGATTCTATTCAAATCGCGATACCTCACTTACACACGGTGGATAAACAATCCGTCACCCAAACACATTTCATTCCATGCACACGGTCATAGTGTCGTCACTTGTCTTCTGTTCTCACAAAATCGTATCATCAGTGCTTCTGACGACCATTCCATCCATGTTTACTCTCCAACCACAGGTCGCTTATTACTGAGCTTGGATGGACACGAAGGAGGTGTATGGGCATTAGCCGCATACGGAAATCTTCTGGTTTCTGGGAGTACTGATCGGACAGTCCGGATATGGGATCTGCAAGAAGGACGGTGCTTACATGTCTTTGGTGGGCATACGAGCACTGTTCGATGCTTGGCTATCGTCAAACCGGAATGGATCACTCATCCAGACACAGGAGAGAGAGAAAAATGGCCAAAACGTACTGTCGTTGTGACTGGTAGTAGGGATCATACACTGAGAGTTTGGAGGTTGCCCAAACGCGGTGAGAGGGAGTTCGACTCGCGTTTACCACCGTCCCCCTCTGGGCATGCCTTACAAGCCAATCCACCCCTACCACCTTCATCACCGGATATTTCAGACCCGCCTGATCCATCGTTGAATCCATACCATATGCATCTTCTATCCGGACATACCCATGCTGTTCGCGCGCTCGCGGCTCGAGGAAGGACACTCGTATCCGGATCGTACGACTGTACCGTTCGCGTATGGGATATCCCTACTGGTCGATTGGTACATACTCTCAGCGGACACACGCAAAAAGTGTACTCCGTAGTCCTTGACTCCCGAGATGGGACCTGGGGCTCAGAAGGTTGGGGATATGGCAGTGCCGCTTCAGGTCGAGGATCAGATGGACGGGCAGCCTCAGGTTCGATGGACGGTACTGTTCGTTTGTGGTCCATCACAACTGGAGAGTGCCTGCATGTTCTATCCGGGCATACAAGCCTTGTCGGCCTCCTGGGCCTCTCGCCTTCGTTCTTGGTGTCAGCTGCGGCCGACAGCACACTGCGTGTATGGGATGCCCGTCTTCCATCAAACGATGGCTCCTACAACCGGACTTCTCTCGGCCCAAGTCCCAGTTCAAACTCCGCCGATCTACTCAGAGGCGTGATGACTGGCCATACAGGTGCTATAACGTGTTTCCAGCATGACGAATGGAAAGTCGTTAGTGGAAGCGACGGTACGTTGAAGGTCTGGGACTTGCGGGACCTCAACTTTGCCAATACATCTTCTTCTACTTTGAATGTGGCTGGCGGTACAGGAACCGGTGGATGGGGCATACCTGGAGCTGGGTGGGGCGCTGCTGGGTTCGGCGCAATTCCGGGTGCTGCAATTGGCTTTGGCGGGGCTGCTGCCCCGGGACCTGCGGCTGTCGGCGGTGCTGGTGCTCCTGGGGGCGGAGCAGTCCCTGTCGTGCGGGACCTTCTCACAGGCATTACTGGGGTCTGGCAAGTTGCATTTGAGGGTCGTTGGTGTGTCAGCGCGAGTAACAGAAACGATGTGACGGTCCTAGATGTGTGGGACTTCAGCAAGACCGAAATCGCTACTGGTGATCCTTTGTCCAACACTACTGGGAGTGGTATAATTGAGGTTAACGAAGAACAAGAAGAACGGGAGAGGGAGTCCAAAGAGGGAAACGTTTGGACATGGGAGGATGAAGAGTGGGTCGGTGAACCACCCGGTGCGATCTACGATTATGAAGACTCGGATGTCGAAGATTCAGATGTCGAAGGAGATGCAGGTATCGTTGGGAGGTATCAAGATGGCGATATCGAGCTCATTTCTGTACATGAAGAAAGAGATGACGATGACGATGATATAGTCTATACGGGTAGACGACCTCCTTCGTCAGGGCGACAAGAATCCATCCATCCCCCTTACCATGTCTATCGGCCGCCCTCGAAAGTCTTCGCAAGTTCAAGTTTGATTAATGCCGAGACCCAAACCGCCCCGCGTACACGAAGGACGACTCGAGCCATGAGTGAAGTCTCGCGAACTTCCGAACATAGCACGCGGAGTCGAGGGAGCAATAGCAGAATGGACGTAGACGTCGAGATCGATGTAGATGTCGAGTTAATGCCTGAAGTTCCAGAAGAACCACTTCACGAACAAGAGGCAGATATAGAAGGTGATGGAGAATATAGGAATCTCGCTGATGGGCTAGAAGGTGACGATAGAGACGCAGAAATGGTTGAGGACATGATGGAAATCGATCGAGACTTTACAGAGTCAAAACGATCTTCCCAAATTCACTCAGCAGCGCGTCATCGTATAGCTTCTAGACGTCTCGAAGAAGAAGATATCAATTCTCTACCAGAAGCATCTACTTCACGACATCGGCATGGCCCTGCACGTTCAAAACGAGCTTTTACTCCTTCGGCACCAAGTCGACAAGTGTCTGGGTCCTCCACGAAAGCCTTCGCGGGATCATATGTTGGGAGACGAGGTCATGGCCCGTCGACTTCTGCAAACCGTGCTGCCGAACTGGGCGAAGGAGAACTGACCTCCTCTGGTTCGAACTCCGCTGCTGATACACCAGGTGACGACGGAGAAGTGAGGATGAGCTCCCCAGGTGTTGCATCTGCGAATACGAAAGGCAATTCTAGACGAAGATGGTTGTGATGACGCTCTAGTTTGCTGATTCAATACGACTGGTATGTTTTCTCGAATGGCCGTTTTGGTTGCAAAGCTCATTGTTTTATATAGTCTACTGTGTCGTCTCCCTCAACAATCTTGACTATGTATAACTGTCCTTGTAATCAAAGCGGACCATTAACGATCTTATCATTTGACTGTCGCCCCGACAATAAACGATTATTATATCTCTTCTTCCGTGCGGATCTGATATCCTGTTCGTTCTTCGTTTCCTCCTCATAATCTACATACCTGTGTTCTTTTGTGTTTTCTTCTCCTGTATCGGTATCAACTTGTTTTCTTACTTACAGCCTTATTGACACCTATGCTCATTTTCATTCGGCCTGACTCTAAAGAAGCACTACAACCAACAACCAGGCATATTACACACAACTCATTTTTTATACTTACCTTTATTCACATTGGAATGTCTTGAAGTTTCGAGTGCAAACTGCCTTATGAAATTTAGGTTTATTAATTTTCAGAACGATTATGTATGTATCAAATCAATCAAGCCCGACCGACGTTTCTTAGTGTACACCATGAGTACCTGATGGTGGGTTCGCAACTAATATTCTCAGTGTCGACAGCAAATTTTTCCCATTAGTTAGGCCAGCTTGTGTGCCCCCAACCTTCGAGGATGCAGCCACGTTCTTGCCCCAGGTGGCAGTATTCTTTTGGACAATTTGAGAATGGAGAGGTTTCTTGTCCAGATTCGACTTAACACCAGCGGAAACTACCGAGACATGGTTAACGAACAAGCAGGGCAAAAAAAGGAAGACCAGACTTACCATCGCCCTTTTTCTTCAGCGGTTCCAACGCGACGTACTCCATAGACCCAATCCTATAAGGGTTGCTATTACTGAACATCGCCTGTGAGCCAACGACCACAGCAGAACTGCTAATCCGGGTTGTCTTCAGACCACTGGAATTTCTTGCAACAGACAATGGGGGTTCCTCTATCACGACACTACCAGGGACCATGCGCATCTTAGCGACGCTGCGCCTGATGTTCTCCCGCTCAATACCCTGAGGAGAATTGTGGTTCAACAAAGGAATTTTGTCTCCCCGGTCCTCCTGTCGGATGACGGGCGTGAGTCCACCAAACGACCCGACAAAAATGGTTTCCTGCCCAAAAGTGGTTTTTTGTTCTGCATTTTGAAGGATGATTCCTGGCTGGGGAGTGGCAAAGAGCTGCGTATGAAGGAATGATGGGTGGCTGTAGAGGAGACCGCCTACTTGATGTGGCCGTTGCTCGATGACAACATTGTTCGAAGTAGAGACGTCGGAGAATTGGGAAGCAGTGTAGGCTTCGATAAATCGACGATGATACTCTGCAGATGGAATCTGCGCAATCTCCAACAGATTTTTATCCGGGCTTAGTAATGAGGCTCTGGTCGCGTCGAGGTCGCGAGTTTGCTTCAAAACTTTCGGTCTGAGGGTTCGATCCTTAGCCGCATTCCTCTCCGTCTCTAAAACGTCTCGTTTCAATTTTTGCAACACGCGTTCATCATCTACAGCGGCTCGCTGCAGAAATTCCTTGAACTTTGGGCGAAGTTGGCGGAGACGACGAACGTAACGTTCAAACTGATCCGGCATCATGGCTTCAATGTTTGGTGAAAGCCGCACAACGTGGGTAGTCAGCGCTCGACGGTGCCCATAGTTCCCTGGTCCTGAGTTCCCATAGCCACTTAGATCATCAGGGACGGAATTTCGTTGTTCCCCGCGTCTTCCTTCCTCGGCCTCTCGCGCCTGCACCTGAAGAAGGTTTTCGTTAGACCCAAAGCCTTCTTCCTCTGCCTCAGGTCCCTCGTATCTGTGACAAAACTCTGAATCTATGATCCAGTTTTTTGAATTCTTTGAACCGAGAGTTTTGGCCCATGTCGTCTTTGGCCTGGTCATAGGCCGGACCTGCATCTCTTCGAACCGCCTGATAAACCGCACTTCGTCTTCGGCTTTGCTCCATTCAATAAACTGGGCTCGATCTTCGAAGGGAGCAGGGAGGGTAATGAAGGCATTCCGTCTGCGAAGCGCCAATGGACGTTTCAGGCCCCAGGAGCCTCTCGACGCATGTGAGGGGGGTGTGTAGTATGTTTGTCTGATTTTTGGGTCAAATGTGGCGAAGCGGGAGCGTCGAAGCAGAGACGCGAATGGGGAAGAAGGTTGAGGGATGTTCACTACAGTGGCCGCTGACCTAGCTGCTGAGCTAGCAGCTACAGAGGTTGAGGCCATACACTTTGTGAAATTTCCAATAGTAAACTTCGGTGAAGGCAGGGTGAAGGGCTTGTTAAGAAAATACACGTTAACTCACCGTCGTAGCTGTTTAGAACAGGACAATTTGTTGCCTGCCGAACATAGTCCCATTCCGGCATAGCAGAGCGTGGGAATACTATTTGCCTACATAAGGCTGGCTGTTTTCTTTCAGTCTTTAAAAAAAATTCCTGGCGTCCAAATTACCGTCTATTCGCTGTGGTCTTCTTGACTCGTTCATCAACGAATTAACGGTCCAGACAAACGTCAAAGAGTAATGAGAGGCTCAAAAACAATCTTTGCTGATGTTCCTCCCACTGGTTGAGGGGCAAGGACGCAGGATCACCTGGAGTCTCCTACAGTCATTTTACGATCTTTTCATGTACTTCACTAGTCTTTTCGTCCAATAAATAAGTGAGTCTCCTTACTATTGTAACCCTTCTGTGGTGTATAAATTCAGCCAGTGAAGATAATCCTGGTAAAGGAACGTGCCCCGTTTCTCCTCCAGTTTTGGTGGATGAACCTCCTCCATAGCAGAGGACGCTTGAACGGCTCCAGTTGCTCTGCTTCGAGCTGTTGCATGGATGTCTGTCAAGTAGGCAAGGGCACGGATGGAGAGTGTAAGGCGAGACTGAGGCTTGTGTACACACATCCACACTTTTGTTGACCTGTTTTTTTACGAATTCGTCGCTCACGTTATTTTTTTCTATCACAGGTTTACCTATTTTCTAATACACTCTCTGCTCCCATTAATCTATCTACGATAACATCCACTGTCAATCTTAGCTCTACTCCTGTTATAATCTTGCTCGTGTACTCCAATAAGATCCATTTAACCTCACGCAACGTGCCCTCTGAGGCTCCGAGAGGCTCTCTCTGGCCTTTGTGCAGCAATCTCCGGATTACAACACTACTGACGGTCCGTCGTGAAGTTCCCAGAGGTTCCCCAGCAACAAGAAATTGAGCCATCAATCAAAACTTCCCATGACCAGGAACACGACGTCCGCCTGGCGATGTATAAATATAACATGAAAACTAAATTTTTCATCCCTTTTTCGTCCTTCTTTCCCATTTCCCCACCCTCTTTCGAGTCCCCTTCAACTTCACTCTTTGCGCCCGGTAGCGCCAATCGACCTATTCACTTCACTTTCCTCTCTCTGTGATTGTCCATTAGTTCCACCTACTCGTTATTCTTCTCGACTTCTCGACTGCTATCCATTTATCACAATGTTCTTCGTTCGTCTCTCTTCCTTCTTCGTAACCCTCCTCGTGGTATGCTGCGCCGCGTCTGCCCGACCGTTATGGTCTTCGCGTGCCCTCAAGCCTCGTCAAAGCACGCTGAATGTTGCTACCTGTACGGATCCCGCGACGCAACTTGTGGAGCACGATTGTAATGTCGCCTTGCTTGGGGTTAGTTTAGCAGCATGTTCATATCTATATGTTATATTCTGACGTGCTTGCTGTTGGGTTTGTTCCAGCTGGGTGGGGGTATTGCCGGAGCCATGTAGGTTTTCAATCCCACATCAGTTTTCTTTTCAGCCCTGACGAAGCTGCTGTTTGGCCTTGAAGTGAATTCCTCCGTGTGAATAGCTCTACTACTTCCGCCACAAGTGGTACTTGCACGGTCACTGCTACTGCTGTCGATGGAGGTATGTGCTGTGAATCGTCAGGCAAGGTTCTAAGCTCATCAAACTCCTGGTTGTGTTAGGAACCACCATCGACATTTCGAAGGGTAGACTTGAAGGACATGGATCCACCAATGGTGGCTTCGACGTACGTCTTTCGAATTGCACTAGCAGAGTATTCCAGATTCTGACTACATTTACTCTGCGGACAGAACCTCCTCACCGCATGTGGTCCTTCTCCTGGGTCTATGGTCATCGGAGGTGGCGCGAAACCTAGTGAGTACATACTCCTTCTCCACCTCGCTGAAGGGCGGCTTACCTTCCCATTTTAGCCGGTAACATCCAGATCGCCATCTCTGCTGCTGCTTAGGAGAGTCTGGTATTCAATGGCGACTTGGAGACTTTGAAAGTGACTGGGAATGTTTAGAATTTTAATGAGTTCGAGAATTATTCGTGGTCACAAAGAGAAAGGAGTCCAAGTTGGGTCCTTGAAGGTTTAACCCATGTAGGCTATGTTTCCCTCGGGTCTACCCTGGCCTCCTACTAGTTCTTCGTTCCTTACAGCTCATGTTCGAAATTGGTCGATGTCCTTATTCGAAACTTTGATATTGAATTGGGATTTGGTTGTGAATGTATGTGTGTAACATCACCTTGCTTGCAATGGTCAATTGAACGTATATAAAATCAACCGCCCGTGCAAATTTCCCTTTCAAAGTTGTCTCTGTCTACTCCGAGTCTCCGACCCGACGGCGCATCACTTTTGCCCTATAAGGCCTTTTCAAGTGTTATCCATGGTTTGCTCTCACTCCATTTTTACAGCTGTCATTGCTTTCGGAGCCGCTTCTTCTGCCTTCGCTATCCCTGGGCCAACTCAACGTCTAGCGCAACAAAATCGCACACCCAACTCTTCTGGGAATATATATCCCTGTCGACCTCTCTGTTTCTCGTCAGGTTCACTCCTCCGCTATTCCTTAGATCCTGAACAATGGAGATGACACAGTTCTCGATATCCCTCGCAAGGGCGTGGCAGATTGTAGAGGTGGAAAATAGCCATGTTCGAGATCTGGACATCATTTTCAAAGACAATACTGAGGGGTACTGGGTTGGTCGCGTGAGTGTTTTTCTCCTTCCTCGATGAAACTTTGTTAAAGCATCTTCATGGATCTTACAGGGAGGAGTTTGGTGAACAAGAATCCTGAAGAATCTCCTCGTTGTGTTGAAATTATTCTGGTTCCGGTCCCTATTTCCTCCAGTATCGGCGCCAGGTCCGTTCCATTTTTTAAATTTATTCAACATGAATATGCCAGTAACGATCCACCAGAGTACCCGCCAGCGCAGCGCAGAACTCGCAGAATCCGGTCTTCCTCAATTTCAACCTCAGAGCCCCGTCCGCCGTATGAGAGCCATTGAATCTGCTCCACAGAAGACTGAGCCAATCGTTGTGGACTATTTCCAGACACTCAGTGCCTTCAAAGAAAAGAATGGTGAATGGGTCCAGTTTTTAGATGAAACATCACCCGGAAAGCAGCTCAAGAAGATGAGCAATGAAATCCAGACCGTATGGCATCAGTACTTGAAAGATGCGTGTAACACTAAAATTATAAGCCACGCTCGCTCTCCCACATAAGCTGACTTTGGGCTTTTAATTCGTTTATCGTGTTTCCACGAGTCTTACTACAGCTGGTTCCGAAAGTCTAGGATGAAATCAGCCTCCTCACATCATTGGAGCACTGCTTAGCCTTGTTTGTGGATGTAGACAAAATAACAAAGATTAACCAGAGATGGATGCATGGAATTGTTGTAATTACATTGTTGGAGTAAACTAGGGCTCTGTAAGAAAGGCAGAGCTGCTTGCTCGGATTTGTTTTTTAAAAAGGCTAGGAACTATGTGCTTAAGCTCCTCCACAAACAAAGCCAAGGCAGTAACTTTTGGAATCAGCTGTAACTTGTATTCCCATTTCGTAGGTAGTACAAGTACAATTGTCTTCGGTGTATCGAACTGTAAACCTGTCTTCCTCCCGAGACATGATCCACAGCACTGTTGATGGTATATCTGTTACACCCTCTGAAGCCTCGCACCGCAACTCGGAACAACTCCTAACTCAATCTCTTTGGATATAACTTTCTTCCTGGCATCCTCCTCCTCCTCCTTGGATATACCCACTTCTTCTCCTGCTGCCTGCATGCTCTGCGTTAGGAAATGCACTGTTCTGATGATCCAGGCGCAACCAAACTCCTTTCGGGTAACACTCTCCATTATTGTGATAGTATTATCGACATCTTCCGGGTCGTCAGAAATCTGCATAGGTAAAGAAATTTCCAAGCTTGTTACTTGATGCGTACTGCTACGCGGGAAGGTTCGGTGGACGATCTTGTTTCCTTCCTTTATAAAGTATAATCGGCCACCAAGGACAACTACGTATAGTACTTCGAGGGAGGAATGTTCTGAGGACCATGTGGTGAACCGTTTGTCTGATTTTGGTATGATCATGAAGCCCATAGATATAGGTTTAGGCTCTGAGTGAATGTAAGTCAAACATGGGTCAGATCCAAAAAGTTATCATCTAACATGGTGATAATATGCTTACTTTTATCACGTCGTTCAAGTGCAAGCATACCAACGCCATCCAGATTATGGGATTCAGAAGTAAGGGGGACCAAGGAAGTCATTGATGACCGCGAAGAGAACTTGTCAATATTCACAGGCGAAGCAAGCACCCCGGCGAGGTAATTAGCGAGAATGATGCCTGCGATGAAGATTTTGTGGAAAGAAATGAGGGCAAGCATGTCGATATCGATACCAAGATGAATGCTAGAAGAATTGAAGAGAGTGTGGAAGGAAATTCGACCAGCGAATTAGACCAAGTTCTTTTGAAGACACTATATGAACATAGAGTTGACCCAGATTAGCTCAGACATTGACAAGAACAGAAAGATATGCAAAAAATGGTTTGAGAGAGTAGTGAGGACCCAACATGTACCATCTGCAGGGTACTCAGCTATAGAGACGCACACAGACACCACTTACCGAACCAGCGTTGAACTTTGACCGTTGATTGGGCTTTTAAAAATCAACAGCGATTATTTATCGTCTTTCTTAAGATATCCTGTCAATTCACGAAATGATAAAAATGTTCCGTCCCTGCTTCCACCGCCTAATTTTGGTAGGAAGTAGGCTGTAGTAGGTAGCCACAAGAAAAGACCGCCGTAGGCGGAAGCCACCATATGTCAATGAAGGCAGGACAAAACACCCTAAAATTTAACATATCACCTTGCTTGCAATGGTCATTGAAACATCCAACCTCGAGCGTCTTATGCAAAATTTCCTTTTAAAGTTGTCTCTGTCCGTTCCGACGGCGGAACAAAGTCACATGATTTCCTTATAGGGCAAAAGGGATCCGCATGTAGCCCTTTTACTTTCAACTCCAACCCTGCGCTCTACCTGTCCCACAACTCACCATATTGCATCGTTCCTGTGCTTTGCCTACAGGATTGTTCCTCGTTTCGAACGGTTCCCCTCTGCCCCCTAATTATTGTACCTTTATAGATTGTTGTTTCTATCCCACCGTATTTTACACAAACTTCCCTGGCAGGAGTCTCCTGCTTCTACAATCTTAGTTCATCCAACCTTGTTGTCAGTTTCTTCTCTGCTGGTGAGAACAGCTGGCAATTTTTCCTCCAGACTATCACTATTGTCCCCTCCTTCCTTTAATCCCTGGTGGCCTGAAAACTCACTAGATTACCTAGTATTATGTAAATTTATTTCACGACTCAGCCTTATCTTGCATATTTTTCTTTTCGTATTGCCTCTTTGGCTCAATGGCACCCTATGGCACCACACACGCCGTCCCTTATAGGTTCCCAAAAGTTTCGCAAGCGGAGCTAGATGCTTTCCTGAGACACGAGGTATTTACTATTGGGAGATAGCGACGTAAGGACAATTAATTCTCTCCTTATACAGGTGCCAACATGAGTGAATTCCCAGCGCCTGTGGGTCAAAGGCTTTTACGGCCAATATCTCAGTAGAAAGGACAAGCAATTTGTCTCCGAGTCCTAGTCTTGTTCTCCAAGCTACATAGATCCTGGCATGGATTTGGGTAGATTTGGGTAATGTACATATAAAGCTCAAGTTTAGTGATACATAATCATTAACCATTGCCCAACAATTCGACGAATTCACCTGGGGTGTACATAAATCCTGTCTAGATTAATAATACTAGAGTCATAACTTCGAATCACTAGTTCCAAAGTTCCAGATATCAAGCATCGATTGACCACTCTTCTTGGAATAAGCACATACGGCCCATTGTCCATCGAAGGCAACCTTCCAGAGACTCAATGTATCCCTCAGAAGATCCTTGACAGCTGTACCGGTTCGAATATCCCACATACGCAGTAAACTATCGCCTCCACCCACAAGCCTCTTTCCATCGTGATGAAACGAAGTGATAGGGCTAGGATGATCATCTAGGGTATGTATGAGGGCACCGGTGATAGGATCCCAGACTTTGAGTGTTGCATCGGCGCAGCCAGAAACTAGATAGGGCGATGGATCTGAAGAAGAGAGCTCCAAGAGTCCGACGAGGGACATGTGGCCGGTGAGGGTATGTAAACGGACGCCTGATGTAGCTGAATAGATATTTATCGTACCATCCAGACCAGTGGAGTAGACCTGATCTCGGGTGGGGTCGTATACAACGACGTAAACTGGGTGTTGAGTGAGTTGGAGTAAGGAAGTACAAACTAGAGCATACCTTTATCGCTATGCCCATTTAAGACGTGCTTGCATACCCCAGAAACAATATCCCAAACACGTACAGAATGGTCATACGAACCCGATACTGCAGTGCGACCATGGGCAGAGATACTGTGTATTGGTTCTGTATGGCCTGTGAGATTGTGCAAATGGTAGGGATTACTGCTTGCATCGGCGTCCTGAAAAAAGTAAGCGAGGAAACGCGTTCGGTCGTTGCAGCACATACTTCATCAGCTATAAAACTCGTTTTATCCTTTCCGGGAATGGACCATACTTTGACAGACTTGTCGCGACTCCCGGTCGCTATTAGAGGCAGCTTATCAGAAAGCTCCTTCTCCTTCACACTCGACTCTTCCATGGCCGGAGAGACAACATCCAAACAGCGAACAGTGCCCGAATGTCCTCTGAAGACATGCAGACACTTTCCACTAACCAAATCCCAGATTCGAACAGTTTTATCCGTAGATCCACTAATGAGAAGATGTTGCCCATCATAGTAGATAGAGGAAAGAGACCAGATTCCACCTTCATGCCCAACCAGGGTAGACCTTAACTGTCCTGTAGACAAAGTATATACTGCGATTGTATGATCATCCGAGGCAGTAATGATGATATCGCGTGGAACGTCCAGTATGAGGCAGGTCACGACGTAGGTTCCATGAATTTCGAGGGAAATATGTTTACGAGTATTGAGATTCCAGTCTTGGGACAAAGAAGCTGGCTCTGGTTGAAGATTCATGGAGATCGTGCACGGACCATATTTCATTGCGGTCATTAAATCTACACGCCCGGTACCCGGCAGAATTTCTAGTCTCGTGCAATGCACGTTCTCTATCTAGGGGTTAGGGGTTAAGGTTAAAATGAATATTAATAGTCCTTGGACGGTGCCATGTATCAATCAATCTATCATTACAAAGAAAGGGATTCGAGAAAACCCAAACAGGTGATCTAGTTTGTATTATTGATTTTTATCAGTTGCATGCTCTCAATCTCTCTCAATCTTTGTGTTTCCGTAGTGGTTGGAGGAAATTTCGAATTTCCGTTCGGATGCGACTCTATGCAACGAGATAACAGCTTTATGGAATCGCTGTGAGAGCAAGGTAATGCGGGTAACCTGAGATCAACTGGAATCGCGAGGAACAGTAAAGTACATGCACCATGCGCCATTCTTCATTCAACAAATGTATCAGCTTGTTCAGCCTGAACAACTTCGAAGACACATGCTTGCTACGCAATAGTTCTTGGAGGTTGCCAGTATTCATCCAGGTCTTCATGCAAGAAGCCGGGTCATTGCATTCAGGTATCCTTGAACACTACGGTGCGCTGATGCCGGAGCTTGGCGGCGGCATGTTGATTATGCATTAAGTCCTTGGTTTTCAATAAAAAGGTCTACAGCTTTCCAATGAAGGTCTCTTGCCCTTTCCCGGTATTCGACAAGAGATATTTACCCAGAGTATCAGCAGTACTACTTTTCACTCTTTTCCTCTCTCTCCATTCGCTTCGTGGGCCGCACGATCTACTATCATGCAGCTGGAGATCACCCTTTCACGTTTCTTCGTTCACCTTTTAAATTGGACAATCAAGCATGTCCTCTTTTCAGGCATCCTCCTCCTCGGTTCATTTTTCAACACGCTTCACAAGAAAGATCTTTCACTTCTTTTGTTAGAGTTTACGTGCTCAGCAGTGTTGATGGGATGTTTCATGTTCCTACTGAGGAGAGCGCTGACTGTGACTCCGAGGCGGCGCACGATCCACTTGGATGACCTGGAATCTGGCTTCCACCTCGGCACCATCGAAGCCACATCCGTCATGAGCGCATGTCCTATATGCCTCGCCAACGAGATGCCCCTTTTCAACTCACTCGCTCTGGGACCGTCCGCCACTGGTAGTGACAGCGAGAGGGAGCAAACATCGACTTCCAAGTTCTTGATGATTATCCCGGTGCTCATCTCCCGACCGGTAATGTTATTGGAGGGGGGCAATGGGGAGGTCAATGAGAGCCTTTAAGCCGAGGTGAGGTTCAAGAATTTCTCAAGCGGAGCAAAATAATTCATCATGGTCATATACTGATGCCAATGAATTATAGGACTTGCCTGGTTGTTCAGGACCTAGGAGCGCTGTTGTGTCTGTATAAACTTCTGATTATGTTCGTACTCCTTCGCAGAGTTTCTGAACTCCTTATCGAAATTCCGAAATCGAGAGGAGCTGTTGACTGGATACCTACAAGGATCTGTAATACAGAATGAACAGTGCCTTTGTCTTTTACACAAATGGGTTCAAGTGGGTCAATCTTCCATTCGAGACTGATCCCCAATGAGCAGTCAGTACACACGATAACCTACAACTCCAGGACGAAGTGACTACAGTCCGACAACAAAGACAGTACACAGGAAAAATACTACTTACAAGATACCTTGACCAGAAGTCTCATATGCAAAGAAAATGTAAACAGAAAACCATCCAACAATCTCACTAAAAATGTAAGGAAATAATTCAAGAACAATGATGAACCATGGCATACCACTTCGAACTATAACATCGACAAACATTTCAATGGCACCCAACCGTGGTCAGCCCTCATGCAGAGCTTGGAGTAGCGGTGAACAAGGACGCGAAAAAGAGTGAAGTGCTTTCTATGGCTGCAGGTGTTGCTGAAGACTCTGCGACAACAGTTGTCGAAGCTGAACCGAAAGAAGCAACTGTTTCCGAAGCCGAAGATACGTCAGTCGCAAGAAGAGACGCGGTGAACAGCGAGGTGCTTTCGATCGCTGAAACAATCGAACCTGCCGACGTTGTTGAGACATTGCTCGAGGCTGCCGCCATTGATGTACTGGCCGCTGAGGCCACCGTCGATACAGCAGAAGCTGAGGAAGCGTCAGTACTAAGTGACGATGCCGTGAAGAGAGATGTGCTCTCAATCGCGGAAACGACGGCGGATGTAGCCGCGGTTGATATAGCGATCGTATTGGTTGCTGTGGTAGTAGCCTGAAGACTAGACAAGATACTGAGCGCCTCTGAAGGCGAGATAGTCGTAGTCACAATCGAATTCGTATTGGTCGCCGTGGAAGTAGCCTGAACACTAGACAGTATACTGAGCGCATCTGAAGGCGAAATAGTCATGGTCACAGTCGAGTTCGTGGTAGAGGTAGATACTGTAGTAGTACTCGTGCTTGTACTTGCTGAATCCGAGAAACTGAATGTGGAGGAAGCTAACGTAGCGCTGCATGAAGTAGCAACACTCGTACTTGTCAAAGTTGAGAAACTACTGGTAGAAGTAGAGGACGCAGACACGACGCTGGATGAAGCAGAAGCACTTGCACTCGTCGAGTTTGTAGAACTGGAAGCAGTAGACGTCGAGTTCGAGGAAGTTGACGTCGATGTTGAATTGGAACCCGTTAAACCACCACTGGCGCCACTAGCAGCAATGATCGATTCTGCAGAACGTTGACTTGTGCAACGAAGAACCTAGCAAAACGTTATGAGCTATTTTAGATAATGAAATCATATGAATGGATAGGTACCGCATCGTTTGCCTTGGTCACGCTAGGAACGGCAAAACAAGACTGAGTTGCGATACATGCAGTAGTCTTCCACTTTGTACCACTGCATTCTGCAGCCTCACCATTTATGCAGGCAACTTCGCCAGCTACGTGTCAATATAGTCAGAGTTTTATATCTATTCCGTGACGACCAGAACAATCAGTTGCATACTCACAAGTGCAGGCATCACCAGAAGACAAACTCTGGAACGCAGCATTCAGCTGTTGTGCAAGCTGAGCATTGGTCAAAAGCTCCGCAGTGGTAAGAGATTTGACCGGACGACCATGCAGTTGAATCACGGATGACGAAAAGACGACTAAGAAAGCGAGAAAGAGCGAGAACGAGGACATGACCCAGGGTGCTGTATCGACCAGCAGACGTGAAGTGCAATCTCAGGCTCTTCCAGAGCAGGCTGTGCAGGACAAAGAAAAGGAATGAAAGAGCACCCGGCTCGAAAAGTCGGAGCTGTGAAGGGAAAAAGAAAACGGGTAAGGTATAGTGGAGGAGGTGTAGCAAAACAAAAATGCGGTCGCCGGGTCATATATCCGTAACCACTCGCAAGACCTAGAACCTAGGGGTTCAGACAAGAATCTGGCCAAGTCTGAACGAAGTCTGAACCTCATTCTTTAGATAGCTGCTAGATAGTTTATAAGGAAAACATTGTATATATCTGGATCAGGTAATGCAAAACGGCGCGTGAATGCAGGCCACGAATGCGTCCAGAATTCAAACAATGATGTACATTTTCGATACTGTAACTTTACAGGTCAACCTATCAACTCCCGCGCTTCCCTTGCTGGTCTGGCGATATTTGGCCTTTCACTCGCGCAACTTTCGTGTACTTTTCGCGTTATAGTGTTCATCATTCCAAGATTTTCAAACAAATTCGGACCCTTTGAAGTATCCTCCAATGCGCTTTCGAGAACCGCGAGTATCACCCGAGAGCAGATCATCGAATTTGCTGTGCCACTGACGAGGTAGGTCCTGCGAAAATAGAAACAAGTGAGGGACATTCTACAAGTGGAAGGATCAGGAGACATTTCACGTACTCAACAATAGGTCGCATCAGATCAGACCATATGGATAACGAGACTACCAGAGCAGAAATCGATTGAACGTACGACTCTAAAGGCAGGAACAAAAGTCAGTTTTTCCTTCCACAAAACTGCAATGTAAGAAAGCACCATCATGTGACTCCTTGAAAGCGTCGTTGACGATCTCCACGCAAGTCTCTCTGGCCTTTTCACCAACGTTCTCACCAGCACCATCAATCACATTAGCCAATGCTAGTACCAAGCTTCCTGCGATTCCCTCCTCTGATGTGCGAATACCACTGATCAGCTCTGTAATAACGGGATCTACTCTCGGTTGATTCTTCATGAGAACTCCTAACGCCCTCCCTGCCTTTGTTCTAACTACGACTGAAGCAGGATCACTGGCACTCTTCACGAATGTTCGTTGTAATTGCGGGAAGAAGGGTTTTACAAACAATGGGATGCGTTCGAGCATACTCGTCAAGCCACTGAGGATGGCTGTCTTTACTGCTGGAGGATAGGATGTTGCCTGGGTCGCAACACGGATTAATGGACCAGTAAAAGGTACGACGAATGGCTTAAACGCTTCGGGTGCAGTACGTTCTACGAGATCGCCAATGGCATAAGCCGCTGCTTCTCGCTGGTCGTTACTACCTGTTGTCAAACCGGCGATGATGATTGGCACCATTGGGGCGATTCCCTTGGTAAGACTGAACCCAGGAACGTCATGCCCAGGAGCTCCAGCAGACTCGAGATTCCGGTGAAGCGGAACTACAAGTGGTTCAAGCTCATCCTTCGGTATTGACTTCACGTATACATCCAAAGAGTGTTGAGCAGCAGTGTGTACTTCGACTTCTCTGTCCTCCATCGACGGGATAAGTTGACGTATCCAGTCTACGTGATATATGGAAGTGTCGAGTTCGGTGACTTCACAGAAGATCGCGAAGAATTGGAGCGCGTTTACACGTCTTCGAGGCGAATCATGTTTGACCCTATACAAACATTAGTACATGTCTGATCTTAATTAACCCTGATGTGAACCTACCAGCCCAATAACAGGAGCATCAGCGTATTCAATCCTTCCGTATCACTGACAGATTCTAACAATGCCCGAAGTGCTTCATCTACAGCTTCTCTCAGCTCGTCATCAGGAGTAGGAGATCCTTCAAGTACTTTTACAATGGCATTAAGGATAGTAGTAAGCCGTTTGCTTAATGCGTTCCCAGCCACAGTAACTAGAGACGCCAATGCCCTAGCATTGAAAACAGTCATTGGGATTGCGGTCAATGTCGGTATGAGGACTGGGAACACAGTACTTGCACGAACCTAGACAGAGATTAGTAATTGACCTTGAAGAATGCACTGCTACAAACATACACTCATGACCTCTCTCAGAGCTTGCAAAGCCGTGCCTGAACCTTTTCCAGGCTGTCGTAATGCCTCTAATAATGTTGGGATGGTCTCGTCAATCGCTTTGGCACCGATATGTTCTTGCAGAACATCGAACGCTTTTGCGGCAGCCGTGCGAACATCGCCCTCGTCGTCGACAAGGCACTCGCGCACAATGACGATGATACCTTCTTCGTGGTCTTCCCGCTGAGAATCGGTAGTGCTTTCCCTGAAAATTCAGTCGTTAATATCCCTAGAATGGTTGAAGGATGATCGAAGGAACGGACATGATCTCGGATAGCGCAATACAAACACCCTCACGTGACTTGGGATCAGTTGATGAGGCTTTGGAACGGAGAAGTGGCATAATTTCTCCAAGTATACGTTCCCCGAACTTTCTGCAGATCTCGGCAATTGTACGACCCGCAGTCTGATAATAATATCAGCACAGGAAAGAATGGATAGACTAGTACCGTACCTCTTGTTGTTCAAATTCAGAACTTGAGCTAAGGAAGATAATCTGGTTGATGAGCTCAGGTAGAATTTCCCTGACTGAGAGAAGGCTTGGTCAAGAGAGTTACAGCAAGAGGATCAAGATGTCCTACCAGTTCGAGGAGTGTTGTGCACCAAAGCTTTCCAGATTTGAATTGATGCTTGGCGTACGACCACAACGCCATCTTGTCTGACAAGATACAGGGCAGCAAGTAATCTATCACGGCGCTCAACACCAAGAACTTCAACAAGAGCACGCCTTGAAGCATCTGCCCCGCCAACTTCAGCAGCAGTGTCGTCCTCTTCATCAATATCAGAGGGCTTTCCGGATATACCTGAAACTTTGAACAGCAACTCTCCAACTAGGTAATGGAAGCATGCTGAGAGAAAATTAAAAACAGTTTGAGGGCACGTCATGGTAGCACATACACGTATACGCCACCCAGCATCAAACATGCCGCGCTCCAATTCCGGAAGTAGAAGGTCAATGGCTTTGCTAGAATAGTTGGTAATGACCATCCGTCCAGCGCGCATAGCCGCTTCTCGAACGTATTCTTCTGAATCTGAAAGTCCGCTGAGAATCGGTCCAATGATTTTAGGAAGATGGGGTTGAAAGCGGGAACCGAACGTAGCAGGTAGGTAGACCAGAAGAGACATGAAACCTTCCCGAACGGTCGCGCGAGGAGATTGTGCATTGGCAATAATGTCTGGAAGAAGACCTTCTAGACGCTCCATTCCCAGTCCTGAAAGGACTTCACTAAGACCTTGAGCTGCCCCTTGTCTGTCCACGCCAGAGGTGTCCATTTTGAGAGTCCGCAGTAGGCCTGGGACAAGGTCAGGGAAGTGAACTTCACCCATACGTTCTACCAAGGTTCCCAGAGCCTTTGCTGCCGTCGCCCGGGCCTCCGGAACTGGATCGACCAACACCACGTGCACAAGAGGCAGAAGTTGCGAAAGGTATGGTACAAAGTCTTTCGTGTCTGTAAGAGAGGCCAGATTACCAACAATTTGGGCTGCTTTTTTCTTCGTATCGGCGCCGCGTTCTCGGAGACCCCTCTCGATGATAGGGACAACCTGATGATGTCAATTATCAGATACATAAGAGCTTTATACAGGTTGCGGGCTTACCAAAGCCAGTGACGAGTGGTCAATGTAGTGCATGAACGAAGTTTTCAACAGCCCGGCAAGTGCATTGGGAGTCTTCGCAGGATCAACAAGAGCTTTGAGCAGGACAGGAACGAGGCCTTGAATTTCAGGATTGCTGATAACTTCTCCAAACTGTTTCAAGCTCTTGTTGGCTGCAGCTCGAACTTGTGCATGCGAATCCGTCAAGACCTCAGTCAATCGTGGAATCACGATAGGAAGCGAGAGTGAAAGCTGGCGTGGTGAACAATACGCCATCATACCCAGCAGTTCGATAGACCCCTTCTTTGACCGCCACTGTTTTTCGTCCAATCCAGAAAGTAGTGAAGGAAGGATAAGCTTGACCCCATAACCGGACATGTTCCCCATGATTATGCGAGATGCATCTTGAGTAGCTTCGCGTACGTCCGCTGATGCATCTCCGAATAGTGTTAGCAGAATGGGTAGAATGAATTCAATATAGGGCTCGAATAGACGTGCAAGAGTGTTTGATAGCGTTTCAATCGCAAATAGGACTCCTTGTCGGGACTCATAACGCTTCTTGTCCTCGCTGGCAGCGCGAAGTTTAGTGACAATTGAAAACTCCTTCATTCCACCGATACCAGTGCCCTTGATTACGCCAGCAAGACCATATGCAGCGCCACGTCGGCTGGCATATTTGGGAGCATTGAAGAGATCCTCTAGGAGGCTGTCAACCAAGGCAGGTACTTTGGGACGCATGAAGTTAACCAGTGGGAGAGCATTCAGAGACAGCGATCTGGACTTGCTCTGATGGCGTTTTGAGAGCTTCAACGAGTCGTTCCACAATATTGGGAATACGAGTATCAGAGGCATCCAAGTGGCGAGCAACACGTCCGAAAAGTATGACCACCGCTTCCTTAATATGATCACCTGTTTCAGTCACAGAGCTAGGTGTGCTAAGATGCTCTTCGAACATGGCAATGAGAGGAGCAATACAAGAGTGTCTATGGAGGTCAACTGTGATTGTCCCAGCAGTCAGCATGCTTCTCCGTACCTCTGGAGTACGGTCTCCAAGTGCTTCATCCTGGATCAGAAAGAGGAAGAACGGCACAACTTCAGTCTCGATAAGGAGCGGGGAAAGCAGCTGGAACGCGCGCGAAACGGCCACCCGAGCTTGCCAAGGATCCGACTGCTCAAGACTTTGCGCGATAACCATACCCTAGAAAGACGATTAGTGGACGATGACGAGTAGATCGACTGTGGCCTGACATATTGATCATATTCTGGCGCTAATATCCTGGCTTTATCGCGATAGTAGTCTTTGAGAATGGTCATAATTTCGACGATAGTTTGAGGCCAAAGTTCTACAGCTTCTGATATAGCGGCGGCGGCGCTTGATCGAACGTACACATTATCGTGCCCTTTATACGCATTCAAACGGTTTGAACTTGTTTTCAATAGCCCGAAAACATACCCAAGTAGTTCAGTAATTGCGTCATGAACGATTGCGGTACATCCAGGCCGTTGTCCTCCCAGATGTGACGAGCGAGACGTGCATTTTTTTCATCTTCATCTTGGCAAGCGATCCAAAGCTCCGCAGACCAATCGAGGTCGGTCAAATCGAATGGCTATAGCAAATCATCAAAACCATGAACCACATATATATCATTGCGTACTTGGAGAGCTTGCAAACAAGAATTGCGGACGTAAACCTCTTGAGAGAGTGTTCCACGCACGAGAGTTTCAATCTCTTCCTTCAGTGCTGAACCGTGAATAGATTCTCCAAGATCAACTAGAGACGAAGATGCTTCTTTACTAAGCTTAGGTTGAAGGCGAATGATGTGAATCAAGAGTTGAAGGGTCTGCTTGCGAGGAAACGCCATATCTGAAACTTGAGTACACGGAGTCAGATAATGACAACCGCAGCGAAGTTCCAGTTTTCTCACATTCACCACAGTGAACTTGATAATATCCTGGGTCAAGGAGACTTGTTCCAGCTTCTCTTCGAGCTCTTCAGTAACTACACCTCCTTCCAAAGCGACATGATTAAAAAGCGGAAATATGTAGGAGAACGTGGCAGAATCAAACGGGACATGTTCCGAGAGAAACCGAACATGATGTAAAACCCGAAGGACAATTAGCTCTGTATAGTGATTTTTCAGAGAAATAGATAAGCCGCCAAGAAGAGCACGTACGACTCAATGGCTCCGCTTTGAGGTCTTCGGGCACGACGTTCTCTCTCAAGCATCGCAAGGTCGCTATTCCGATCCACTTGCGAAATGTATCCAATCTCTCGGAGCAACATTGAGCAAGGCGCTATGATAGTCTCTTGTTAGCCATCATTTCAATTGACGCAACTTGAAACGACATACCAAATACGTTTCAAACGCCAGTTCGCCCACAAGCAAATATCCCTTAGCAAGCGCACCGTCCAGCAGGAGCGTCGAAATTGGAGATACATACATGCGGAACTCATCCACAGACGTCTCCATCAGGCTTCTCACTAGATACAACCCGCGTATTAACTTGAAATGCACATCATTCACTTTTGCGCGAATTTGGCTTTCCTTTGCAACTTGCGCTTGCACCAGTGCTTGTTGTTACTTGGTCAACGTAGAGGTTTTTGCTGCCTTTGCCTTTTTGTCTGCAAGAGACTTGCGCAGCTCGTCCTCCCATTTGTTGATCTCACTGTCTTTGCCTTTTTTGTCTCGTACATCTTCCTTGGTTAAAGATAAAACTAAGGGAAGACATTGTGTGTTAGCCATTGCAACTCAAAATTGATGAGAGAAGACGAGCCATCCACGAATGCTGTTCCCTCTGGTGTCGCCCAGATCCCAAACTCATCTTCGGTCAAAGAGCTCAGGACATCCAGGTTGATATCTTGTCTCAACTGCTCAAGGATTTTGGGAAGTATATCACCAGGTGAAACAAACGCAAGGGTTGACACAGTCCGGTAACAAGCTTCAGGAAAACCTGACTGAATTGGAAAAAAAAAATGTTCAATCGCTTGAGGGTACATATAGCCGGAACGAACCTTTGTATCAGAGAGAGAGGCATCCAGAACGAGCTTGAGGAGCCTGGCTAAATGTTTCCCAATCACCTCTCTAGGATCTATATCTGCCTTTTGACACAAGTCAATCCACGTTTGGTGTGATGACCCACCTACAGGAACGGAATGAGATGAGCGATGGATGAGCAAGAGGAAGACTCACAAACGAGCACATGATTTGCTATGATTACGTAATCCACTACTGCATTCTCCCTCACAGCTAAATCAAGTTCCTGTCCAGATGCTACAGTACTCAAGAGCAACCCAGAAAGATGAGAATGCTTGTTCCAAGGTTTATCCCCAGTTATCGAGCTTGGTGCTCCACGCGATAAGAACGCAGTAATGGCATCCCGGATGATACTGTGAGCCAAATTGGGATAGTGCATGACTATGGCTTCTAGGGAGTTATAAACATCTCGTCGTATTGAGCGTGAAACACCGTCAAGTGCAAGGTGTAAGAACACCGATCCAAATTGAGTCCTAATTAAAGGCAAAGGTTAGAAAATGACATATGAAAGTGTAATTGCTAACCTCAAAGCCTCACTCTTCGAGATCTCGGCATTGAAATAAACTACAGCTGCCTCACAAGCTCTCAAAAGCCACTTCTCGTCATTAACATCCGTTGCCTTTTGATACACCTTATCCCATAACAAGAACGACGGTTTTACGCCCACAGTCGAAATGCCATGCAGCACCGGATTTTTTGCCACGAAATCATCGAATTCCCCCGACTTTGCGAGTGGACCTAATAACAAAGCAATTGCAATGTAGGCCTCCAAAACGCCTCCGGAGGCATTTAGAGGATTAGCGGCAACATTTTTCAACGTGGTGTTTAACGCTGGCATAATAGCTTTGGTAAACTCCAACATGGCATCGGTGTCAGTCGTTTTGGTTCCAGTCCTCCATAAAGCGCTCCCTGCCATCAGGCAAAACGCGTGCCGGATGGATGGTTTGATACCTCCCATTTCTTTTGAAATGAGCCCCGTCACTTCGGGTGTGAGAGGTTTGTTATTGGACAGTAAAAAGTTGACGTGGGATGGAAGTGCATCAGCCAGGATCATCACTGCACCTTCGTGAGTCTCTTTCGCAAGGAGAGGTACGGCGGTCTGAACTAGAGTTTCGGATATTGCTGATGAAGGAGGCAACGATGCAAGCATCGAGTACAGAGCAACACGGTGATCAGGTCCAGCGGTTTTGCTGGTCGTTGGGAGCGCGAGTAATTCAGAAACAGCGAGGGAAAAATCTGAATCACAATTGGGGCTTTTGGTATTTGTAGATACGAGAGATCGAAAGAGCGAGACTGAAGATGTACGGATATTAGGATTGCTGGACTTGGCGCTATTGATCGAGTAGATGAGGATACGTTTGAAAGAGTCAGTAGATAGTGAGTGAGAATATGTTCTGAAAAATTTCGACAGCACTGGAAAAAACTAAAATCAGTGTTTGACTTTAATTTGTGTAGATGAATCACCATCTAGGGAGTATTCCGGAGAACGAAGGACTGCCTTGTCGGCAGTCGGCAGTATCGATGTAGTAAGCTCTTCGTCGGTGACGAAATATTGAATAAAATCCTCGATAGACGTCTAAAAACGTATGTCAGCGAGTCGTTTTGAAGCATGGCGGAAGTCTTACTAGTAGATGCTCTGGTACCGGCGACCTTGTCATTAATACAGATCCAATGTACAGCGTGATTATTTGAGACTAAGAACCAAATGAGGGATGACACATTTAAACAAGACTAGCTCGCACTTTCAGCCATGAAGGAAGCCTCTCAGCTGGTCCTTCTTCCACATTCTTCAGGCGGACGAGAACACTCACAGCAACGCCGATAAGTTGCATAAACCGCAAGGGGGTTTGACTGTCCTTGATATGAGCCAACAGTGTAGATATGAGAGTTGGGATTTTATCACCAGCCTAGATCAATAGATCGAGAAGCTGAATCTACATTGAATGGAGGGAAACACATACTGAGCGTAAGGCACGTCGAACGCGGACAAGTGCACCCTTTTTCAGAGACGGTTTGGCACGGTTTGAGTCGTACACCATATCCAGTAGTATGGCCATCGATCCAACGAGTGACTTCCAGGATAGGGTTTCGATGAATTTGGGATTAGACTCTAGGCATACGGTATATAGCCCAGAACACCAGCCGAGCAAGACAAACAAATTAGAAGGCGCGTATGAGCTGCTCACAACGTTCAGTAAGTGTGCGATTGGATCATTATTGCCAGTTGTACCTCGATGATCCACGCTTAGCGAAATGCGACACTTCATTCGATATCCATCCTACAACCTGCTCTGCAACCCCCATTTTCAGCTCATCAGGTGGACCGTCCTCTGTGCCACGCAATTCGTCCCTTTTTACTAACACCATTCCAACCTCCTCGACCGCTTCTCTTGAAGGACTGTCAGAGTATCTCGGATATGTCAAAGTTAAGAGCCTGAATATATCCATGACCTGCGATAGTGTCAGATCTGAAAAGTTTCAATTTCAGTAGATACGTTGAAAGATAATATACATACCTCCATGTTTAGCCAAAGTAGACAACTCGTCGCGGAGAAAAGAGAGCCTTATGCTGGTCTTACTATCCATCAAAACTTTTTGCGCTGCGATCATTGAAAATGACCAGTCTTTCATGACTTGATCCCTTTGCCACAAAGAGGCTGATGAACCAGAGCCATCATCGTCAGATTTTCCAGCCGACGACAGCCAAGACTGTACATCCGGTTTATTCATCGGCCCAGCGTTTTGATCTTTGGCCTTGAGTTTAGACAGTTTGACTTTTCCGGACGCCGTATTGAATCAGACGCGTTTCAATCTGACCCAGTGTGTGTGCTGGCAGTAGGTGTGAGGGAGAGAAGTAGTTTTGGAACGTGGTCTTATAGAAAGAAAGAGTCAAGTTCTGTTCATCGGACGAACACGAGCTTTCGGTGCCGTGAATTTTTCTTTGAGGTCAAACTCCCACGACTAATTCTCTGTACCGGACAACCAACTTGAACCTGCAGCAATGTCACGCAGTAATGGTAGACCAGAGCCAGAAGTCATCATGAACGTACGCCACCAAGCTTCAGTTTGCCCCTCTGTGATATCAAATAATCTCATTCTCAAGTTCAGTGATGGTTACTCTTACTCTAAGGGCAAACTCGACTCCGCGTGTTTTGCGATACTGGAGAACGGACCAGTAAAGCCTGTGAAAGACTCAAAGCCCGCTCCAAAAAAAGAAGATATCGATCTTATTGTGCGTGCTCTCCCTTACTCGTATTTGTGTATAAATACATACTCATTTCAGGTGAATGAATTCGAAATTTCTCGAGCACGAGCCGAAATAGCCCTCTCGGAGAACGACAGGGACGTCGTAAAGACTATGTATGCGCTCATCAATCTTCATTGATGATCACAGCGCTTTTTGGCAGAGGTTAAGGACTCAAACGATGTACATTATCGTGACCACATATCCACAAAATGCGATTTTTGTTTACTCATTATCTACTTCATGGAGCTTGATGGACAGTCAAGGATTCAACAAGCTTTCAATCAGATGTTCCGCAATATTGAGGATATTCATTTTTGTCTTGAGTGCGCTGCATCACCTTCCTTACTGCTGATCATGAAGTTATCTACAGTCAACCGATTCTGAATGGATATTGATGGTGTTCGTGCCTTCGAGTATATCCGAGTCTGGTGTCATTAACCTTCATGTTTCTCCTCTTGCTAGTGCATATGCGACCGCAATAACTTAGGTTCGACTCCTAATCTTTGCCTGCCAAATTGATTCGACGAAAAGTGAGCTGTCTCCGACTTCTTTTTTCCTTTGAACAGAGTTTGACAGATATTTATTGCAGTCAATTTCAGATCAGTACACAAGGGGAACAGGTCAAATGAGGGAATACTCAGTGAAAAACCCAAACCCCAGGTGTGAGCTGATAAAAGCAAGGTGGGTCCGACATTATTGCGCATAAAGAATACTTGCTACACACCTAGACGATGGCAGCAAGCAAGAGATGCACTGCAATCCGTAACCAATACCGACGTACCCTCATCACGTCGGTATCGGTTCATTGATTTCAAAATTTCTCCTCGTCTCGGTGCTCCCCGGCCTCATCCGACACTTACGCTAGCCATACGCAAGCTCACGTAGCATTAATGTTTGTATTTCCATACGGACAAACGCGATCTGGTGAACGACTTCTCCATCTCTTTCCTTTCATCTTCTGCTCAACCATACTCAAGATTCAAGAACCATCTGCATATACCGAAAGTCACTATTTCTTCTCGAGCACAACAGCAAAGGTTTCCTCTTCTACCTGATTCATCTGCATGTTCCAGTCGGACATAGTACGTATGCACTCTATTTCCATCTTCATGCTTGATTTTTGCTTGTTCCCGAAGCAGACCTCAAAAGGGCCACCAGGTCGCACTTCAAGGACTAGATGGGAAATTGATACTATGACCGTACGGTGGTGTTCCTGCCCCTTCTTGTGCTGGAGCCTAGCATCGAAAAAGTGAGTCGGGCTTTCAAAGAACTGAATTATTCCTCGCAGAACTTAGGAACTGAATGACTAACTCCTCCGCAATTTCATTGAATCTTTTAAAAGCTTTCACAGTAAGGTTCACGAGTCTTGCTAATCGTTTTATCTTTCAATTTTCGAAATTCGATCAACGATGCTGTATCGTCCGAGGGAAATCCTTTGAGGCTTTGGATTTACCGGGGTTCCCCACATGCATAATCCTCAAAGATCATCGGAAAAAGTTCCTCAGATCCCTTCTTCGAAATTCTGATTTGTAGATAGATTCTTGGTTTTTGCATAGATTGTTTTCATGTTATAACTTATGGGCTGGTCGCAATTGTAGATACTAGGCTAGGAACAATAGGATAGATATCTCGAATACTTACTCCAGACCCGTATGTATTATCTAATCTGAAGTCGTGATCAATGGTGCGACCGGCCCTCAATCACAACGATTAAAGGCTGGCCGCTTACGTGTCGCTCATTCATCCCCTCTGCGACCTTTGCAGCGTCGCGTTTCTAGTTACGCGACGTAGTCTGTCGTGAGGCCCTCGCAGGAGATGAAGTTATGGTGCATGGCATAGACTGCACCTCCGTATCCCCTTGCTGTTGCTTTGATACAATAGTGGGGTTCGTTAGAGTGGTGTACATATTTTTTTCGAAGCATCGATGATAGAATCAAATAGTCCGTGATACATAGATACAAGTGCAGAAGTTAGAGTGGCCATAAACTTTGATTTTGTCAAATGGAATTACTCATTACCCAAGCCCAAATTCATAATTAAGTACTGTGTCCTTGGTCATCGTAAGCTCTTGCTCTTGACCTTAACATCCCTACATCTGAGATGCCCTACAGATTATCCGCCACTCTGAAGGCTCATACTTCCGATGTTGGTCTGGTTGTACCTTGCTGCACATACTTCCCTCATTCGTTGATGCTTTAGGTACGCGCCGTGAACTCCCCCACAAACGATATGATCTTGTCAGCATCGCGAGATTCGACAGCGATCTCGTGGCAGAAGTCTCCTTCGCACCCTAAGTTCACGCCTGAAGCGGTCATTCGCGCTAGTACACGATACGTCAATGCAGTGGCTTATATTTCCCCGACGCCGGACGCCCCAAAAGGTACTTTGTCCTTTGTGATCGAAGACAATCGTTTTGTTCTAACTGTTCGTTGCAGGCTATGTGGTAACAGGTGGCCAGGATGCTATCGTCAATGTCTTTTCTCTGTCCTCGCCAAAGGAAGACCCAGATTTTTCGCTTCTGGGTCATTCAGAGAACGTTTGTGCGTTGGATGTTACGCCCGGCGGTACGATAGTATCTGGTTCTTGGGATCGGTGAGTCTCGAGCCTTTTGATACTCGGTCGTTCGAAATTCTTTACGATGAATCCGTAGTACCGCTCGAGTTTGGAAGAACTTTAATTTGGCGTATGAACTGAAAGGACATGAGCTGTCTGTATGGGCAGTTTTGGCAGTAGACGAAGAACAGATTTTGACTGGTAAATGTGATTTCGTTGCAGCGTGAACCTTCCACTAACTGCGACCTCAGGATCTGCGGACAAAACAATCAAACTCTGGAACCAACATAAGTTGATCTCAACATTCAGAGGCCACCAGGACGCTGTCCGTGGATTAGCGCTGATACCAGATTTGGGTTTTGCGTCTTGCTCAAATGACAGGTGCCCTCATAGATTTTATCCGTCGACCTTTTTCTGACCAGCTGTTTGACAGTGAAATACGGGTTTGGACACTTGGCGGCGATCTCATATATTCACTCTCAGGGCATACATCTTTCGTATATAGCCTGTCCATTCTTCCGTCTGGTGGTATAGTGTCCGGAGGGGAAGATCGTTCGGTTCGAGTTTGGAAAGGTGCGTATATAATTATGCATTTTCCACTATAAAATGAAGTAATAAATATCTCAGACGGAGAATGCTCCCAGGTTCTCGTTCACCCAGCTATATCCGTGTGGTCGGTTTCTACGATGCCCAATGGCGACATCGTAAGCGGCTGTAGCGATGGGGTCGTTCGTGTGTTCACTGAAGTTGAAGATCGCTGGGCATCTCCCGAAGACTTAAAGGCTTATGATGATATGGTTGCCAGTCAAGCCCTTCCATCCCAGCAGGTTGGCGACATAAAAAAGAGTGATCTAGCTGGCACAGAAGCCCTCAATGCGCCAGGTGAGTCTAAGTCGAGTTTATGTGCTAAAGAAAATTTACGCTTGTTGCTATTGAAGGGAAGAAACCAGGGGATACGAAAATGATCAGAAATGGTGACATTGTGGAGGTTTACCAGGTACTTCCTATCGCTCAATCTTCCTTTGACTGTCGTCTCAATGATTTCTTTCAAAAGTGGGATGCGGATAATACTACTTGGCAGCGGGTTGGAGAGGTCGTTGATGCCGTTGGGCAGGGTAGAAAACAATTATATCAGGGCAAAGAATATGACTATGTCTTTGACGTGGACATTCAAGATGGTGTTCCTCCTTTGAAATTGCCGTACAACGTTACAGGTATGTTAGTTCGATACGCAATGGATGTACAAGTCTGATCATCTTTCTAGAAAATCCTTTCACCGCTGCCCAAAGATTCCTTCAGACCAATGATCTTCCGCTCTCTTACATCGACCAAGTTGTCAATTTTATCGAGAAAAACACCGCCGGCGTCAAGCTTGGATCAAATGAAGAGTATGTGGACCCCTTTACAGGTGCGATATCCTCGTGCGAGATGTGCTACCGTGTATTTATTCAGCTCTTGTACCTAACCCTTTTAGGTGCCTCAAGATATCGAAGTGGCGGCAATTCAGTACAGACTACAAATTTAGGACCTTCAACTTACGTGGATCCATACACAGGTGCCTCAAGGTACAGTGGTAACTCTGCAGCACCTTCCGCAGTACCTCCGGCATCTTCTGAGTATATGGATCCTTTTACTGGTGCCTCTCGATATTCTGGCGCTCCTCCGTCTAAGCCTCCTACCTCGGCGTCTCCAAAGCGAATTCCGATGGTCTGAGATCTTTTCGCTGTGTTTCAACTAGGTCCCTTGAACATTTTCCCTCTAGGCTGCGTGGACCCTCTACAAGCCCGCCAATGTCCCTTTAATGAGACAAAAAACGTTCGAAGTCGATGGAAGGTTACGGGACGAAATAGTAAGCGCTTTGCTATCTCCGAAGAGTAAGAGAGTAGGTTGTGTGACTAATATGTATGGTTACAGTCTACGTCCTCACTTGCTATGTATCCTCAAGAGCTTGCGTCCCTTGAAGAAACTTTTGCTTATCTGACACATATCACCGATCCCAAATTATCAAACTCGAATCTCCCAACTCCTACCGCCTCAAATGTAGACGCCATCATCCAAATTATTCAACGATGGCCCTCAGCGGCGCTCTACCCAGGTACGATTGCCTCATTTCTACAGACTGTACTTATCTTATAGAAATCTTTAGTCTTCGATCTTAGTCGTCTTGTTGCAGCATTTTGTCCTGGCGCCTTTGACACTCCCGCCCTGAAGAGTCGCTTCATACAAGCTCTCACTACTGCAGGGGAATGGTCTTCGCCATGGAATCTGCCTCTACAAAAATCAAGAGAGATTAATCTAACATTGGTTTTGAAGGCATTAGCGAATATGTTCCAGGAGGGCACAAAGCTGGACGAGCCCTGGGTTAACGAAGTATGTGTTTCTGGTAGTTTTTACGTCTTTGCCATGTTGATGTATTTGGTTTAGGTTCTCTCTGCTTTGAGCCTGTTACCATATGAAGTATTATCGAAGGTCCAACGTACCTGCCTAGCCACTATTCTCTTCAAGTACGTGCATATTCTCTTGAGTCTACTTTATCTCATGCATTTGCATTTCTTGTAGCATATCCTGCACGCAACATAGCTCACCACTTGACACACTCCAGCGTCAGCGCGTTTTTGAACTTGCTTTACAGGTAAATAACTAATCACATCTTGCCGATACATCGATTCAATTGATTGTTCATTGTAGATCTTGAAGAATGAAAGGGCAGATTCAGAGACAGTTTATCGTACGCTGTTCGCGGTAGGAAACGCTGTGAGTCATTTCCATTTCCTTCTTCGTCTCACAACGACTATACTTATTTTCTTCAATATAACCAGTTGTACACTATGAAATCTAGTGGAAACCTATTGAAGCCGAGTCAGAACCAAGTTCTGGACGAAACTCTGCCTTCTATTTCTCAAACCTTTGGAAGTGAGGCTCGTGTTCAAGACCTCATCGGTGAAGTCGCCAGCTTGTTGTGAAATTTTGACAATGTATGTTTCCACATTGTGCATATCCATAGATATCCATTCCAAAATTTCCGAATTCTCCATCACTCTTGGATTCTTCCTTGGGCTTTGGTTGCTTGCATGAGGGGCATATCCAGATACATAGGGCGCTTTCCCTGACATTAGACTTTGATGAATATACGTTGTACATATGTACTAAAGCCACGGACAGCAGTCTTTTGTTATTACGACTAAATAATCCTCTTGCATAATTATGAGGTTATAGCAACAACACGGCTTGGCCAAGACAAATCCCGGAAAGTTTCTCTGTCACCGAGGTACCTGTTGCCCCCGGGACCATGGTAGCAAATGACGATAAAGTCAGTCTACTCTGAGTACTGTACGAGGCTTTCAATCAGGCTGCTGGGATCAATTTATGTGAGCCTAGGTTTCAGCGGTCTACCGTCTACGACCTGTTGCTTGACTCTGAGTCTTGATCATTACCTTCGGAAGTGGCTCAGTAGAAGGAATGGATTCGTAAAGTATGCTAAAAGGCTTTCTGCCTCGACGCTTGCAGGCATCCCAATACACCTGGGCGATTGCCTTGAGAGCCCACCGTTCAGCGAAGCGACGTGTTTCTGGAAAGTGCTCTTCAACCTGTCGGTAGTTAGAACCATAAGCGAGGGAGAGCGTAAGCTAAGTAAAATATTGACACCACGGAGACGAACCGCGCAATACGCCCGAGCAAGTCTTTCTGGATTCTGCGCCCTCCAGGGAACGGACCAGTCAAATTCTGCGGCGAAATTTTCTCTTACGCACGTCTAGCATGATGGGAACGGTCAGTTCATACAAACCACACGGATATGTCAAAACATCTCGACGCACCCGTAAGTAATTCCATCTCTTCTTGTCGTATCCAAGAGCTTGTCGAATATCTTTCATAGGGACCTTGTAAGTGGGGATCGAGTAAGGGATAGAGCCGGCTGGAACGTTGTCTTCGGCCTTTGAGTCAGGTCTGAAATCCCTTTCCGTTCTCCGGTGATAGTTGCGTTGAATACCATACTGGTAAGCTATTTGATTGATAGCCCACCGATCAGCAAAGCGACGTGTTTCTGGAAAGTGTTTCTCCACCTGGAGTAAGTAGAGATATTAGTCGGTTCCAGTGGAAGTATGAAAGAAGCCAAGACGCACGGTGGTGAATATCGGGGCAATTTGTTCGGGGTTTTGCGCGCGCCAGGGTACCGACCAGTCAATCCGCGCGGCAGCCAGGTTGTCTCGGATACAACGCTAACATTATTTATTGGTCGATACAACACCTTCAATGAGAAGACCTCTGCACGCACCAGTAGATCATACCACTTCTTCTTGTCATATCCGATAGCCGTCTTAATAACCCTTGTTCTGATGTGAGCTCTTCGACCAGGTCGAGGAATAGATTGGTATGAGACGTCCTCTACTGTGGGCATATCATTATGGTTGGTTTTCTCAGAAACATCCATTGCGGCAACTGCATCTTCATCCGGAGTGCTGGAAAATTGGCGTAAATTTTGAGTGTAGTTCTGACCAGACGACTGCGGGAGACCAATGTTTCCAGAGCTTCTGTAGAGTAACATGAGGAACAAGGAAACTTGTGCGGAAAGACTCAGGACTGAGACGTGCATGATTTTTCTGCATTTCGATATCCATTCTAACTTCGAGTTCGTGCTTAGCCTGAGCCGTAAATAGGGCCTTGGGAGCATCAGCTGTTAAGGTAAGTAGGATGATAAATTCACACGATATAGATCCTCTCTTCCCTTTGTGTCAATATAAGATTACACACTGTAATCTTACACTGACAAATTTCCTTTCCTTTCCGTATCTCTTCAAGAACATACCTGGCTCACAATTGCCTCTCAAATATCTGCAAGATACGCAAGAGCAGTAAAACAAGTCAGAACATACACACACGATAAATAAGCATGCATTCGCATGTGAGCCTCCTTTGTCTAGCTCGGAGGGGGGCGCTCGGCTCTATCTGCTCCAAGTATGGCTCACATTTGGTATTCGCTTCCAAGATTCTAGTTTTGTATCGTTTTGTTGGTGCTGGTGCACCTCCATGTACAATAAGAGAAACGCGACGTCATACAACCCAAATCCTAGCTTGGTGACCAAGCCCTCTAGGAGGAATGATCAAAGATCAAATTTTGCGTGGCAAAACCTCGCTAGAGGGCTTGGAAAAATTCGTTTGACATTTGAATTGCACGAGATTCCGTAAATAATCATGACATATATAGTCTTTTATGGTAATAGCTCAAATGAGAATGCACGTGAGTGATGTGCCGCTGTCAAAACCCGCCGGCATGGTCTGATAGCATCCATCGCTTTTGACGCAGATGTTTCTCATTCATCCATACTCTCCTCCGAAACTTATTATGAGTGGGAAAAGGCAAGACAGAGGTCCCACCAGAGCATTACCAGGTATGGGTAGCTTCAGACTGTTACAAGAGGAAAGCTGGCATGAGAGTGTAAATGAGGGAGTTGGTCAAGGAGGTAATGAAGGCTCTTGAAGAGAATGGCAAGATTCAGCCAGTGTCTGACTTATGGAACAGATGCAAAAACCATGAAACCAGTTCTTGGACAGTAGGAATAAGAGAGGGTGGATCAGTTGATGTCATAGCATAGGGAAGGAATGAGGACTCAAAATGCATCAGTCGTAGTTGTACTCGAAAAAAACTCGAAAGTGCAAAGCAAGTCAACAAAAATCGGCACTATGCCGTCTCGTGGTTAACCCCGAATGAGATAGCCCCGAAAATCGCATTGCCTAATTAGACTATTTACAACCGGACCGTTCCATCAAAACTGGTGGTATTCAAATGTCAAACGAATTTTACCGGTCCCTCTATCGAGGTCTTCCCTCATAGAGGGACGGTTACCGGTCTACCCAAATCCGACCTCGTGGGATCTGTGATGATAAAAATGATAGAATTTTTAGCTGCAGATTGAGAGGTACATACATATCTTTGAAGTACATATGCTAAAATTTTGCCCGAATCCAACATTCATCTATTGTCTGAGAATCCTCCCCTTCAACGGTGGTTTCTGAGCGGACACGCAGGAGGCAAGCAACGAGGTACTCGAATCTTAATTATCTTTGGGGAGCTGGTCGGTTCCAGCGATTGCTACTACAAATTGAGGCAAAAGGATCAAGTAGGAGCAATAATCATGGGAGCAAAGCGATAATCTCTATGCACAGTGGAATTTGATTATATTATTTTCAGCCGAAGCCCTCACTTATGTAGGCTTCTCAGGCTTAACCCTCCGATAGCTACGAGTTGTGAGCATTTTTCCTTTACTCAGGTCTGTTTCTGCATTTATTCACCCCATATTCACCTATTCAGCACGCAATTCGAGCTTCAGTTTATACTACTATCCTTGACGCCTATACATACGCATCACATGGATTAAATTTCGTAGCATAAAGCTGTCTAAGCGCGCGGCATACCCTTAGTAATGTCCAAGGGAACTGTGGGGGAAAGCGTTTGATGTTAGGATTCTGTTCAGTGTGTTGTCGTCAAATCTCTATCCGAGCTCGATCACGTTGGTGCCCTCGCTTTTTATCCAATATGCGATAGCCTGTGCCCACTGAGCTCACAAGCAACGTAACGCCTGTGAAGATAATGAGGGGGCCCTGTTCAAAAGGTTGAGTGGATGGAAGGTAAGAGGCGTCGTATTGCCTTACATATCCTTCAAACCCATATGCAGCATGAGATTTTTCTGTCAAATACCACGGGTGAAGCAATCCAGATGCTATAGGAGCCGCCAACACGTTCCCAATACCTCGCCCTGCGGAGGGTCCTAAGCAAGCAATTCAAACTGGTGCAATTTTTTCGACACACCGGCTATAAAGATACCCATAAGAGATGAGGCTTGACGAGGGTCATCGCCATCGGAAGTGGCTACGAATCGAGGCCACAATGCACTCCAGCTTGGCGCGAGGAAGCCGTAAACACAGGAAAAAACTAAAAGGGGGGACAGACTCTCGGAAAAACCCCAAAGGAAGAAGACAGCGGAAGCGGAGCCCAAGGAAGAGATTAGAATAGACCATTGAACATCAAGAGCGTCTGAAAGCCATCCTAAAAAAATAAGTCCCGGGACGGATGCACCTATGTAAAGAATATGAATAGGCAACATGAGCTTCCTAATCTTCGGATATATCTGAACTGACCGTTTAGGAAAGAAAGCGCAAGAGTTCCTGATGTTGTTCCGAGGTTCAAATCGGAAGCGAAGGCTAAAGATCGCATGAAAATTAGTTGGTTCGCGATATACACAAAGAGTAAGCATTGTGGCGTACTCGGAAGATACAAGGAAGGTAAGAAACTTCCCAATCCCTGGAAGATGTTTGCGGCAAACAAAATCCAGAAGGGACTAAATCTCAAAAATTTGGTGTTAATACTTCGTATATCCACGACATGTGCTACAGGGACTCGAGGCTTGATGAACGGCAAGCAAGGTATTGATAGGATAAGGAAAGCAACAGCCTATAGAGAAAGGAAAAATCAACACTGGGAATCAAGACTCAGATGATATTATCCTGACCAATGATAGCAATGTAGTTCTTCGACCATATCTGTTGAGGAGGGTTTCAACAACAAAGGGTGTTATCACACCCCCTACGCCTATATGGTCCTACAATGAATCTCTGGTAATCCGTAGTATTTGATGTATGTTTTACCTGTGCCAGAGTATATCACCCCGTTTGCCTAGAGAACAGTAATAAATAGGTAGGGAAACTCCAGCAAGATGAAATGCGTACCATGCCCTTTCTTACGGAAAACCACTCGAACAGATATGTTGTCATAGGAAAATAGAGAAGACCTGTGGTTGTGAGCAATGCGTGTATACTACAAGGGGTAGAAATCGGACGTACTTCCTCCGACAGAGTATATTATACCCTGAGTGAGAATCAAATGCCACATCTTGTTCGCATAGGCTGCGCCGACTAATCCAGACACGCAAAGTATGACTCCGAGAATCATGGCGTTTCGTTTGTGCCAGGGATACCGATTGATGATAGGTATGATGACGGGAGAGGTAAGATAAAGGACACCACTGGATAGAGACCCGACAAGAGCAAGTGAACTGGAGGAATAGTGCTGGAAATCGGGGTCTGTAGCATAGAAGTTGAGGAAGACTCCATAAGAAAAAGGGAATGACCTATGAATTTTTTTACATGTACATGTCAAATCATTTGTACTTCTCCCAAAGTCGCAACATACCAGACTAAGAGTTCGACGAACCACGCGCTGACAAGGTATGCCCAAGCGTGGAAGCCGCTGTCCTAAAAATATGTTATAAGTTGTAATTAGTACTAAGATCTAATGGAGATCGTACCATTGGAGGAAGGGAGACTGCATTTTCCGGTTCATGTTCGAGTATTGGTCTCGGTGAGTTGGTGTTTGACAAGGGCGCAGATCCGGCATGCAGAGTATCTTGTTCAAGGCGTATAGTAGATTTCGACCAGTCAGAATCATTAAAAATTTCACTGTGGTATATTGATAAGCAAGTATATCTGGTACGTCTAATTTATTTACTTGACCTACCGAGGATCATTTGAAGCTGAAGTAGATGGAATTGTAGAAAGGATCTGAAGCTCCATGCTGGATGAATTTCGTCTTGGAGGGTCTGTCATCGTCAAGGTTGGAATTGAAGAGAATATGTTCGTGACTCGACACAGCTCGACACTGACTCGACAAAAAGTTGGCGCCCTGATTGCCGCGGCTAAGTATTCGGGGTTCGGAACCGCTGCACCGTGGTTGTCCACGACGATCAACTGGATATGCTTATTGCAAGAGTCTACATCCTTCGACACGGAGAAACGGACGAGAATAGAGCGCATATCATTCAAGGACAACGAGATACATTGTTGAATGAGGCTGGGAAAAGACAAGCGGCGATGGCAATAGATGTTTTTAGAGATGTAAATCTAGATATTGCTTTCACCAGCGATTTGCAAAGGGCAGCAGATGTAAGTGATTTCATTCTTATTGTTTGGGAAATTTCTTGACGACTTATATTGTGTAGACCGCTGAAATTATATTGAAAACCCATCCCAGGCGCGACCAGATCACATTGATCAAGGAGAAAAGGCTCCGGGAACGTGTAAGTGCTCACTATTATGGATAGAAATAACAACCCAACCCACTATATTCAGTGTCTGGGAAGGTTAGAAGGGAAACATTTGTCGGAGAGACGAAACCAAACTGGTGTAGACGAAATGGCTGAGAGCGTGGCATCATTCTTGGACCGTGCCCTGTCTTGGTGGGATACGGATATAGTTGAGGGTCTGACTGGTACACCGAGAAAAGTTCCGCGTGAGGTTTTGGTGGTTTCGCACGGAGGATTCATTAGTAGTTTGGTAAGGAATCTGATATCGAGTGGTAGAATTGAGGCGGAACCAGAGCAGGTGACAAACTGGACGTGTTTCAATCTCTCAATCACGACAATCGATTTCGAGGAAGGAATCAAGCCTAGGCTGGTCAGCTACTCGAATATCTCTCACCTAGAGGCGGAAGAACTTGTGCAGTATAACGCGGACGTACTGAAAGCAGCGGGATTTTAAACATGGGAAAACAATTAGCTAATAGATTTTATTATCGGAGGTCGGCTCCGAGCCGTCTTGGCATAGATTCAACAGCTTTCTCAACCACAAGTAGACAGAGACACGTTCTGAACAGTTCTATCTTTGCAGCCACTTTACTTCCTTTTTCCTATGGCCTCAACATCACCTTCAGAAAGAACTTCGTTGCTACCGAATGGCGACGGTAGGAATTTATCTGAGTCCGACAATTCATTCCTCCATCGAACTTCCGTCCTTCTCAAAGCGGAAGGAGAGACCTCTCACTATGATTCCTTTATGTTTTTCGTTTTCGGCTCTTGGGTCAACGTCCTGCTCGTCTTTGTACCTCTGAGCGTTATAGCTCATAAACTCGATTGGGATGCTGCGTTGCGTTTTTCGTTCAGTTTTCTTGCTATCGTCCCTCTGGCTTCGGTACGTCTGGGCGTCAATCTTCACGTTTCTAATGATATATATTCATTATGATTGCCAAGTACAGCTTCTGGGCACTGCGACCGACCAAATGTCAACGAAACTAGGTCAAACTCTTGCGGGATTGTTGAACGCTTCGTTTGGAAATGCGGTTGAGATCATCGTAGGCATTGCTGCTCTGATGCAAGGTATGTGATCCAACCTTATACACTCATACGGTTATGAACATCCCGAATAGATCAGATTGTTATTGTCCAAAATTCCGTTTGTATCCACCTCCCCAACGAGAGCTTTTGCTTACCTCCAGTCACTAGTTGCTAGGATCGATCTTGTCGAATATACTTCTCGTTCTCGGATGCTCTTTCCTAGCAGGTTAGTGAAGCTGTCACTACCCGTAACCTTGTCCGAGCCGACCTTCTACACTTTCAGCCGGAATGAAGTTCAAAGAAAGTAACTTTCAAGTAACTGCTGCGCAAGCGTGAGTCTGGTTCGCAGCTGGTATGAAATAAACTCATCTCGGTCGATCTATCAGTTCAAGTTCTGTATGCTCTCATACCATCTTGTTCCTTCGAATTCTTGACAAAGTCACTTTTCTAGCTCATGACATTGGCCTGCATAACTCTCATCATTCCAGCTGCTTACAACAGTGTCAAGCCCCCAGTAGAAACCCTGCTCACGAATCCTCTCAATGTAAATCCTGGCGTCATAGGTAACATCATTATTTATGTCCTTTTCTTTTCCTCACATTATTGCAGACCCGGAAAGATGGAGCGGATTATTGATCATATCCAGAGGGACAGCTGTTTTATTGCTTGGAGTATACGTAGCGTATCTATACTTCCAGGTGAGTGTTCATCCCCTGGTCCAATCAATATTCCATCAACTAAATTCATAAACAGCTGAAATCCCACGCATACCTGTTCCAAGCTGACACCGAAAATCAAGAGGAGGAACAGCCTAGGATGAATATCGTTGCTGCTTCCATCTCGTAGGTCCTGATCGCGAAGCTTTCCCGTCTCCCCAGCTAAATGATAATTAGACTCCTTCTTGTGACCATCATCACTGCGTTCTGTGCCGATTACTGTGAGCACTGATCATCTTGTGAGCGTCGTCTCCAACCTATAAACCCAATTTTTCTAGTGGTCGCTTCTATCGAAGAGTTTGCCGACCGATACCACATTCCAAAACCATTTATTGGACTAATCCTACTACCCATCGTCGTACGTGTATGAATTCAAATCAAAATTTCATAGCGCTCATAGTCATCCATCAGGGTAACGCTGCAGAGCACGTTACATCTATCTGGATGGCGCTTAAAGGACAAATGGAGCTCACCATTGGCATTTGTGTTGGTTCTTCGATTGTGAGTCGATCTTCGGTAATTCATTCAATCAACTCAATACATGGTCAATTGCAGCAAATCGCTGCCTTCGTTGTCCCGCTTTTGGTTGTCATAGGCTGGATGTGAGTCGTCAGCTGGTGTTTCTGGATACGACATTCATCGAAAGTTTTGCAGTTCTCATCATGAACTGACTTTATTCTTTGCCAACTTTGAGGTAATGTTTGACGCCCTGACGATACTTGCCCAAAAGAACTAATTTCTGTAATACTTCAATAGACGATTGCATTTTTTGCGTCCGTCTTCTTGGTCAACACGCTCATTCAGTTAGTTGTGGTTTTTACGAGAGCTGGACTGTACTGACCCCCTAATCTATTCAGAGACGGTAAATCGAACTACATGGAGGGCTTAATGCTTCTTACCCTCTATCTGGTCATTGCTCTTGCTTGTATGATTTACTTTTATTCATCTGCTTTCATCCCATCTAATGGTTTTTATAGTCTGGGTATCTTAGACTACTCGGTTCAATGAAAATTATACCACTCCTGTTTACTAATCTCCCAGTTTTTCCTGCGCTACCCCGACCTTTTCTTCTAATGATATGCTTACTTGACTGTACTGTACGTCCAGAAATAACGGTGTAATCATTCTGCCCTCAAAGGTGCCTGCTGCTTCATTCACTCAGCACTGTACACATTGCACACACGAAATTTTATCGGTTCTAGTTTGCGTGACCTTAAAGCACGTGGCGTGATGAAACGCGTTGCAGGTGACGGGCCTTGAGAAGCCCCGATCCCTGCCTGATCCCTGACTAACCACGTTGACTTCCCTCTTATACTGGCCGCATAATACGCTTCCTATAATGCAGGCGCAGGCAAACCGTACCGAAGCCAAAACCATATCCTCCGCGCAGAGCCTTGCCGCTGTACAAACGCTGCTGAGGGCTGGTCTAGGCTGCATTACCTTCATGAGAGATCTACTACCTCAAGATAACTTCACAGAAAGTGAGTGCTTGTTTGGAATGCTGGGCTACTACATACTCACTCCGAGCCTGTAGGTCATTTCACAAGTACTGATGATTCTTGTATGTCACAAACATCGTCCAACTCTACGTTTTCGTCCCCGGCGAAAGAGAAGAAGAACGTCAACGGTTTCAAGATCATGGTAGAGACTATCATGTACATCCTCACATGAGACTCTTCTAATTTCTCTTCAGACTATGTCTCGAGGTTACACTGATGAAGCTGACAGGATTCTAAATTACTTGGTGCGCTCCATTATTGTTTACGGGATTTTACATGATCTATGCTCATACAAGATTTTTCCTACAGGAGTACGGCATATTCGATGCGCTGCAAAAACAGTACCTCAAAAGTTTCATCTTTGCCTTATATCTCGTGCGTAGTATCACACTCCAGCGTAAAAATCAGACACTTACCCACTACAGGATAATAATGACCCAAACAAGTCAGTAATAACCGCATATATGCAGCTTGGACAACCATCCTGACCTTTAGCTCAAGTATCGTAGAAGCCTACACCTTCAATTTCCAGGTATGTCTCTCATTTCGTCTGTTCTTCGCGTCGACTTCTAATAGTACTAGTATCACACAATAATTGGGACTGATATCGTCGTTCCGGTGATGAGTCTGAATGATGATATGAGGCGTATGTCTCTCAAAGGCAAAGATCCTGTCGCGGAAGCAGCCAAAAGAGGTGCAATCCCGACATTGAGGGATGTCAAACGGAGTGTCAAGGTAACCTTATTCACTCCCAAACACTCCCTGAAAGATTCACGATTATTGACTTACTGTAGACGCTTCTCAAGACACTGATAACTTCCATGACTCAAATGGATGTTCTTCCCAGTACGTTGTCCACACATCATAAAGCCCTATCAACTGATCTTGGGTAGAACGTCGTTATGCTACCTTCAAGGTATTTTACACGGACGACACGCCTTCTGACTACGAGCCCCCGCACTTCAAAGCTGGCGATTATGAGAAAGACAAATGGTATTTTGCGACGCATGATATGGAGGAAGTACCAGATAACTGGAGCGTAGGCAAGGTTAATGCGGGATGGCATGAGTAAGTCATTTCAAAATTGAAATTTCTGTTTCTAACATTGTTTCTCCACAGGGTGGACGTTAGCGTCAGTTCCATAGCGACATATCTACCTTCCTCCACGGAACACGATAATCAGCCTTTTGGCGGTACTGTTACTCGCTCTGTAGCGCTAGTGCCACCAAGTCTCACACCTGCTGGAGAGATCGCGCTACGTGCAGAGGAGATCAAGAAGCAGATCGTCGATGCAAACAGTAGGCGAGTTGTCTGGGCCGCCGAAGATGAAACGAAAGAGGAGACGGATACTAGTGGTGTCGGTGGTAAAGGTCCCGATATCGTTCGAAAACCAATCGGTATCAAAAATGATAACGGAGAAATACGATGCCTAGTAAATGCTGAAGAAACTTTCGAGGAACGACATTACTATGGACCATCGCCGATTGCACCCCTAGGACTCAAGGATATCCAGCGACCTATCAACTCTACGCCGACATCTGACTTTCCACAGACCCAACTGGTAAATGATTCTGACGTGGAAGATAACAATTTTGGCGAGGATTCGCACACAAATTCTGGACCCAGGCTTATGAGAAGACAAGAATCCACAGTCTCGGAAGCCTTTTCAATGAGCACTTCTTTCGCCGGTGACAGCGTGCTCGACACCCCTACTCCTTATCCAACAACGAGAAAACGCATCGATGAAGTGATTTCCCGGTCTCCTTCCCCTGATTCCTTCATGACCCCGGATGACACGCGTCTCGGTTCACGTACAGTCTCTATTGAAATGGGAGTGTCAGACAACGAATCTCGGGGAATAGAAGCAAATGCGTTAATGGAAAAATTGGCGTTGAGTTACGACGGTGGAATGGATGATATTGAGGACGAAGAAATGCTAGGTAGGTTAATTAATCCTCGCTTATAATCACTGCATTCTTCTCTTGTTTTGCAGATCTCGAAACCCAAGTTGTCGAAGCAATTAATCCTCAGTTGATCGAAATCCAATTGCCGGATCCTATTCAATCATTCGATTCCAGTAAGGCCTTGCCCACAAGCAATAGAGCTCCACCTTCTGCCTCGAGTTTTATTCCTGTGGCACATAAGATACAAGTACAGAAGCCCAAAGACGATGTAGTGGATTGTGAATGCGGGATCCAAGTGATTCGTTTCCATTCTATCGTCTTCACCCCAGACTGATGGTCTGTCTGTAGGAAGAGGATGAGTGCTGCTCCTGCGAGGGTGGCTGTGACAAATGGTATCACATCTGGTATGGACATCGATACTACTGTACCGTTACAATGCACTCATGTGTTGCCCATCTTATGTAGGTGTATGGGCTATCATTCCGTCCAGGACCCTAGGCTTCCGGAACAATTCATCTGTTTCAATTGTCGTCTCCGCGCAGACCCTTCTTGGGAGTTAATCAAGGTGGAATTGTATTCGAGCTTGATTATAAAATTCCGAGAACTAGCCTCCTTCAGGTGCGTCTAGCTCCTGTCCAAGCTTACATATCTGACGCTATCTTCAGGCGTGCTTTAAAGGTAGCAGAAAAACATAGTCCATTGACTGCGGTGGAATTCGCTCAAGCTATGGGTGAGTCCTTACTCTGCCATGTCAATTGCTCAAGTATTCAGTACCCAGACAGGATGTGAAAATACGCAGGCGCGTCAGCTCATCAAGCGGTTAGAAACAGAAGGTATTACCCGCAAAGTTCCCCAAGTGACCAACCTAACTTGGGAGAATAGGTTTCATCGCGGAGGAAACTACCACCACGGATGAGATTGGATTCGTGCAAACTCGTGCGAAGACTATGAAAGGAAAGGGGAAGAGTGCTAAGCAAACTAAACCACGAAGAGGATTGCAGAAGCAGAGGTTTGTGTTCAATTTGAAGTCAGTGCGCTGCCAGGAATACAAGGACTACTTCGATCCAAGTCCCGAAGTGGAGAGTCGACTGCTCGGAATACCTCAAACGGTTAGTTTAAATTTCCTTTCCAAACACATCACTCCAATCAAAGCACTCCGCAGAGAGCCAGTCTTAAAGCACGAAACACAACTGCACGTGACCCTTCTCGACCTGAACCTTTTCCCCAAACTCAAAGCGCCCAATCCCAAACTCAAGATGATCCCGAAGAAACGTTTACCCTCAAGCGTCCCCCTGAAGTGAACACTGACGACAGCTTTAGGAGGAAGAAAAAAGTCAAGATCTCTATTACCCGCGGTGTCGATCTGGCAGAGTAGACACCAAACATGTTTCGCTATGCTATACTGTCTTGACTGCGTCGTTCCTTGCTCTGATCTGTCATGTTTTGCTACGTTTTCAGATGACTCCATTACAAGTTCTCGACATACATAGATGTTTCTCTTCTTTCCGGATACTGTGCTTGAATGGCATCTCGGTATGCAGCTTCATATATTGTTGATTAGGCTACTGTATGCAGGAATTAAATATTAGAAGTTATCAAAGGAATATACTAAGTATAGTGATCGATGCAATGTGTCGCGTTTATGCGGATGGATGATTACAATAAATTATTGCTGAACAGAAGATGTGTATCGATGCCAGATCGACGGAGAAATGTAAAACTTTCAAAGTTGATTGACGTGCCAGCCGTCTGATGATTGATCCAATGGCAATACAAAGATTCGACCTCGTGTATTCCTCGCCGAAGTCCACGATCAAGTTGAGTTGGCCTGCTCAATGACCTGCTCAAGCCACACGGAGAGTGAGTACACTAAGACTGAAAATACAGAAGGAGAAAAGCCTCACAGTGACTGTCTCGTCTTGCTTAGGCGTCCCGTTCTGCACGAACGGACATCTCCGTTTATGCGTCTCCCAGAAGCCGGGATAGTAATCAAAACGTTTGTCCAAACAAACACTTTTCTGACACCCTATACAAAACACGCTTTTCGCAGTCAGTTTCGACGCATCGCTCCATGGATCAGCTTGAAGTTTTGCGATGCGCTTTTGAACAGAGTCCCCGCGGGAAGGAAGTTTCTTGTAGGGCGGGATCTGACACAGCTCGGGATCCGTCTTCACAACGAGAGCCTCGGGTGATGGCAGAGGAGACGCCGACGATTCGAGCGTGTCCTTTGATGTCGTTCCTAGGGGGATGATGATGGGAGATTCGAGTGTAGGGGGCACGGGAGTAGAGGATTTAGAAGTAAGAGGGCTACTGGTACTCTGGCGCTGACTGGAGCGGAGTACTCGTGTCGAATGAATAGGAATATCAGCAGCGCGAGGTCTTGACACGAGGAGGTAAGCGCAATATACGCTATGTGTGAGGCAAACGACCTACTTCGGTACTATAATTACGGGTTCCTTAGGTGGCATATTAAGTGGCCATGCTAGTTTGTTCTCCTCTCCATTTATGTCGTAAATATCGTCGATGATATGCGGCTGTTTATCCATCCGGGCAGTCGCATCTCTATGTAGAAGATTGATTCTGAGAATGCGGAATGATATCTTTCTGTAATGCTCTATGATTGTCTCTATCGACTGTATGGTCGAGTGGCTAAATGAACAAGTTAGTAAGTAATATCTCGCTGAAAGACATTGGTTCGAGTTTTACCTCTCAGCCACTGATTCGAGGAAGTAAGGCCCTACATTATTTGAGGAGAAGTGGGCGGGCGAGTCTTCATCTGAATATTTGGCCAGTATCCGGCGTAACTTGGGTGGCTTTACTGTCATTAGGTGGTCATCGCTATTCATGAGATCATTTCCAGTGTTGCTATCATTAGAAGGAAGTCCCTCTAGTTCCATCTTCCGCTTTTGAGGGACTGATACAAGCGAGTATGTGTCCGCCATGACAAGAAATGGGTAAGTAGAGCAAGAAAAACCAAGAAGGAAAGACGAATAGACGCGCGCTGTAAGTATTACCCAATTCATTCGTGGGAATAATGCTCAGCGCCTAAATTATGACGTCTGTTTCCTTCTCTAAGCTCCCTACATACCAGGTTCTGCTCTCCAGAATTCCAGAGTCAAGAAATTTGGATTATCGAGAACTGTGGATACGAGCTTCCTGGCATACAGGTAGAATTGAATTGCTCTTGTATCTCGTGAGTGTGATCTCGTTTCGCGTCCTCTAGTAGACTCACAGGGATTTTAGGCTCAAATTTGGGTGGTAGTTTCCAGTCAAATTGGGGGGGGGATGATAGTCGATCGACGATAATACACATATTGTGACATGCTTGAATTATCCAAGGTTATCCTGGTCTATGTGAGTGCCATCAATTCACATCGACGTCGTAGAAGGTTCAATTACACTTGCCTACGCTGCAAAGATCCTTTTCATTCAATCATTCTGCAAGTCGCTAAATGCAGAGTAATTTCTCAAAGTCGGGTCGAGGTTGGGCCCGATCGCGGACCTTTGTCGATGTGCCTTCTATCCAAGCTAGTGCTTCGCACGAACTTATCTAACTCAAACTTCGGGAAGCCGCAAATAGACACCTGTCTGGAACGAGAGTTCAGTGCTTCAGAACATCAGTGTAGAACTACAGCGCCGAAGAGGTCGAGTGAGAACAAAGGTACGCCCGTCAAGTCCTAAAATTCGTTCATTTCAATCATGTCTATTCAAGTGCAGTAAGAATGAAATTCGGGGGAATAGCAGGGAATATCCTTCGTAGCGAACTGTCATCAGTCTGACATGTACAAGTGCCAAACTGTTATAGAGCGGAGACCATGCGTTTCGGATTCGTAGCTCTTGAACAGTCGCTGGACATCAGATATCCTTACCTTCCCAAGATAGGCCCAGATCAGGGACATTATTGTATCCGGAGCCATTACCACAGTGAACCTTCGGCCTCATCGCTTTAGCAGAATCGGAAACTCCCTCGTAGGCAGGAACCACTACCAAAGGTAGTACAAAGGCCATTCATTTCCAATATCGTCTTCCTTTTGGGACAAGACTAGACAAGACTTCCAGTTGTCCAGAACTTAAAGCAACAAATTCATCGAAAACTCAGTCACTTAAAGGATGCTCAAACAGTGCTACATGAGTATTATCACTTTGACTCTTGACCGCGTCATCAGACGCGTACAGGTTGACTGTTCGTCAAACACTCAATTGAACAACGGTGCCTATTATGAAGTTGATAGGAACACTCTTGCACACAATGAACTTCGTCGTGAACTTTCCGTGGACAGGATAATCCCGGGATTGCCTACTACATCACTGAATTTCGAAGGATAAGGGAGGGCATGGGTCATCATAATGCCGTGGTAAGTGCTCTTCATGTTGGAATGCTTTAGTGTCGATCTATGAATCTAATGCCTCAATCAGCCTCAATCCTTTAATCATTGCGGTGCTTTACCAGTTCCTGGATTCGCTGTCTGTTGGACGGGGTTGGACGTCCCAAACAGGTCCGAGCCGACTAATTACAGGTATCCTTTAACCGATGAATCATCATCCTCTCAGAGCTGTTGGCAAGAAGCGACTGCTCGGGAAAGCATAAAAACAGCTCTCTCTCTCGAAACCAGCAAGACAGCCAATCACCTTTCCACAATGATCTCTCTGTCTAGACTTCTCGCCTTCGCTGGCCTAGCTGTTTCTCTCGCAGGTACATACATGAATCCTTTTTTCTTGACATCGAGCAATGCTCACATTTGTTTCCTCTAGAATGTTCAGGCCTCGTCGCACCGGCGTATCAGGGCGTACCTGCCACTGTTAACGACCCGCCTGACTTTAATGGAACCTCTACGGACTCGTCTTCCATTACCTCGACCGCTCTTCAGGTGGATCAAAAGGCGGGTGCAACGGGAGACGCTCCTCCAGATCAACCAGTCGCAAATACCACGGTTACCGCTGTTGACGGTAATCTGGTGAACGCCACAATCCCGACCCCTGCCTCTCGCCGCGATTTGGACGCGAGGGGTTCTGAGTCGCATCTTACGCGTAGAAACAATTCGAACTACGAATTGGTCTTTTGGGGAACCGGAACCGGGCCCAACGACCGTGATGCGGCTATTGAGGGAACAGCGTACCTGACCTACACAGTTGTCAGCAACACTACATACGATATTGACGACTGTCTTGCGTTCTGTGACAGCGTCGAGGATTGTGGTCGGTATCTTAGCTTTATTGAAGGTTCTTGCAGAATCCTAAACTCATTTTCAACTCGTCAGTTTTTGCAAATCTGTACTACGAATTCAACAACCCTTTGCTGGACTTTGTTTTCTCGCAAAAGTCCAACTTGAAGTGCGCTCTTTACGCCGATGTCCATTCTGCTGCCGAGAAAACAAACTTCGGTGGTCAAGCTCTCGAGCCCAGCCCCGCGCCACTCAACTTCATCCAACAAAGTAGTGGATGGGCTGCAAAGTCACTTGTAGATCCCACGACTCCTCCGGGCTACACACAAACCTTTGGTGCGTACGAAAATGTGTCCCAAAGAAAGTAGTGATTCTTATTGAATGCAATCTAGGTCCGACTGGTGGAGCGAATAATGCGCCAGGCTACATGGTAAGCTTCACCTTTTCGTTCAGGTTATTTTTTGACTTATTTTATATGATGTAGGGCTTTGCATTCATTGACAAATACGACGTTCAAGCATGTGCTGATCTTTGTGACACTCGTGGCGCAGACCCAGTCGGTGGCGCATGTGAATACTTCAATATCTGGAGAGCCACTGTAAACGGAATTCCTACCACTTACACTTGTTCTATGGTACGTGTACATTTTTTTAAAGCGCATCGACTTCTAAAATAATTATTATCACCAGTACTTCATACCCGCTGACAACTCTACCGCTGTCAACTTTGGCCAAGGAGACCTCCTCGTAACGGAATCACGAGGATACAAGCGAAACAACCTTATCGTTGATGGTGGCTTCGAGGGATACACCTGCGGCACTTCTGCCGAAGTTCCATTCTGCTTCACTCCAGGTTACAGTGCCTGGCAGGGAACCTCTTCTCCCAACGGTAACCTGGATGCCTCTATCTTCAACTTCGAGCCGTACGCCCACACTGGAAACGCCGTCGCACTCCTAGGTTCGGCTTATGGCTCTGACGATCTTCCCGGAACGCTTGCACCAACTGTCCCTATAGCAACGGAAGCTGGTCAGTCGTACACACTTCAATTCTTCCACTCCAGTTTCTACTCTGGTGAAGAAGCCGAAGCCCCGGCTACTCTGGAGATCATTTGGAATGGGGAGAGTGTAGACACTATCCACCCGGGTTTCAGCCAGTGGACTCCGCACCAGTACACTGTTGTTGCTCAAGGCAATGACCTGCTTCAATTCAAGGGCGGAGCTGCCCCTGCATACGTCTTCATTGACGATGTCTCCCTCTTCCCATTGTGATTGGATTTAATCATAGTTTTCGTCCTGCACTATTCGAGTATAAACACCTTATTGAACACCCATATCATCGTTTTACGTTTTACTTATTAGTTTGCTCATGATATTGTGTGTTACCTTTGGTTAGTTGGTCAGTTTCCAGTACCTTACTTACAAAATATGGTTAATGGAAGATTTGTTTAGAGGGGCATGAAACGTTCTGAATTAAACTGTTTCGATTGATGCATATGTATGTAAGTAGTGAAGAAAGACATTCACCGAGAAGAGAAAAAACCAGAGACAAACGAGAAATGGAGTATAGCGTAGATAATGAATAAATGTAATGATGAACGATTATCGATTAGGACTGGAGTGAAACAAACATACATCGAGGATCAAGCTTAGTACTGGAGATGGGGAGGGTATCGATAATCATTGGACCCAGGTGAACATGAGGCAGCATAATTCACATCTTCGCGGACCATCGATTTTGTTTTAATGTTTCTTCTAGTATTCAGAGACTCTAGTCTAGACAGTCTAGTCTTCGGCCTTCTACATATCTATACAACCAATTCCCAGTCTAGGCGTAAGCAATACAATTCATAAATCCTTCAGATGTGGCAATCAGTTACCTGGAAGAAACAAGAGTTTACTCAGTACGGGGACGCTTCTTAGATGGCTGAGAGGTAGCATCACCAGTAGTACTGAAGTACTCGATCTTGGCAGTAGGGTCGGTCTTGATGGTCTTACCACCTTCAGACCAATCCGCTGGGCAAACTTCACCGTACTTATCCTGTGATAAGATGATGAGAAAAGTTCAGGATTGTCTGGTGCGAGTGACGTACGGTGTACTGGAAGGCCTTGACAAGACGCAGGGTCTCATCAACAGAACGACCAACAGGAAGGTCGTTGACGGTGATTTGTCTGTGGACCATGTGAGTACCACCCCGGTTACCGAGGTTATGATAAGCGCACCTGAGGATACCCTTGGGGTCAATGATAAAGAGACCACGGAGAGCAATGCCCTCGTCCTCGAGAAGGACACCGTAGTCGCGAGCGATACTCATGCTACGGTCAGCAAGTAGGGGAAGTTTGAGGTCAGGGCCTAGACCACCCTCTTTGCGTGGCTGAGTGGCCCAGGCGAAGTGGGAGTATTGAGAATCAGTCGAGGCACCGATGACCACGGTGTCTATTTTTTTGAACTCGTCCAAAGCATCGTTGAAAGCGAGAATTTCCGTAGGGCAGACGAAGGTGAAGTCCCTAGATACGTCCAGCTATAAATTACTGTCCACATCGAGCTCAAGCCTAAGTAGTACTCACATGGGGTAGAAGAAAAACACAACCCTAAAGTTAAAAGACTATCAGCTAAGATGACTAGGGCAAAGAGTTTATTAAACTCACCATTTTCCAAGGTAGTCTGAAAGAGATATTTCCTCGAAGAGGCCCTCGATAACAGCAGTAGATTTGAAAGCAGGAGCAGGTCTTTGGATAAGTGCAACCATTTTTAAAGCGAAGACGAGAGGATGAACAGAAGAGGGTGTGGTAGAAGTGGTGGTGGTGGTGGTCTGATACAAAGAATTCGCCAAATTTAAATTTAAATTTATCTCCGAGTCGCGTTTCCTACCCACACGTGACGACTTACCGATGTGGGCGCCAATTATGACTTGACTCGTCTATACTCTGTACAGTAACCCTGGGTTGACACAACTATCTCGAACAATGACTCCCTCGCCATATCACCAGTGACCAGAAAATTGTGGAAGGCGCTGAAGGGGTCGAAGCTATGGTAATTGCAATCTAAAGATTGAAAGACATTCGTTCGTTAAAGGTTGTCGATTCCTTCTTGAATCGATGGATCCAAGGTTGGACCATTCGAAGAGTATCGGAACTTTTCGGAAAACTGAAAGCAAGATTTTTCATTCTGCTATACCCCCCGTGAACGCCGGTACATATCAAGTTTTACAAAGGAGAACAATATGTGCGGATAGAATAGCGGAAGAGAGCGGAAGGCGTGTTGTTGGTGCCAGGTGGTGCCATTCATATATGAGTTTCGAAGTACCTACCCGCATACAAACTGGTACGTAGCTCCCCCCATGGTGGCTTGCGGCAGTTCTCCGCAAGTCCCGGGTCTTTGCTGGGTCTGGGTTTTTGTAGTTCTGTTCATGAATATAGGATGCCTATGAAGGATGTTCGTGTTATACGATACATTCACAGAGCTCTTGACGCTAAGTCCTACCCTTCGAGAAGCATTTTATTTTGATGTTCTTAAGTACCATACCGCTCCCGCCGCTTTTGTTTTGAGGAGAGGGTTGTTCGCTACGTTTCTGAGGTGCGATTAACATCATGATGTGTTCCACGCAAAAGGCCAGGAATATGGACTTCTGTTACTGGCAAGGATTCAAACCAATATACTCAAAGATCAGCTGCAAGAACGAGCAATTCCAAGTGCCTAAGGCAAGGGGAGCTGGGTAAGATTAGTTCCATAGGTTACAGTATGTGTCAGTTTAGAGAGCGATAGACTCACGGGTGCAATCATTTGTTGAGCCATGCCCACTCAACAAATGATACGCCTGAAGACTGATTCCATAGGTGAATGTTACATAAGGTTAAACTCATACACAGGTTGAACATTTCCTTTTTTTTGTCGAAAATACCCGGCTAATGATTGGAATTCTTTCTGACGAGCTCTATGTATGCATGCCAATTTCTGCTCAAAGCTGTAGAGTTTACTTACACGCGTCATCTATCGATTCTATGTTTTCTCCGATATAACCTGTCCATTGCGGTGCAAATTCCTCTACGGTGACTTTGGACTTTCATCCACCGACGCATTGGGCTGTGCTCAAAGACATCATTTTTCCGGCAACTCTACGAACCCAGGCCGAAGAACTTCTTTTTTCGAAGAATGACCCTTCCTTATCTGGTGTTAATGCTGTGCCACTCTGTCCGATAATGCTGAACTAATCTAAATTTAGGAATGTGTCAGCTGCGTTCACAATTATCGTCTAACTTCCACCATACATAAAAGCCTTGTGAACCTCTTCTGCTCATGACTAGCGCACTTCCACTGTTTATTCCCAAATGCTGGAAGAAGCTGTGACTTACCCCCCGCGCGATGGGTACCCTCTCTTCTTAACTGCAAAGCGTTACTGGATGCCAGAATTTGAAGCGCATACTGACGATCCGGAGGCTTGGACATTGATATTGCTGCATTCTACGGCATCACACAAAGAATCTTGGGAACCGACGCTAGAGAGGATATTCCATAGTGCGAAAAAGGATAAGTCAATAAAGATACGCGAAGCCTGGTGTTTGGATTGTCCGAATCATGGTGCATCGGGGCATCTCAACGAACGAATACTGCAGACACCAGAATATTACCTGAACTGTGAGTATTTGAGTACCCATCCTCTTATCTCCTTCACAACTTATCATACTTCATTCAGTCACATGTGACAAATACGCTGAAGCCATCTATCACTTTCTCGTCGCCGGTCCCAACCATGGTGCAAAAGTCGAATTCAGAGCGCGTAGACTCTATGGAGTCGGACATTCTCTTGGAGGAAATACCATGGCTCTGCTCCAAACCATGGAACCCAGGATTAACTTTGAGTCTATCACTATCGTCGATCCTATGCTCAGTCCTGCAGGTTCTCATCACCTCAACAAATTGAGATCGATCCTCATCAAAGGTGCATATGAGCGTCGCGATGTATGGCCAGACCGTGTGACGGCAATGAAGGCGCTCAAGAGGAGGGACAGGACGAAGAAGTGGGATCCGAGAATATTGGATATCTTCATCGTCAGTTCTGCACCTATATCCTTTACCACTAACTTCTTGATGCTCATGGTACGTAGAAACATGGCATCCGGCCACACCCCGGATCATACTACCTTGAGAATCCTTACCTGGGAGTGACGCTTGCATGTACGCGAGATCAAGAAGCGGTATGACCACTTTTCACTTTCGTGAATCTGTTTCCTCAACCCATCTCCCCGGTTAGGCGATGTATCGAGACCCAGAAGGCGCTACTAAACCTGTCAAAGCTCTCGACATTGCGTGTCGAGAAAAACCTGTCCATATTGTTCTCGGAGGGCTACATGACTTCATGTCAGTCTCATATACTGCGATATATATACATACTTACTTTTGATATAGGCCTCAACGCACTCACGAAGCGCTTCTCGACAAAAAATCCGGCCGGAATTTCGCAACAGTAACAGTGATCAAAGAAAGTGGACACCTGGTCCGTGTTTTTCCCCCTTTGCTTTCTCCCCTCCTCCTTCTGTCTGTACCGTATACCTGCATGATCGATTTGTGTGGGAGGCTTACAAATTCTTACCTGACCTTGTTTCCACAATACAGGTCCCACTTGAAGTTCCAGACATACTGGGTGAGGTGTTATATGCGAACATGCGAAAGAGTGGAGAGATTTTAAAACAGGGGAAGAAGGAAAGAAGCAAACTGTGATTCGTGTGGTTTAGGCTTTCGTTCGTAAATCAGTATGGTGGCGTATATTTCGTCTTCTTGCTTTCTGTTCAACTCTACATACTGTATATCTCATCCTAGCTTCGTTCTATTACGATGACCATACTTTCGCGTAGTCTGCTTCGTGTGAGGTTTAACGGGCTCGTTCACAATAGCACGGAGACTGCTGACCAAAATTTCTGTTATATATTTTTCGGAATGACCAGCACATATATAGAAAGATGGGATGAGTGAAGCGAATGCGGCTCGTCATTAGAAAAGCCGAGCACCACCATGAACCACAAAGTATAGAGGCATAATTAAAGGCACATAAGCGAAACAAGTTTGTTCCGAAGGCATCGGGAACACCGTTCTACTTGCCGACTGGACCGATGACGGATGGTGAAGACTTCTCTGTGGGAGTAGACCAGGAGTCAACTGGATATGACACGCGTCTGATGCAAACGAGAGCCTACGTGGCACATCTTCACAGTCACAGTCCCGTCCAGTGACCATCGACTCAGTCGCAAAGCAGTACTAGGGCATTGTCGTAGGAAGACCAAGGACGATGTACTTCCAGGGAAGGACTGAGTGATGAAAGCACAAAGTCTGTGTGATCCTAGTCAGTCAACAAATGTCGAGCAATCCAATGAGGCGAGTGTGCGTGCGAGATTCGTTTAAAACACGGTAACGCCAGACTGAGTACCCGTGTACTGAGACTTCATGTCATCCAAATCGCCGGATTCGTCTTGGGCTTTATAATCGTATTGCGAGATGCTACCCATATCCGTGCCAGCGACGGAAGAGGATCCAAATGAGGTTCGGCGCCTCAAACGGTCGCTTTGAGAAAAAGTCAAATTGTTGGCATGGTCGCCACCCGTAGTGCTGCCGATGACGCTGCTGTTATCCGTAACGCTTGGGCCAGCATCCTGAGAGATGATAGAGGATGCATAACTTCCATAGGTGCTCCGTTTAGCACCAGTTCCTCGAGGGACGTTTGCACTGAAAGGTCCAGTAGCGGTGAACATTGGAAGGCCCGAAGAATAGGTTGCTTGTGAGCGAAGTGATTGGACGTCAGATGGGATGTATCCAAGGGCATCATGAGTGCGGTAGAAACTCGCGTCGAAGCGACTAGGAGTTCCTGAGCTACGTGCTGAAGAAGAATGAGATGATACATATTTAAGAGTGCAACAAATACTGACCGTCAGGCATGGGTCCCCCACCACCTTGGTTGCCTAGATAATCCCTCGCGTTGATTTCATGTCGGCGGAACTGATCCATGGACTTCCCAAGAGATCGCCTGGGCTTGCTGAACTGGATCATACTGGGCTGCAAGTTACTGAGAGGGCCTTCGACTAACGTACTAGTTTCCTTGTAGTGCGTGAGCAAATAATGCCAAAGGGGATGCTAACAAACAAACAATGTCAAGATGCGGATAATCGATACAGAAACAAAAGCATACCTTGCTCAACACTTTGGGATTTCCCAGAATGACAACGCCGTACTTGGCTCGAGTTAGGGCGACATTGAGACGCCTAGGATCGTTCAAAAAGCCTATACCCTGATGCTCATTACTTCTGACACAACTGAGAATGATGTAATCCTTCTCTCGGCCTTGGAATGCGTCGACACTGGCGACTTCAATCTCCTTGTACAGATCCTTTTTCAAGGAGCCGTTGAACTGCATATAGTTGACAATGTACGAACGTTGACCTTCGTACGGGGTGACAACACCTATCTGGTTGGGAACAACGCCAGATTTGAAAAATTTTGTAACGATCTTCTCGACGTTGGATGCTTCCGTTCTGCAATACCAAGCTCAGTAAGTCATAACAGAGGAGATTGTAGTAATCACCTGTTCAAAAACGACGTTCCACTACTCGAAATTTCCTCCTGACCCAAGTTTTGATAGAAGAACATGGGAGTGTCGGGAACAGGCCACGGGAAATCGACATTTTTCCTCAATCGTTCAGGAGCCGTGACACCGTTCTGCAGGGTACCTTCATAGAACATGTTTGATGGAAATTCCGAAAGGCACGGGTGCATGCGATATTGGACTTGGAGTCGGATCGGTCTGTTCCCCAAGACGACGAGGCGCTCGAAGAGAGACTGAGTAAGACCGGCGCGAGCAGCCTTCTTGTTCATGATGACTGGACCGAGTTGTTGATGGTCGCCGACAAGGACAACCTGCTTGCATCCTAATACCAGGGGAATCATACATTCTGCACATGTTGTTGATTAGACAATGTTAAGGAAAACGGAGCTGATTTACTCGCCTGGCTCAGCAGCCTGGGTCGCCTCATCAATCAAAACCGTTCTAAACTTCAACTTGCTCAATCTCGGGTCTCCAGCACCGACACAGGTGCAACAAATGACGTCCGCAGCAGTGAGAATCTCCTTCTCGCATTGCCTAATCAGCGTTTTATACTTCCTCTCGTCGTTACTGCTCAGCTCTCCTTGCTCGTTCTTGAGCATGATAAGCTTCTGTAGCTCAACGTGGGTCGTGCTATTCGACACTTGCTGATGAAGTGTGAGGAAGCTGACGCTCGAGTCCAGGGCTTCACGAGACTTGGCTGTGAGACGGACGACTTTGAGGCCAGTGGCGTGGATTTTTTCGGTGAGCTGGTCGACGGCGACATTGGATGGAGCACAGACGAGAACCTGGTCTGGGTTCATCTTTGCGAGGTGGTAGACGATAGAGGCAGAAGTAACAGTCTTTCCTGTACCGGGGGGACCTTGAATAAGACTGATGGGCTTCTGAAGAACGCTTTTGACGGCAAACATCTGTGAGTGATTAAGTTCCGGAAGACCAGGAGCAGAGAAACGCTTTGGCATTGTTGTACGCAAGTTCTGAGGCTCTAGTTCATGGCCAAGGAGCTTATGATACTGTAGACTGGGCTGAGGATCATAATGAAGAGGAGAGAAGCGAAAAAAGTCTTACGATATAACCACTGACACTTTTCTCATCTACAGCAAAGGTCTTCATAGCCAATTGCATCCTGTCGAAACTGGTGGACTTCCATACGAAATCCGCAGCAAAGTTGTGAGTACAGTCTGAGGGAACTCCCTCGGTTCTACGCAACTCAAGACCAACTTCGTCAGATACGTCTGTAACTTGCATATTAGTAACATTTAGTGGAATATCGTGGACGGTACGTACTGTTCGGAATCTTGATGACATGCCCGACACCTTCCCAGGCCTTATGTAGTTCCCCATTGTATCTTAACCTGAGTTCATCACCAACCGCCAACCTAACCTCACCGCTCTCCAACTTTGGAAGGCAAAACCACGCGACCCGTTTCTGATTGAGACCCAGATCCCAACGGACTACGATGTCCGTTTGAGTCTGACTTTCTTTGAGTCTCTTATCGTAATCAGCCTCAATCTTCACCAGAGGACCAAATATGTTCTGGTACTGGTACGCATCTTCGTATCGCAAGATGATGGGCAGAGGGTCGTCGTCTACACCTGGCTTCTCCAAGTCTTCGAGAGTGGCGTTGGCATTTTCCCGCCAGAGATCTTCGAGTCGGTTGATTTGGGCGAATGAAATTTGACGAGAACGTAGCTGCTCGGTTTCAGTGGGTGGTTTGACGAGCCAGGAAAGAAAGGATCGGTCATCGATGAGTGGAGCCCAGAGTGCTGCGTTCCACTGGATTTCCTTAGAAATCGCTGCACAAGGTTGTCTGAGCAATCCAAAGTATCAGCAAAAGGCTTTCGGGTTCAAGTTTTTACATGCGCACCTGCATAGCAGAACTACGACAGTATCGCTTTTGGCTGGAATGAACCCGAGCATGAAGACATTTTTACTGCCGCAATTATAACATTCGGGGGTCGTTTCTCCTAAGGGACTTTCTGCATGGAGAATGACTTCCTTGTGCTTTGCGCGTACAAGATGATTGACGATGTGTGAAGCTGAGGTGTTCCCGCGCGAGTTACAAAACCATTTAGAGCAAACGAGGCATTTCACAACTGATGCTGGAGAATGGATACCACAGTAACTGTTATACAAAATGATGACGAATTATTGAAAAAATGATACACAGCAAAAACTGACCTGCAAGCATGCGGTGGCAAATCAACAGCACCTTCGTCCTTCAAATCATCCAAAACTGCATCAAAATCTTCATCCAAGCCGCTCTTTATAGAGTGAGAGTGGGTATGGCCATTTCCGTTCGTATGGTCTCCGTGACGAGACTCTGAGAGTGAAAGGCTGGACAAGTCAACCGAAGAGGCATTATCCTGAGTATTGGCTGTATAAATTGAAGACGTGTCATCTACAATGCCCATTCCGCCGTAGGAAGAGGTAGAATCATATTGAAAATTGTCGAAAGAGTCCATGGTGATGAAAGTAGAAACGAACAGTGAAAAAGAATCGAATGCTATCGAATGATTGATGACTGATACAAAAGCGGTCCCGACCACTCAGAGTCAATTGCAGTACATGCGTTGAGTCTCATCTATGATACGAACGAAGGCCATGCACTTATGGAAACAATTTCGCTCTCTCATTTCTCGCTGCACGGGCGAAGGGAGCGAGTGAGCGGAACTGAGCCTCAATTGCACTTCTAGCGCATGCGGACCAGTTGTACTGCTCTTGGCGCGTATATGGAGCATTTACTTTCTGTGTTTGCTATCGTTCTCGCTCCCAATCTAGCTGAGTTAACTGGTCCAAGGTGGACATGGTTGAGAAGACGGCCTGATAGATACGCTGTCTTTTCCCTGTTTCTGCCAATTCCCTTAAGCTTGCCCTCGGACGTCTTCGTGGGCTTGAAATAATTTAGGTGTCTTCGTTGAGAGCGAATGATCATTACAAAAATGCTAATGCTACAACGAGTGGTACCTACAAGGTACTGAAAGCCCTAGATTATACAGTGAAGTGTCCACGAGAGTACAATATTCGACAATTAAGCCTGATATATCAAGCAGGTACAATGTAACTTTAATGAACCTACAAGTCCGATGAAAAAAGCAGCCTGGCTTTTACAGGGCGGTACGACTGGACTTGAACACGGGCGGTCTGTGCTGACGAATAACTTCATCATCTTCCTCTTCGGCGACCGTGGAACGCTCATCATCATCGTAATGAGATGCACTCTGCATACTCTCGCGCGCGGGCTCAGGAGAAGCGAAGCTTGAGGTCGTTGAAGGTTTCCTCGCGAGAGCGACGTGGACAGTTGGTGGCGATGCCGGGGGAGTCGGAGAAACGTATCTCGGCAAAGACTCTTCGGGTCTCTGAAGAATGAATCCTCTTAATCCAGCAGCCTTCTCCCCCTGTCGTCCGAACCCATACCCCGACTTGTCGGTGCTTCTGATGGATCCAAACTCGGATGCGAGTTGGGGCTTTTCGCTGTTGCCGGTATAAGCGGGCGTGACGTTCACAAACACAGGGCGAGGGTCATGGATGGTCGGAAGGACGGCTTTAGATTCAGAGCGCCATGAGGTGATGGAGCGCTTGGATTTTAAGGATTCGCGGAAGATGAGACCGAGGAGCATATTGAGGCAGCCGAGTGAAAAGAGGAAGAAGGCTGACACGAGGGTGAATTCGTCAACATGGTGGGATAGGATTTGGGCACCGATTCTGACGAGAGGTCAGGATGGAGACCGAGAAGACGTGCGAACGGGAAGACGTACAAGCACTGGAAAATACCTAATGCTCCGGTCCCAAAGCCGGAGCCAAGAACAGGGAAGAAGTGGTCAAAGAAGGAGATAGGCCAACTGCACTCGGATACTACGGGTGAAGCGAGACCATGAGAACAACATCAACAGCAATATATAGAAACAACACGAACAAATGAGGATGACCGTCTGAAAGATAATCAAAAGACTAGAAACGACGGCCCAAAAGATTCCGGCGGGTTGATTAGGGACAGTGCTTCCACTACAGTTAAGCGTTGTGAGTGGCATACCAAGAATAAAAAGTAAAGAAGGCGTACGCAATGTAATCCATGTTCATGGCAGACATAGTAGTATTATTTTCACCCTTGTGAGCCTCGTAATAGTTAACAGCCTTAATATTCGTGACCATGACTTCGATGCTGCTTGAGAAAACAAGTATCATCGCGATAACGCTCAATGCGCGCACGGCATTGAGTCCGATGAAAGTATCTGAGCCGCAGTCATTAAAAATTCCGCATAAACGATCGAAATACGCACAAGCACGAAGGGGAAGCATTTTCGTTTCGTGAAAAATGAGTTGATGTGGAGTGATTGAGTCTGCAGAGGGTAAAAATTTCTAACGACAGAAGTCTACGGGTCGATGAATTTCGTCAAGGAAGGGTGTCCCAGCACCAGGTATTCGTCAAAAGAATGTCGTCTGAAAGGGACAGAAGGAGCCGCGCTGAGAAACGTTGAACGTTGAAGGGGAGTAAAGTAACCATTCTGAGCATGCACGGATTATTCTTATAATCGCAGACAGTAAGGGACGTTCAAAAGGATGTTATTGTTCTCGAGCCACGTAAAGGTAGTACAATGTGCAAAAGAACAATGGCGGCGGCATGAAGGACCAGACAGAGAACAATTGCGGACGGTCGGCAACTTGCGGCTGGCCTTGTTTTTGTTTCAAGTTGTTTGGCATCGCCGTGGGAAGTGTTGTTAAGCGTCCTATTTTTGATGCGATTCCTTCTGGTGTACTTGCAGTGTACTTGCGACGTAGTATCTGGTCGTCGTCGCTCTATCTTCACTCGTACTTCAGATACATTTGCTGTAAGCTTTAGTAAGGGCTACCGCTTTACCATCAACGTTTTCCTGTCTAGGACTCATGACTTCTCGATGAGCTCGGACAGTTTCCGATACGTACTCAGCACGTCTAAACCACTTGCTCGAAGTGTTCCGTGCTCACTCTGCGCCTGCCGAACGCACTGGAACAAAATTTGATCTCGGGATTGAATGGCCTCGTTTCTGTTATCAAAGATCTGCTCGACCCATACTCATCATTCCAGCTCATTCCAGATGTATTTCCTTTTTATACTTGCCTCTGTACCTCTAATCAAGTTCAGTGTGTGACGTATCCCATCTACCAGTGCTGGCGCGCATGTCTCGTTTGGGCACAATGAAGTGGAATCGTATTTTGGATACAGATTCTAGTTGCCGTATACCTTCTTCGACATGGGCGGCAGCTTCATAAACGCTGCAAACAATTAGGAAGAGTCCTCCCCACTTGGGAAGAATGATCTTGTTAACTAGCTGTCTTATTTATCCGGGATAAAAGTTCTCAGGAGAACGGATGGAAAAGAGCTGAATTTGTGAGCATATTTTCCTTACTACAAAGGCAAGTCTTGTCTCGTTGAATATGCAAGTTTTATCCTGACTGGGAACAACTTTGCATTAGTGTTCGTTTACATATTTATAAACGCGGAGACGACTCGATCGCCCAGGAATTTGAATATATTGGGAACAACCGCAAGTCTGTGCATATTAGTGTCGAAGCTATTCTCAAGAAGTATCAGACGTCTATCAATGTACTATATGTCATTTTTAGGACCACTTCTGTCAAAGAAGTAATGGGCGGGCTGCATACCCTTGTCAGACAAGGCAAGGTGTTCTACCTGGTAAGTAAAATGACTTTGACTGAATATATTCGAGGGAATATCTGATACCCTGCCTGGGTCGTAGCTCGACGGCACTTGCTCCATTCGGCGTCGTTGGTCAGCAAAGTTCCGTACCGACGCCGAAAGCATTGGGCGAAAGCAAGCGGAGAACACGGTCGAAGTTAGCAGCGAACTGAGGATGAGGTAAAGATTTGTATGCTCTCGAGAAGTTGCAAACGAAGGTGGAGTAAAATCACTGTACCGATCACATTACCAGTTGAGATCTCCCCAGTCATCGGAGGTGGAAAGACTGAACATATCCAAGCTAATGTGCAAGCGCTGGATTTCTCTCTTAGTAGGGACAAATACAGTTCCTTGAAAGTATCGTTCCGTTCGATCCAGGATTTCCTCATAATATTTTATTTTATTCAGTACTGATGCCCTTGCCTTTTACAGATAGGCCGATCCCTGTGTCTCTAAGTTCGGAGATAGTGCATGTCGATTATCTTTTCAAGTGATTACGACCTCCCTGTTGAATAACAGTATTGGAATTCATATGCTGGTAAGGATCGAAGAAGATTCATCCTCGTACTTTTGAGGGTTCTTGCCTGTTCTTGCATGGGTAATTATTTAGTCGATCATCTACCGGCGTAAAATCATTAGTTTTTCCTTTCACTGTGTAGCGGAATTAACCATTCGTTCCAGCTCTATTTTAGTGTCATCTGCTATGTCTGCGACACTTCATTAACATAGGTTTCGCAAATGCGGCCTATGATGGTCATGCCATACGAGGAAATACAAAGTCCGAGCCTCCGTCTTGTAAAGACATAGAAACTCTAAACATTGCTTACTCTAAATCGACAACTCTTTTATATCATTTCCGTAGTTTCAAGCTCGGAACACAGTCTCCGCCGCTCCGTTCTCGCAAAGCTGTCAGTCTTCACCTTAGTTCAAGTTAGGCGAAACCCATGCATCGAATTCCGACCAATATGACCGCTTGTACTGGCATTCGGGATACACACGACGGTCATTTGCTCCGGGTATCGAGACAGTATAAAAGCACAGAGGCTTAGAGTATATTCCTCATTCACCAAGTTCATCTGGTTGGATACATCCGCATCTTCACACTACTCTCCTTAGTTCACAATCTTCCACAGACACTATGAAGTTCTCGGCCTCCCTCCTTGCTAGCGCTTTCACCTTCTTCGTTGCCTCTGTTGGGGCCGCGCCTTCCACTGTCTGGGACCCGACCATCACCTCCCCTATTATGGGGACCGTGTGGTTCATTGGTACCGCAGTCAATGTGACTTGGTAGGCAGATAAATCGTCCACTCCGTACCTTTGCTCATGAAATTCCACTTGTGACGCAGGAGCACCGCCGATCAGCCAAGTACAGTATCCAATGTTGGTCAAATCTATCTCGCTAAAGATCAAGTTCAAGGTATGTTTTGCATTTCTTCCGAGTAATTTGAGCGCTACTCATAATGCTTGGTTTCAGTAATGGCTTTGAGTGGGACATTTGATCTTGCTGCTGCCAATGGATTCCATACCGTGACTGTTCCCGACGTCGTCCCCGGGGATGACTACGAGGTCGTTCGTGAGTTATGATTTACCTTCATCGAGTAACCCCCGCTGAATAATCTGCTACATAAGTTTTCGGCGACTCCGGCAACATTGGTCCCTCATTTGTTATTGCAGAGCAGATATAGGTTTGGTTATGGAGATTTCGCTTCGATTCATCGATACGACAGAATTCATCATAGCTCTACCCAGCTGTATGCAGACACCAATTGTTTTGTAACGGACATTTAGTTTTACTTAGCATAATAAAATCAATGTTTTCAGAAATTTCTGGTAATAATTAACATGAAAGAGATGTTAGAAGTACTGTAAAAATAGTGCAAGATAACGATTAAGACATAGGCGACATCGACACTGGCACCATATTTAAAGTCACGGAATAACAATCGATGTCAGTGGGATAAGCCTTCGACGAGCCTATCGATGTTGTGTTGTAATACACAGAGTCCTGGCCCAAGCGCATGTCGGAAGGGCATAGGTACCACATGTTGTATACCCCATTCACCGCGAGGATTGGATAGATCGATGCGGGTACATTGATCGCAGAAAATGCGGTCGATGCGGGGTCACTGTATAACGTGCTTGTTGCCCATGAGAGAGCTTCATAACCCATGAATGGTGCACTGGCATTTGTGTGCCAATTTCCCTCACGGTCAAAGGCTCGTAAGTTCCCGTTGACGAGGCTTAGGGCAGGATAATCATCGAATGGGTAAGAATAGTAGGTCTAGAGTTCCATTTAGGAATGAACTTTCATGTAGTTGATGATTATGGTAAACGGGCTTGCCGATGATAAATGAAAAGATTCTCCATCGATGGCACCTGAATGGTAAGTTTAGAATCAGTGCCGCTACTATTACGGTCCAAGGAGAATATAAGAGTTCACCGGCTGAGCCTAATACAAGAGGTGCTCCTGTAGAATTTGCATTTGGAAACGTAGTGTTATGTCCCAAAGTAGTAGATGCCGCATTCAGGGTTGTCACCGCCAGAGCACAACCCGAAAGCAATAAGGTAGCGACGAACTTCAATGGGTTGAAGAGCATGTCGTCGGATGACTCGCTGTGAGTACAGCTGCTGTGGAAGATGAAGGGAAAGGAAGGGAGCCGAGAAGGCAATGCGTGTAGTCCCACTACAAGACTTATAAGTCTTTTGTGAGTCCAGTATTTCCAAGGCTATCGACCGGTCATTAATGGGTGGGTTAAGTATGGACTTAATTTGAACCAGGAGCATGCTTTTGCCGCACCCCCTTGTTGACACTATTTCCTTGTAAAGCACGCATGGCCAGATTCGAAAAGGCTGATTCAATAGCTCGCTTCAGCTTTGCGCAAAGTACTGGAGTGAGCCTACCATCGATTTTGTTATGCACGATGTTCCGAAACAGTAAATCTTGAACCTCACTTTGTCGGTGCACGAATTGCTGTCTTTGAGGCCGCAAAGACCTATTTTTTTCAATAGATTGATAACTTCAATGTGATCCGACATATTACTTAGCCGTCATGGCAGGTGAGAAGTTCTAGGTAGTAGGCGACCGAGTCCTCTTCATCAAGAAAGGACGTTCAGTGCATCCGAAGGCATCCTTCGGGGATATTGAAAGGCTGTTAATCAAGATGAAAGTTCTGGGATTCCATGTCATATCGATAGCTCGTCGATAACCTAGAAGTATGCAGTGAACAGTTCACATGTACAGGTGACTTTAGAGGGGGGCTTACCCTGATTATATAATCTTTATCGATATCTTCAGAATCATACCGCCATATCATTGAAATCCGCTCATTCTCTTCATACTCATTTAGCATTCGGACCTTTCGATTATTATCAACGTTCCTCAGGCCTGTCAATTCTCTTGACTACGTGGATAAAAGGTTCCCACACCGCGACCGTTCGAAATTTAAGCAGGTTCAGGTTTCACATTTCAGTAAACGCCTGTAAACGCTCATAGAGTCAAACCAACGGCCAAGTTCCAAAGCCCATTCTCCCATGCTAATTTTCTCCTCAAAATACTTGAGTCTGATACAACTGCCTATCCTTGACCATTGCAGTGAAACCTTCAACTCAGTCAGAAACCGAAAAGTCCTCTTTCTCCTTCCACTTCAAGTTCCCTTTACTGTATATGATATTTCCTTCCGCATCCTTGATGATCACATTCTTTCTCGGAGACTTGGGATCCGCCTGTCCCTCACACCGTGATTTCCTAGAAGTTCTGAGTACGCCCTTCCCCTTACACCCATCTCCGTTGACCGTGAATTCGACAGGGTCATAAACATACATCCCGTTATGAGCAGGATAAGACTGCTCCGGCGTGGTATAATCCATGATGGCCCACGCAGGTAAGTTTAGTGCGCTCCTCGCATCTTGTAACGACAGAGTTTCCAGAGCGTCCTTTATAGCGAACCAATTTGGAGGTTGGACACTACTCCAAGATTTGTATGCCACTTTCACGAAATATGGCTTGACACCCAAGCCTCGACCTTTAATAGAATCGCTATCATCGATGACCTCGAAATCAAGTCATTGTCTGTGGCACAAGAATCTAGTAGAAGGCTCACTAGACGAGGGACTGGAACCGCCGCAGTAGCGAATACACCGAAGACCAGGCAGTACAGTATGAGATTGGGACCCATGAAGAAAAAATAGAGCATATAAGAAAGAAGAGTACAACACCGTAAGATTTCTTTGACCAGCAAAGAAGGTAGGCACACTGGGAAATTATTAGCGGGGAACTATCACTTCTTAGTACCTGCACATGAGCCAGCTTATGAATGAAGCTGCTGTAGGCAGCGATGCCTCTATTTTACTTAGGTCCCTGTTTCATCTTGACTCTTATACGAGACCCCCGGCCTAAGCAACAGGTCCACACGTACAGTCTCGGAGTCGCGTTTTTGCGTGGGACTCCGGAGGGGTAAAATACTAGCATTGGAACCGGTAGGTAGAATTATGCGTTCCGTCGGTGCGTTCTGCGTTCACGTTCGCGTTTCATGCGTTCATATGCGTTCATATATTTATTATATTATGTACAATAATATGATTTCAATGTTCAATTATTAACTACTTCGATTGTACTATACTTAATGTGTGCATAGACTGTACAATATGTAATAGATTAGTGGAACAACAGTTAAAACATTGAAATTTAACTATATTTATGTGAACTCGGAACGCAATCAATGTATGAACGCAAATTTGATGAATTGATGTTGCGTCCATATGCGTTCAGGTGCGTTCAGGTGCGTTCACCTTATATGCGTTCATTTTTGATCTTGGCGTTCACCTGCGTTCCATGCGTTCAGGTGCGTTCCGGATGCGTTCCGGCTATTTTGAGTTAGTTTCGAATATCTTGTATTCTTAAATATCAATGACTGCATCATTCAATTTTGACCAAATCCCCCAGTGCAATCATACTCCAAGGTGGTCTTGTTGTATGTTATTGATCCCCAGAGCTGACTGTTATCTCTATACACAGTAGCTTGCTGGGCTGTACCATTGCACTGTCACTTTGTCATACAGTGGTCTTCAAAATGTCATATTCTGTTTCTGTGAGTTTATTGATTATTTATCATTTCATGAATACTAAGCTGGTTATATAGAACACAGCATCACCACCATGGATTGGTATGCATATCCGCATAATCAAGGGTGAATACAAGGCTTATCATGGTTATGTCCACCATGTCAATCCAAGCAATTCAAGTATCAGTGGCTTGAAGATTGTGGTTGAACTTTCAGCCCACACATCTAATGGCACTAATTCTCTGGTAACAGTGGACTATGATGATATCCGGGAATTCGAGTGAGTCTATATCTCTATTTGAAGTGTTATTCTTGATATAGCTATGTACTCTAGACATTGGAGGACATTAGCTGAAGTTCAACCATTGGGTCTATATCAAACATCTTACAATCTCCGGCCAGATTATTTCCCACCACAGCTTGATGTACCATATATTCCACAGCCTGGGCCGGAAGTTGTTTCCCGCTTCACCACACCATTTCCTACTGCCTCAGATGTTACTCTTGATACCTTTTGGGGTGTTCAGGTGAGTCAATATTTCTTACATCCATGTCTTGGGAACTACCCAGATATATTCACAACTATCAACAGCCTCTAGAGGAAATCAAGCCTCAAGATCTACACTGGATACTGCATCCTGCATTTAACCAAAAATCACTGCATGTTTTCATTGATCCCACTCATTCCTTGCATGGAGGTTATGCTAAATGGGTATATGTTGATAATGGAATTGTATCACTCAAGAAGCAGGGAGGGCATACTGAACAACTTGAACTTGCAGTTATTCAAAGGCCCATGGTTCCCCCAGCTCGTACTTGCAAATCACTCCTGGCAATCATAGAAGGGAATCATTTTGGTGAACTAGTGTGTTGCATTTACTGGACAAGGGGAGAATGTGGAGAAGAAAAACTATGGGTTGCCATTGCAACAAATGCAGGGACTCTTTCTGAAACACTTCATCATGATGTGTTCCCAGTTTCTAGATCACATACTGTAGCAGTGAAAACAGATGCTGAGGTGGAAAAACATGGAAAGTCCCTAATCCTGGATTTACGTAGCAAGCTTATGGTCAATACATAATATTGTATTGTTGATTTGATGTGCTTATCTCCAAGAGTTTGACTGTACCATAACATAATACAAGCAAAGGTTGGTATACACTAGCTCAGCAGATATGGTTCTAGCTACAATTGTATCAGGTTTGAGAATTGTGCTGTCCTATACATGCAATTAATGGAAGTTTATATCTACTGCTTCTTCCTCTTCTTAACTGCCTTGACCATATTGCTGTCTTTTGCTTTTCTCTTCTGCTGTTTGTGTGATGGTTCAGTAAGCTTTGCTTTCTTTCTTTCCACCTCTTCAGCTTCATGATTATATCCTTTCCCTTTCTGTAAATTATCACATTATCAATGTTAGTAGTTATGATGAGGAAAAATCATACCAATACTTCTTCATCATCATTTCCCTCTCTCCTCTTTCCTACAGTTACATTAGGGCCAGTAAACTGTGGATTCCAACCCATCTCATGTGGTCCAACATCTAAGCCCCATTGATGATTACCTGCAACTCCTGCCCTACTGGATTCATCAAACATAATTTTATCCAATAAACTAACTGCCTCATAATTGACATCAGCTCCTTTTGATCTTTTGGATTTTCCATCCACAGAAAGACCTGTCCATGCAACCAATCTGTTCCATGCTTGATGAACAATATACTGGTCCACATCAGCCAAATTGTCAGGGGCATTATTGAGAAATTCTTCCCGGTGTCGATAAGCAAGTAGCAGGGTGCGAGCATGAGCAGTGGTATAGTGAAGCATATCCAGGCGCTCCATTTCCGCAGGTTGCGGAAGTTTAACAAATATCCAGTTATGAATTGCTGCCAGATCTGTGTCAAGGAGACCACCATTATAAACTGTTGGGTTGATTTGAATTTTTGGATCAGGTTTCCAAGATAAGCAAGGGACAGTTTCTGCTGAAAAATCCTCAGGTGCTATGGCCAATTCACCTAGGAGTTTTTGGTGAGAATGAAGAGCCTCAAACACCTCCTTGGTACATTTGACTGAAAAGGGATCCAGAAGCATATTATCAGCATCCTCCTGTTGGTTTAGTTTCTCCTCAAGGGGTCGTGTATATAGCCCAATCTAAGCTTAATAGTGAGAAGGAATTGCTAACATTCATAGATAAACTCTTACCTGTATTTGTCGACGGCCTACTTGATCCTGCCACAAGCCATCCACAATATTTCTTAGTGGAATATTCTTCAAAATCTGATTAGCCAAACTACTTTTGATACCCCGCCACAACTGTACAATCCCAATCTCCAGATCAGAATCCCAATGAATCAAGCGTCCTGGATAATAGTAGACATTTCCACATCGGACTAGTATACCCTTCCCTGGGCTATACAGAACATTACATCAGATAAAATTCATACAATATTAGAAACTACTCACAAAAGTCGATTTTTGACAGTGTTTAATTTTTGTTTACGCAAATAGGGCAGTGTATGTCTGAATTGACTGAAGTTGTCATATTCTTGCTGTACATCACACTCATGACAGAGGAACTCCTCAGCAGATTTGTCATAGAATCGCATTGTAAGACAGGCAGTATGGGTATACTTGCTGCATATGCTACATTGGATAGAGTCTTGTTGAATGGACTCTCGATATCCATTTGCCTCAACTCCACATCTGCAGTGGATATAGTGAGGTGAGGAAGGGAGTGGTGAGCTTGAAGCAATAGAGCTAATGGAACTATCCGGGATGAAAAGGGCAGGGGCTTGAGATTCTGGAGTACAGGGATTTACAGTAGGATCAAGAACCATCGAAGTAGAAGTTGGAGAAGGAATGAAAGGTAGTTCTGTTGGATCCCCATATTGAAAGTCAGCACCTTCAGGCAGAATATCTTCAGGTGGAGGTAAAGAAGCATTTTCCATGATAGAGTTTGGTAAATTTGGCTGGCTAAGCTGATATTCCCGTGTTTTCCAGTGGGATCTGTCATCAACAGAGCACTCAATCCAATTAGGAGAATGCAAGGTTGGAGGGTCAGAGTCGAGGGAGATATTTAGGATGTTTCTAATGGCTGATTTCTGCCGGGTCCTGAAAATATTTTGGCCTGCTAGACCACCTTTAAGCTTGTAGACTGCTGCATGGGTTTGAAAGCCCAAAGGACATGGAGGAGAAATTCCTGCAATGAGGTTGCTTGCTTTGCCATGAAGTCGCTGGGAGTAACCTTGATGCTTTAGACTATCATAGGCAAACACTGACATCCCCCTAGAAGTTGTTGGAACTGATGTGTGGGCCATAAAGTGGTTGTGACTTTGGAAAATAGGGCCAAGAACAGATCATAAACAACACCTTTACGAGCTTCTGCCAATGACCCAGGAAGCAGCCGGAGTGGATAGTCCCAATGCTTGCCTGCTGACACATCAGGCTGTATGATCAGAATAACTGGTATGTCAATGATGTACTGTGACTGTTGTGACTGTCCAGAGCAGACTTTGACCAGTGCCCCATCCTCATAGACTCTTCTCCAGCAACCAGAGGTAGAATATACATCTGAGAGTGGTTGAACTTGGGTTAGTGATGAAAACCACTTCTGAATACTTCCCTGATGTTGGTCCCACTGGCTAGCTAAGGGTGACCATCCAAGGCCTTTTCGTTGCATTTGAACTCGACAATGCTCCATTCCAGAGAGTCCATGTACACACTTCCACAGCTCTAGAACATGAGGGGTGAAGTAGCTGATGCATCCAGGATTGGGGGGAAGATTGTTGCCAAGACCAGTAACCAGATATGACAGCCAACCCTATATTTTAGTTATGAAACAGTTTATTCATTTGGACCATTCAGATACTCACAAATGCCATTTGGAATTCACCAACTTTTCCATTCACAGCTTTTATAGTATGCAAGGTTTGCCGAAATGAGTTCCGAACCTCTGTAATCTCTGAAGCTTCTCCATGAGAGGGAGCTAGAAATTTGTTGAGACCCTGGTCTAGCCGGAATTTGAATGCCAGATACAGGTAGTAGATTGGAGCAGGGGTGGCTTTAGTTTTTTCTGTTAAAACCAGATTTTCAAACTCTTTGAAAGTATTGTGAAATGCCATAGCACAAAACAGGACCTCCATACTTGAATCCAACCAACAAGAATTTCTGTCCCATTTAGCAGAAGGAAGTTCAGAGGTTGTAGTCGATTTGATAGGTCCAAAGTCTGGCTGAGAAGGGCGAGCATTCAACTTGGTTGGAGACATCAACTGTATTTTCTGCTGAGCCTTATGCAACTCATTCGCAGTTTTGGCAGGTTCATTGTCTGAATCATCAGAGGAAGGAATGACATGGGAGTGGTGGGGATATGGTGGAAGATGCTCAGATGATGATGAATCAGAACCAGAGTGTGAAATTGGGCGCTTGGTGCTAGCTCGGACAAGTCGATGACGTTTGAGTGAAGAAGAAGATTTTTTTAATTGCCAAAAAGGTGGGTTTCCTTCACGGCGGCCTCGCCGACGCTCCTTTGCAGCACCCCGTGGATGCTTACGGCTAGGATGAGTAGTTCCATGCTGCTGATATAGTTCCTTCCTAAGTTCACGTCCTGATTTTCCGTAATGTGATTTGACATGTACTGTATATATTGAAATTGAATCAGTTAATCATTTGGTTAAAGATGTATACATACATAAGGCATTTTGTGATTCAATGCGGAAAAGTTTTTCAACTGCAAGAAGTCCATCGAGTCCCTTGAGTAATGGGTGATTAATCCCTACAGCACGGTAGATAGTTGCATGCATGGCTTCCTCCGCATTTGTTGTTGCTGGGAGTTTGGCAGCCAGGTCAGCAGCCATAGTTAGCTTGCAGGGAAAGAGCATTCCAGCATGCTCAGACATCAACCACCAGCTAAGCCAGCGGGATACACGAGGCCAGTGTTGTTGAATAGTGGAAACTATGTCATCAAAATGTTTCACATCTGTGATTTCTGGAAGGGAACGGCAAAGTTTTTGAAACTCAGACTTGGTATTTTGCGGAACTGCATCACCAATCCGGCTCATTCGGTTAACAGCTTTGTGATAATGATAGAGGCACCCTTTGATCAAAGCCTGACCAGCAAGCTGTAAATCCTTTTCTGAGCGTGTATCACTGGCCTGAGCCTGAAAGTAAGTGACAAATGCACCAACAAAACCGATTCGCTGAGGATCACTAAAGTCAACAAGCTATTGTATTTATGTCTTTAGTAAAACTTATGTCATTTGAAAAGAATATTGCACTCACACTTGCGAAAAGGCTATCAGTAATAGGAATGTTTTTTTGCAATGCAGTTGCTGTCATAAAGTACGCAGCCCCTATCATTTTCCTTTTCTCACCGTCTCGACGCCTTTACTTGTACGACACATCATCCCATCACTGTCAAACCCCCATCGATTACTGATCCACCTGACCCATCTTCTCCTTCTATTGGCTTCCGCCACCTTCCTTGTTCCTAAACTGTACAGTATTACATCGTTGTTTCTCGCAGACCGGATTATGTATATATAGCCAACCCTCCATAGCCTGGTCCCTTATCTTGACCTCTCTGTCATTATCTGGGACCAGGTATGTGCTTACTTATTATTACCTATGACTACGATACTCAATATATCTCTGTCATTATCTGGGACCAGCCTGCCGCCGTTCTGCTTAGTCGCTCCGCCTTGTTGCCTTGTCCAGTTGCTCCGCCTCACCGTTCTGCTTAGTCGCTCCGCTTTCCCGCTCCGTTAGTCACACCGCCTCTGCCGCTTCGTGACATTAGGTCAAGATCCATTACTGCACTGACAGCCTACCGATAAGGTTGTCCTTGCAGGGTCTATAGACACCACGTCTTTCCCAGTTCCGCCCGACTCTGAAACACCTGTTGCCAGTATAGACTGCTCCGCACTCCCGCACGCACTTGACCCCAGAGACCAAGCTCACGCCCATAACAACGACAATACTTGGCGCGATTGCCAGTCTCAACCTTGCCCCAACGCCCTTTCGAACTCAATCCGAGAGCCACTCACTGTGAGCAATATAACCTTCCTGCCGATTCCCCAGCCCCGATTGCCTACTCCCATCATGTCGACTCCTATCCCGCCTGCCCCAAACACCTCTGCGGAGGATCTCATGGCTCAGCTCATCAGACAAGTAGCTAACCTTGCTACAGCTATGGAGGAACGCTCATCCTCTAAGTCAAGCATGAACAAAACCGAGGTTTTCAAGGGTAAAGATGGCGCTGAAGCCCGTCGCTTCATGGCTCAGTTCCAGAATTGGGCGTCAGAACAACCGGATCTCGCCAAAAGCCAAGTAAAACTCATCAAGTCCGCCTTGGGCTTCTTCACAGAAAGTGCCGGAGATTGGGCAACTCCCCATCTGCTACATTTCAATGCAGAAAATCCCCCTTTCGGAGGAAATTGGGAGGCGTTTCTGAAGGAATTTAGCCAACGGTTTGAACCAATGGACCCAGGTATGGAAGCCCGTAGCGAGATCAAGAATCTCAGGCAAAGTAAAGGACAGACAGTTGCGGAATTCGCTCAGAAGTTCAAGGATATCGGAGATCGGACTGAAATGTCTGATATTGACTTGCGGGAACGTTTCTTCACTGCATTACTCCCAGAGATCCGACAACACCTCATCACCGTAAACATTGCCCAAGGAATTGCTCCGACTCTGAAGGAGGCAATCAAACGGGCCATATCGGTGGATGTCTACCTGCACGATCCCACCATGACTGGCCGGAACTCTGGATACCCTCCCACGCATACCGCTCATACTACCCCTGCTGATCCCCACGCTATGGACATTGATGCAACCCACACCAGTAATGGGAATACTAGGGAAGCATTCCTAGCTCGCATGCAAGGACGATGCTTCGGCTGCGGTGCCCAAGGTCATGTCAAGCAAAACTGCCCACACCGAGAAACCACCTGCCGCTACTGTGGACGTCGAGGACATCTGGAAGCAGTCTGCCAAGACAAATTCATGGGACTCGGACGAGACCGAGGCCGACGCCAGCAACCTCGACGCCAACAGATATCCGCTACGGGACCCGCGCCATTCTCCCTATTCCCAAACGAATCCGTCCAAATCGCGTCCTCGACCCCAACATCTGCTCCTGCACCCGTAGCTGTTACTCCGAGCCCCCCTAACCAGGACTTTTCCAATCAGATTGGTCAAATAAGGGAATTACTTGATCGTGCTAACGCTATGTCCTCCTCGTCCTCTGGCTTTCAACAGGGTTTTTAAAGAGGGTACCCGCTTCGGCTGCACCGAGAGTACCCCGTAATCAGTTTGTTATGTTCGCTACTTCCTCGTATGACTCGCACCCATCATGTACAATATCGTCGATCCGGGAATTAAACTCTATTTCCCCACATTTCCGAATTCATGCGAGACTAAGAGGAAGGAATCACAGTATAACAACTGCAGCCATGGTAGACTGTGGAGCTACCGCCCTGTTTTTAAACCAAGACTTTGTCACCCGGAACCATGTAAGATGTGCACCCCTCCATAAACCAATCGACGTTTTTAATATCGATGGAACACCTAACCGAGCTGGACGGATAACCCATTTTGCAGGTCTAGCACTCACAGTGGATAATCAAGAGCGATGGATGGACTTTCTGATCACCAACCTAGGAGGTGAAGACATCATCCTTGGACTCCCCTGGCTACGGAAGGTAAATCCGGAGATTGATTGGGAGAAAGGACGACTTTCAGTAAAGCCTCCTCGAGTAACGATAGAAGAAGTCCCAGACGAGGAGATCTTGTACTCTCATCTAGCCGCCACTCACACAGAAAGCCCGATCCTTGAACTCCCGAACCTGGAACCTCCCGCAGAAACCCCCCACATTGAGGTGCCACTGGAAGCAACCCTTGAAGAGAGCGAATCAGCAGCAGTGGAAGAACCACCAATACACCGAATTCGAGCCAATCATAAAACCCGCCGGGCATGGGTAAAAGCAGGAATTCTAGAGGAACAGACGGAGGAAGTCTGGTGCGCCGCAGGATTCACTTACTCCCAGCAGCTAGCAGAGGAAGCCAACCGAGACAAACCCGTTAAAACCTTCGAAGAAATGGTCCCTGAGCAGTATCGTGATTTCAAGAAAGTTTTCTCAGAATCCGCCTCCGAACGATTACCTGCCCACCAACCTTGGGACCATGCGATTGATCTCGTACCTGGAGCACCGGCAACCATGCGTACCAAGATTTATCCCATGTCCCTAAACGAGCAGGAGGAGTTGGATCGTTTCTTAGAAGAAAACCTACGGAAAGGCTATATCGTCCCCTCAAAATCACCAATCTCATCACCGGTCTTCTTCGTAAAGAAGAAGGATGGGAAACTCCGTTTTGTACAAGACTACCGGAAACTGAACGAGTACACTGTGAAGAACCGATACCCTCTCCCATTAGTTGCTGACATCATTAGCCGACTTCAGGGAGCCAGATACTTCACGAAGTTTGATGTCCGCTGGGGTTACAATAACATACGGATTAAGAAGGGGCATGAATGGAAAGGCGCGTTCGCAACAACCCGAGGCTTGTTCGAGCCTAAGGTCATGTTCTTTGGTCTCACAAATTCCCCTGCCACGTTCCAAGCACTTATGAATGCTATATTTGCTGATCTCATTGCAGCCGGCAAGGTGGCAGTCTACCTAGATGACATCCTTATCTTCAGTAACGATCTCGAGGAACACCGACGAATAGTACGGGAAGTATTAACCCGGTTAGAAAAGCACGACCTCTACCTACGACCCGAAAAATGCGAATTTGAACAACAGATTGAATACCTCGGACTCATCATCTCAGAAGGGGAGGTGAGAATGGATCCGGTAAAAGTAGCGGCTGTTCGTGACTGGCCAGTCCCTACTAACCTTCGGGAACTACGAGGGTTCTTGGGATTTGCAAACTTCTACCGACGCTTTATCCGGAATTTTGCCAAAATAGCACGACCTCTGAACGACCTGACGAAGAAAGACACCAGCTTTACCTGGACCGACACTCGACAGAAAGCATTTGATACCCTTCGAGAAGCCTTCATCTCCGCACCAATCCTTGCTCTATGGACACCAGACAGGCCTACTCGAATCGAGGTAGACGCATCAGGCTTTGCCACGGGAGGCGCCCTTATGCAGAAGCAAGACGACGGCCAATGGCATCCGGTAGCCTTCAGATCGGCATCCATGCAGCCAGCGGAACGGAACTACGAAATCTACGATCGAGAAATGCTTGCTATCATTGAAGCACTGAAGGATTGGAGGAACTTTCTAGAAGGACTCCCTCAACCATTCGACATCATTACGGACCATTCGAACCTCGAATTCTGGCGCACTGCACAAGACCTCACCCGCCGACAAGCCCGATGGGCCCTCTATCTGTCACGGTTTGACTTTCATATGATCCACCGCCCTGGCAGAGTAAACACCCAAGCTGATGCTCTCTCCCGCATGGCAGTTCATCATGTATCGGACAGCGATGATAACCGACAACAGACAGTCCTTAAACCCGGCCACTTCATAAAAATTGCAGCTTCGATCCTACAGAACCCCTTAGAGGATCATATCCGGAAAGCCTCAGAACGGGAGGCACAGGTATTGGAGGGTCTCAAAACAGTCAAAGAACACGGACTACAGCGCTTGGCCAATGGGATAGCCGAATGGGAAGAAGACAATGGGTTGGTCTACTACCGAGGTCGAGTATACGTACCAGCAAACGACGACCTACGCACTGAGGTACTCCGCCAATGCCACGACCATCCAACTGCAGGACACCCCGGACTACACGGGACACTCGACTTGGTCAGTACCCATTTCTGGTGGCCTACGTTGCGCTCTTTTGTGGAAAAATACGTTGAGGGATGCGAGGTTTGTGCCCGTAAGAAGATCCAGCGACACCCACGGGCCGTAGCTCAACCATTAGATGTACCATCCGGTCTATGGGAAGAGGTAGGGGTTGACCTGATAACACAGCTACCTAACTCCCAAGGCTACGATGCTGTCTTGGTTTGCACAGACCTGTATGGAAAACAAATTCACGCTATTCCTTGCACCAGCTCCATCACAGCCGAAGGCGTTGCCGATATCTACTACCGAGAGATCTTCCGTCTCCATGGTCTTCCTCTTCACTTTAAATCCGACCGCGGACCTCAGTTTGCAGCTAAACTCATGTGATCCCTTCTCGCTAGGCTAGGAATTAAATCGGATCTAACCTCCGGATACCGTCCTCAGTCTAATGGCCAAACCGAACGAGCAAATCAGGAAGTAGAGAAATACATCCGCCTCTATGTAGGACGACGACAAGATGACTGGGCAGAGCACCTTCCCATGGCGGAGTTTGTGATTAACTCACGGACTCATTCTGTGCTAGGCATGTCCCCGTTCGAGTTAACCTATGGCTATCTTCCCCTGTTCAATATCCCAGTGGGCCAACGCAGCGGTATTCCAGCTGTGGATGACCGTATACGGATTCTCCGAGAAGCGCGACAAGATGCCGGAGCTGCCTTACACCTAGGAAAGAAACAACAGAAGGAGGGATACGAACGCGGGAAGCGGAAAGCTCATCAATTTAAAGTTGGAGACCTAGTCTGGCTCAGTGCAGAGGACATTAACCTTCAGCTTTCCAGTGAAAAGTTAGGAGATCGACAGCTTGGCCCTTATCGCATTCTGGAAAAAATTGGCCCTTTAGACTACCGCCTTGACCTTCCCCTATCCCTAGATCGCCTCCATCCCGTCTTCCATGTTGATAAACTATACCCCTGGAAAGGTAACTCCATTAATGGCGAAATACCAACACCACCAGAGCCGGTATACTTAGAGGATGAAGACGAACCGGAATACGAAGTAGAGGAGATCTTAGACAGCCGGGTTCGATGGAAGAAGTTGGAATATTTGGTTAAGTGGAAAGGTTACGACGCAGGGCACAACTCTTGGGAACCCGCAGCCAACCTCAGTCGAGCACCAAAAATTGTTCGGGCCTTTCATAAAAAACACCCAACAGCGGCAAAACCTTGACCATCGAGGGCAATGGTCATAAGGAAGGGGGTAATGTCATAAAGTACGCAGCCCCTATCATTTTCCTTTTCTCACTGTCTCGACGCCTTTACTTGTACGACACATCATCCCATCACTGTCAAACCCCCATCGATTACTGATCCATCGATTACTGATCCACCTGACCCATCTTCTCCTTCTATTGGCTTCCGCCACCTTCCTTGTTCCTAAACTGTACAGTATTACATCGTTGTTTCTCGCAGACCGGATTATGTATATATAGCCAACCCTCCACAGCCTGGTCCCTTATCTTGACCTCTCTGTCATTATCTGGGACCAGGTATGTGCTTACTTATTATTACCTATGACTACGATACTCAATATATCTCTGTCATTATCTGGGACCAGCCTGCCGCCGTTCTGCTTAGTCGCTCCGCCTTGTTGCCTTGTCCAGTTGCTCCGCCTCACCGTTCTGCTTAGTCGCTCCGCTTTCCCGCTCCGTTAGTCACACCGCCTCTGCCGCTTCGTGACAGTTGCAGCAATGCCTTCAATGAGAATAAGGAAGTGATACTCGTAATGAGCAATTGTTGCACCATTCGCATATGTAAAGAGGACGGGAACCCATTTTTCGATGAGAGGGGAGTAGATGGAGGTAACGATGAGGCGCCCATTTGGATCTTCCCAATACTTGTGAGCAGCATCAGAGAGCAACCCATGAAGTGGATCACCAACATCAGACATATCAGGTAAGGTCTGCTGCTGCATCCACTCAGTTTGAAGAGAAATACAGACTATATCGGAGCTGACATAATCTTTGCAAGGAACTGTCGAATGCTTGCCCTTCCACTTCTGCAGATTCTGCAGGTTTCCAAATGCACTAGTAGGGCCATTTCCATCCTTTTTCTTCTCTTGATTCAGCCGATAGCTAGTGTATGCCCTTTGTGAGAACTTCTGCCCAAGATCAGCAGCACTAGGTCCAAAGCCTTGTGGAGCAGGGGCACCAACCATAAGCTGAGTGGAGGTCGCATTAGGTCTATTTTCGTATACTGTGCGGAAACGCTGATCCTCTGCTGCTGTAGTGCGCACAACACCTGGAAGCCGGCTATGGGTATGAGCAGTACCATTGATGTATCTGTACTGTGTTGTCGAAATGTCACCATCCTGCTGACCCCAGGTGATAAGGTACGACCGTGAAGAACAGTGGTCATGCTTCAATTGACCACCACAGTAACACCTAGCTGAAAGCTGTTTCTGGAGTCCAGCAGACTCAACCTGAGGCCGTCCAATAAATTGACAACCCTCAACTGTGCATATCAAAACACCAAGGCATTTTTTGTTCAATATCTTCCCACCCGCAATAGTTGAAGATCCAACAGAGGAGTTTCGGCTCCGAGTAGTGTTACTTTTAGTAGCCCATTGAACTGCCAGCCGCTTAGTAGCCATATACTCAGTGTGAGTAAGATCCAATCGAAATCGACCATTCGGCCAAGGATCCCATTCACCACCTTGTAGATTACCAAGTAAGGTTGCAATAACACCTTGATCAAGTTCGCAAACTGAGAGTGGCTGGGGATCGAGAGGAATGAAGGTTGTAAGTGCAGCAGGGTTTGAAAGGTCAATCAAAGGAATACTAGTCCAATTTTTGGAATTAGGGTGGAGAGAATCAGAAGCAGGCTGGGAGGGATGTATATTTGGTTGGGATTTCACTAAATTTCCGGTGGGTTGAGTCTGAGATATGAGACGATTAACTTGTTGGAATCCAATTTGAATTCCTGTACATTAAATTAGGAACTAGACTTGGAACAGATATAGCATTCAAGACTTACCATTTTCATCAAACACTGGCAAAGTGTGCATTTCAGTGGTAGGCCCCATAATGCTCACTGTCTTTTTGGGTTTCATTGATTCTTCATCATCAGAACCAGAATAAATTGTTTGTGCAATGAATTTTCGGAGCTTGGTCTAATAGAATATCTCGACTTAGACATTTTTCTGACCATTTGTGATACTATAAATTCAACTTACAAACCAACTCATTGTGTTACAATATTCAACTTGCAGGGAATTGGATGGGGAAAGGGTACCGAAGATTTCTCGAGTTCTCTCTTATACTTCGTTCATAACCCATCAATTTCTCGGGTATTTTCAGGGTTGTTTCAACTTGAGAAAAATTTAATATAGATCTTTCGAAGTAAATTCACTGAAAGGTATGAATGTAAAGTAAGGTTGTTTCATTGTACACAATGTCTGAAATGATTCAGTCAAAATGTTATAAATTTAACCCGAACGCAGTTACATTGAACGTGAACGCAGGTACATTGAACGCGAACGCACTTATTTGAACGCAATGAACTCGAACGCAAATCCATCGGAACGCAGAACGCACCGGCGGAACGCGAAATTATACCGTCCGCATTGGAACTCGGAGCCCGATTCATTCGCCACCTGCAGCCAGTCGTCATACATCAGCTTTGTATAGATCATATTAAGGGTTTGTTTCTTTGGTCTACTTTAATGGGCTGAGTCTGCTGCAATGAAAACCCATCACTTAATTTGCAATCGGACGTACAATGCTTTCATCGAAATTTCACTTGAGACTGCTCCGAATGAGGACTCCTATTCAAAATCGACTGAGGGAATGATAATAAGTGGAGAAGGCTAGTATACCTTATGCATCTTGCATCTTGCAATTCACTCCCTCTATATAGATTCTTTCTCTACAACTTTCGTTTTAGCCGTTTGTAGTGCTTCCGCCGCCTCCTTCCTTAATCGCTCCTCATCCCCCCTTAAAAGCTCCTTATGCTTAATCATCACAACACTTACCAACGTCGCAGTCGCCGACATTGCTGCATTCAGCAAAAAGACGTCTCGGAACCCTTTTGTATATCCTTTGGAGAGTATATCTGCTGCCTGAGAAGGAGATATACTCAAACTTGAAATGGCGGAAGGGTTGTTGAGCAGCGAGGGCTTATCGATTACGGGGCTGATTGTAGACGAAGGGAATCCGAGATTCTTCATGAAATCTCGGATGGCGTTGTTTCTAAAAGGCACGGTCAGGGATAACTCATACTAATGTATTGTAGGGGCGTACAAGAGCGAAGAAGCAACTGGGAGAGCGATTGCCCCTCCGAGCATACGAACAAACTACGGAGATATATCAATTGAGGACAAGCTTCATAAGGCCAACCACTTTACATTTCGTACTGCGGTGACAATCGACATGTCCTTTCTTGCTACACTGGCTTGTGCAGCCACGGTTGTAGTTTGCATGGTCTGATGAAAGAAAGATTTATACTAGGAGTAGGCGTCCGATTTGAAAAAGAAAACACACCATGCCGTTCCCGAATCCGGTCAAAAGCATTAAAACAACCATCACAGCTTTCGACGTGCTGGCATTGAAAATGGAGATACATCCACATCCAATCGCAGACAAGGCGAAGCCAGTATATACGACGGTGCGATACTTACCTGTATGACTGACAGTAAGCCCCTTGAAATCCGGTTGAGGCCAACCAGTCAATGAGATTGAAAAACAAGAGCCTCACCGCTGTTAAACTCGAAACAACCTGACTCATGACAACAGGTAAGAGGAAAGTTCCTAAAGGACATGAGAGGGAATAATTCAAGATTCTGGGCAGAGTAACTAACCAGAGTAAGTAGGAGAGTATCCGAGGACGACTTGGAAGAATAAGGGAAGGTAGTACAACGCCGAGAAGAAAACGAAACCGCTGCAAGAAATATGTCAATTTTTTACATATGTATCACCAGTAAAGCTTTGTAACAAACTTGGCGAACATGCATATGTAAACACCGACTACAGTTACATGTTTGAAGATGTGCACTAATAGTTAAACGTGAGCATCGGAACCATCTCAAACAATGTGACGCTCACTTGGAACAATTGGCAACTTTGCAACCTTCCATTCCCAAAGGCAGAAGAGCACAACAACGAAGACACCACAACACAGTGGCGCCAGCACAATGACGGAGTTCCATGGGTACGTAATGCCTCCCTATATATACTCCCCAGTTAACGAGACCACGGAGAAGGAATCAAAATGCTCACCCAAATAAGAGGAAGCATGATAAGTGTGCATCCTCCAAGCGTTAGGACAATGCCAGGATAATCAATTATCTTGAGTTTCCTAAGTTCTATGAGAATCACACGTTGCACGAGGAGGGACAAGATTTACTGCACAATTCCCCCTGACATTGGTTTGAAGGGAGCGAAGATCATCGCCATGATAGTAGCGACAACGGAAAGAGGTAGAGTTACCCAGAAGCACCACTAAAAAACCAAATTGAGATATTGATTGAACATCAGTGTATCAACTTACTCTCCAACTGGCTTTTTCAGCCAAAACACCACCAATGATAGGCCCAAAGGCATATCCTAACGCAATCACACCAGCCGATATACCGACATATTTTCCCCTAGAAAGAACCAAATCAAACTTCATATGGTAAAAAAGACAGCTACAAGCCTACCTTTCTCTCAACGGAACAATGTCCGAAATCATGATCTGCAACATGCTGGAGATGCCTCCACCACCAGCCCCTGCGATCCCTCTACACACAATAAGTTGGATGATAGAATTGGAGAAACCTGCAGCAAGATTCCCAACAAAGTAAACAGTCATGGCGAGACATAGGGTACTCTTTCGCCCAAATATATCGCTCAAACGTCCATACAAGGGTTGGAAAGCTGTGGAGGTCAATAGGTATGCGGATGGTACCCAGGAAGACACAGAGCCTGCGTTAAACACAGCCGACACGGTGGGCAGCGATGTAGAGACAATGAGGGAGTCAAGAGAGGTCACTAGAGCGCATAGTGACAGTGCAAGGAAGACGATGACGACTTGTCTTACGGGGAGGAGGTTGGTTTGATCAGTCAATTCGACGGTGGTTTTGGTTTTGGGTTTGATTTTGTTTGATTGTACTGCGGCTGCATTTGAAGAGGCCTGTATCGCATTATTTGTTACAGCAGAAGTCATTGGATATCGATCTTTGGATAAATTTTTGGATCAGAATATATACGAGGTGCGTTGGTAAGACGGTTTCACGTCATTTCGGTTACTGTCCGCGTCGTCAGCAATGGCTAACCAAACAGGGGAGTGTAGGTATGAACAACGCGATGAAAACCGGTTGACACATCCTCAGTCCTGCATATAAGTATCGAATTCTTTTGCCGAGGTCGACCTCGACATCGTCGATAGTAAGTAAGAAAATAAGCACACGTGACACGTCTAATTCTCTTCCGTCCCTCAATGCAGAGAGCAGTGTTCACACAATCTCTGCGCTCTTTCAATTGCTTAGCCACCTCCAATGCTTCGGTCAGAGCAGCTCTCCTTCAAGCCAGCTCAGCATCTCGACTATCGTCGCTGAGTTTGACAAGTATTGGAGGAGCCCATATTCTTCGATTTAAATCAACGAAAGCTACTACAAAATCTGCTCAGAAAACTTCGCTTTCATCTTCTACAAGCACGTCCTCTGCAGTCAACGCAAAGTCTACTGACTCTGCACCTACTGCGTCAAAGGCAGTAGAACACCCCCTTTCCTGGCCCGAATACCTTACTATTAGACGACGCAAACGAAGATTGCAGAATGTAAGGGTGATAATAGTCCTGTGGATTATTGAAGCTGAGAGTTCACCCTAGCTCGCAGCTATACCTTGCTCCGTATTGGGACTTATGGGTGGAGCAGCGTATTTCGGGAGCTTGGACACGGATCCGTTGAAACCCATCTTTGTGCGTTCGTTGGCATTCTCCACAAAGAATCCACGCTAACTTTTATGTCTTCTTGGCAATTTTTTGCAGGGAATTGACCCATTCATGTTCTACGGAATTTGTACCGCTGCTTGCATGGGTACCGGCTATCTAGTGGGTCCTACCCTCGGCGCCTTCATATGGCGTTTCCTTCCCTCCTCAAAACGTTATGGTAGTTTGATCGACAAAAAGGATAAGGAATTCTATGAAAGGATAGCAAAGAATCGCGTGGACGTGACATTGCAGAGTCCCACCAGTCCAGTGCCAGATTATTACGGTGATTATTACTCTCTTGTCTTCACCACTGTGAAAACTAATGCAAATATTGAAATGCAGGCGAAAAGGTCGGTTCCCTGCATGAATATAGGAAGGTCTGTGTTGTATTCACTCATACATTAGCCCACTCGGCTGAGATTCATTGAAATCTAGTGGCTCAGAGACCAGAACAAGTACCGGCGAAAAGTGGTTTTCGATGAGGCTGCGTGAAATACACCGTGGCTGATCTCAACGAAAGCCGCGATCAACTTGTTTCAGGTTGCAATGACTACTGACAGTCATATTCGATATACAGTACCTCCGGTTAATAGACAGGCGTGGAGGAGGAGGACAGATCTTCTTAGGTTGTATATCTACTAGTTCACTAGCTACTGTCATGTATCAATCGACTTCATCCATCTGTGCCAGAGAGAGATATATTTTGACTCAACGAATCACCACTAGTCTTGCAACAGCGACAGCATGTACGTGTTATTTTCTCTTGTCGCGAACCTTCCGCCCACCTCTACCCCCAACGTTCGACGACGTCGCTGTGTGCGACGAAGGTGCGTCGGTTTCAGTTGTTCAACGTACCTTATTGGCAGGTTCCTTGGTACCGCGGTTCCCCTCATGCAAAGTCTTCACATCCGGATAGATCACCGCAGTCTGTGATCTGACGCGGACGGAGAGGGCATGTCGAGCTTTCGCAAGTTGGGTGGCGTTGTGTGGGAGTGGAACACCCAGATAAAACACCCTTTGCACTTCGTTGACTTTGGCGTCAGAAACTACTGGCTGGGTAAGATACACCTTGTCTACCGTCCATCTCAGAGGATACTTAGCAGTAGGAAGAACATCTGGTGCAACATATATGTATATAATCTCAACAGGTTTGTCAAACCTGCGACGAGCATTCTCTCGTACTTCCGTAATGGTAGTGACAACACTTGTTGTGGTATGCGTATGACCACGACCTCAGACGATAGAGATCTGAATAAAGGCTGCGACAATATATCTGCCCCCGTTCCGAAGGATGAAAGAGTCGAAGAATGAGTTGTTTGGCTCAATGGGGTGATAGTAACAGTCCAATTCCAGTTGTGCCTGGTCAGGGGCTTCTCAATTCGTAGCCCCTTTGCACTCTAGAAAAGTCGTTGCACACTGAGTACTGTTCAGTGGTTGTTTCATAGACGCAGTCTGTGGCATGGGGGCATGATGAAGACTTCGATCCGCATTTAACGCAGGTACGAGGTCAATATGTCATAGGTTGCATTGGAGGCAAATCCGAGGGCGAGCCGGAAATCGAGCCAGGGGTCGAGAGGACTTTATGCACGTACGATTCGTAGATGTTAGCTGCGAAAGTGGTAGCTTTGGAATAAATTTAACTTCAGTGCGCAGATGCGATGCGACAACCGACCGGTCCCTTGAGTTGTCTCGCCTTCCATCATCAAAGCTCGTCCAGTTGCGAGGTAGGTGTTGAGGAAGGTCACTGCATGTTTCTATGGCAGGTATGTATCATCGTGCACGGATAATACAATGGCAGGGTTTAGGAGATAAGTGTAGATATCTCGTGCCGCATAGCCAAAATGCTCGATGGCGCTATTCAAGAGTTTCTCCATAATCAGTTCAAGAACGTCTGGGCTTTGCAGTTCAGCATCTGACACCTCCGCAACCTCCAACGTGGTCCGGTGCTGTTGGGGAAGCTCAAGGAACATCTCCTTTTGGAAGCCACTCAAGCCTGAAAGACTCATATCCCCAACATCCAGAAGGTCCGTATCCGCAATGCCTTCATCCTCAGCCGTACTAAGTCCTCTTGCAACCCTCTGCTTTTTGACCCAGTGGTTGAGACTAGCGTCAAGTCTCCTCCGGGCGTGCTGGTATTTCCAACTGGAAACATTTTAGCGCACCATACCACCATACCAACGAACGACGATAGTACTTACCCCTGAATAAGTAGCTCACGGCTCCAAAGCGGAAGGCCAATTACGATAACCCAGTAGTGGTACCGCGATGGATTGGGCGAGGACGATTGGACGATGAAGATATGTCCTACGTCTACTAAACCCTCAGGCTCTTTAGTATCATGATCCAAATCTAACAAGACCCATATGTACGATTTCTTCATCACCCACGGTCCGCGAGCACCGTCAGGACCTTCTGTCAATTCGGAAGACCTGGGTTCGGGAAGCATCTGGGGTGTGAAATGTACATGTGCTTTGGGGGAGTAGATGTGACCACCAAAAAAGAGAATTTTGTCGGTGTTGGTGTACAAAAAGACGGGAGCGGCCCTCAGGCGTAGCTGGGGATGTTCCTCGGACGTCAGGTTCAAGAGTACAAGAAGCAGGTAACTCAGCAACACGCTTTTCCCTGTTGAAAATGGATCCATTCAGATCCATGTAAATATAGATATGGACCAGATACCAATTCCTGGTTGGCCCGTGACAAGTACTCCTTGTTCGGCGAATGTTGGGCTTGAATAGATATTCGCGATGCGGCGGACGACGTCAGGGTAGTTGGGCAAGATTATAATCTCGCCAGTAGAAGTTTCGCGCAGCTGATGTGCCATAACGGAGTCCAGGAAAGTCTTGTTCGGTACGACTGGTAAAGCTTTTCCCGCGACAAGGTCTGTTTCTTTAAGCATTTGAACATGCCGTATCTCTTTGTACCACATCGTTGTCGAGTTCAGTAAATTCCACTGGTCCCGCGCCGACCAGATATAGTCTTGTGCGTGTGCGCAAAAGGCTGGAAGCGGTGCTGGTTGAGAAGGCGGTAGGTAGGGTGATGCTGTAGTTTGTTCGGCTGATTCTGCAGGTAGTTGGGGCGGTTCGTTAAACATCGTAAGTCGTGGCAGCACTGGCAACGCCTGGAAACGCTATGAACAGCAAAGAAAGATGTTTGAAACAAAAAGCAAAAAATTTGCAATTGGGGGGGCCTATAATGGCAGTTTTCGTTCAAAATTCGACTACTTAAGATGCAAAAGGGAACTTCCTCCTAGCCGACTTGAACGACTGACCTCGTCATGCAACAGATGTCAATTTCCAAGAATTCGACTCATTTCGTTGTTGACACGAAATGAATTAAATTCTTGGGAATTGAATCATACTAGTGACGCGCTCTACCAACTGAGCTAAGAAGGATTACGAAAAAAGGTTGTAATTGACATTTGACAGAGCACAATACCACTGTTGTAATATCTTAAAAAATGTCCGTTGTCAAAATGCATATCCAAAGGTATCATAATCACTGCATAGTAATGAAATTTAAATGTTCAAAAGGTCCTGCAGAAACTATGCCACAGTCGGAGACCTAGAGACCAGGAAGTATACTCTCGAGACTACTCTGGATAGTGAATTGGGGACTCTGGTTACCGGAATCCCCGAATACTGTAAAGCAGACAAGTGAGTACGCAACCGAAAACAAAACAAGGAAGTAAACATACAGATGACGGAGTAGTCGTCTCCTGGGACAACGTTCGAAGGACATGTGACGGAAACCCATCCTTGCCTAAGGTCAAAGCCACTGGCAAGGGCTAAAGAAAAGGTGAAACAAAGGATCGTTTAATGTCGGAATGCGAAAACGAAGACTTCCAGCTCACTTGTGTCAGTCAAGACCCCATCTTGACCCAGGCGTACAGAAGCTCCGTTTGAGATATTGACAGGAGCATTGGAGGTGTCCCTTTATATATGGATCCACACCCAATAGTCAACTTTCGCATACAATTTAGAGAACAAGAGTACGATACCAAGTGACGTTGTACTGTTGTCCTTCAGTCCAAACAGTGCTTGCGTTGGGAGAAATGATCGTCGGGGACCAAACGTCCAATATCATACGAGCCCCATTGGACACGGGTGAAGCAGACACCGCGGAGACAGCCAAAGCCATAAGAGATGATGCGAGGAGCGTGAATTGCATGGTGACAACAAGTTAGAGAGTGTAGAGGAATGAAGGAGAGGAAATTGTCTTCTGGTTTAATTAATACCGTGAGCTGAAGAGGGGAGTAAGGAAGAAAAACGAAGATCGTGAGATGGCAACGAGGGTTTAAATACCCATTCAGAGCTTCGCTAAACTCTCTGCCGTGAATGTGGATGCGAACATTCCGCGAACATTCAACAAACAAATCAGCTCCACAGCATGATGGCTTGGAAGCTCTTTGGATCACAACCTATAATAGAGCCTATCAGATTACAGCGCTCCGTGCCAGTCCGTTTGTCAGCAGAGGCTCGGACGGTTCAATTCGACCTTTAGTCTAAGGAGAGGAGCCTTCGGTCTTATACATAGCACACATAACAGAGTACTCACATTCAGTAAAGTGGTATAACTTCTGATCATGGAGAACATGTTGATATGCTTGAGATAGAGTTGGCACTCTTTGGCGCGAACTGCAAAACTACTGCAAAGTATGGGTCCAACCTAGACTGAGCCCAGGTCGCGGAACAATATGACAGAAGTAAGGCAGACGAGACTTATATCTGGGGGGTCATGGCGGTATTACATATGTACTTGTGGGAAGACTAATAGGTTTACAACGTTGAAACTAGAAATGCAATAAGTAACCAAGTGAGTGTATGCGGAGATGATAAATGCGCTCCAAAAAACACTGAGAACTTGGAGAAAAAGGTATTAAGGGTACATGGACCGTAAAAAGTTAAAACTATAATTCAATGAAGCTGGTATCGATTCCATCAGCAAAGTCCCAGATACAAATCCTCTGTAAGGACGAGTTGAAAGGTAAACTCAGAGAGAGAGGGAAAAGACAACAAATACATACCTGATCTTCACCACAAGATACTACCTAGGTAAGGAAGCGAATATGCGGTTAGCAGACATTATAAACGACCTCAAACTAAACAAACTCACTTTCGTGCCGTCAAATCCAATACAAAATATCCTTCCAGTATGTCCGCCAGACAGATCTGCAACCAATGCACCCGTTCGACGGTCCCATACCTGAAAACACCGTATCAATCGTATCGTAGACCAATTGATTTCTGACAGGAGAATTTAGAACTAACCTTGATACTTAAATCATAACTCCCACTCAAGACAAACTCATCTCCAAACGCAACAGTCCTTACTAGATCCCGATGAAGAACATTCTTATGTACATTGTTAGTACCCTGTCGTCCACTGACACCGCCCCCAAGAGCAACAAGTCCGCTGTTCCCGCACGCCTGACACAAGACAGCCTGGCCTTCTAACCCGAATGCGAATGTCGGCGCAATGTTAAAACCAGTAGTCAGAAGTTCATTGTTCCCGGCATTGGGCATTGGCTGGGACTGGAAATCTGGAACAAAGGACGACGATAAATGACCTAATTGAGAGCTGCCCAAGTCATGCCCTTGCCCGACTAATCCGGAAATATTGTCAAATTCTGGGGACGTAGACCAGCCATGCAAGGTTGCGATGTCAAATAGACGAAGATGCTTGTCCGAAGAGCCAGAAAGCACATATGGGGGCTTGAAGTCTATGGACGCGATACTACAAAATTTCTCAGCTAGAATCATCGAGAAATGAGAAAAAGCTGCATACCCCCTGCTGTGGTGATTCTCAAATGTGCGCAACAAATTCCCAGTGTTTGCATCCCACAATCTGATTGAACGATCACCGGAGCCAGATACGATGAGGGTATCTGATATCGAGACCGCGTTGACGGCTGCTCGATGCGCACCCAAAACAAATTGGGGTGCTAGATCAGGAAACAGGTAGGTTCTAACAGTGCGGTCTATGCGGAAGAGTAAGTAGAAAATTAAGAACACATGAATTACAGCGAACCTTTCGAACAAGAAACAAGGCGTTTATCATCAAACCTCACGCAAAGCACGCTATCCTCGTGGTCAGAGATGACTTTGACTACCTTGTTCTTCTCTAGGTCCCACACGACAATCTTACGGTCACTACCCGCACTAGCGAGAACCCCATTATGCACACAGATGCTCAGAACGGAGCTCAGATGAATTCCACTGATAACTCTTTCCACAAGCCCGGTAGACAGATTCCATTCCCGTACTGTCTTGTCTCGTGAGCCAGTGAACAGCACCTGAACACCAGACGAAGGATAGGTGTAGAGTTGAAGACAGTAAATCGTGTTCGTATGCGAGTTAGTGGGTGCACCTCGGGTTTGGAGTGCGGATAATCTATAAGAGGAAGTAAGAATGCGTTTTTGAAGTTTGATGCGAGTTTGATGAAGTAATTTGTAATTTGGTTTTGGTGATGAGGAGAGTGATCCTAGCGAACCAAGAAGCGAAGGGGCAGAATGACGAGTTCCTGCTCGAGGTCGCGCATTGTTCACTCGCTTCGTTGAAGAAGAATTCGAATTATTGCCAGAAGGATAAACGCTGGCCCGAGGAGGGATATTTGAAGAAGATGAAGCAATAAGTTGCGAGACACCCGCAAACGACATAGATGCAAACCCTGAATCCAGCTCTGCATGCATTATCGTCAACTCAGCTTTAGCAGCATCAAGTTCGCTCATCATGAGCGTATCGGCAACTTCCTCCTCTTCCGCTTCTTCATCGGAATCCCCCATGCCTTCGTCATCAGAATTATTCCAGGCATCTTGAGATGCACCCAATCCGGAATGAGTGAAGGCTGGAGGAAACTTGTATGACGGCTGCCGCCATGACCACCCACGAACATCGCAGAGGTCCTTCCAGAGAGATTGATCGTTAGAAAGGACGTGCCAGCGCCGACAAACGAGAGCACTGGTGAGCAATGCTGGGAAGGGAAGGTACGAAAATATCTGTAGGGATACTTCTGCTGGTAAGGACTACGCGAAGATAGATGAATGCCAGTCAGACGGATAATGTTTTGAGTTTCGAAGTAGCAGGAAGCTCACCCCAACAACATCGAACTGTAATAATGGTGCCAGTCGCCTTTGTATGGTGGCGAGACGAGCTCTGGGTAAAGAAGCTAAGATTTGATAGGCCAATTCTGGAGAACTTTCTCTCAAAACTTGATACACCTCAAATACAAATTTCATTACCTTCGCACTCCTGCACAGAGCCAAACCCTGAAAGAAGGTCAACACTTGAAGGTTTACTGGGCGTAGGAGGATATTGGTTCAAAATCAAGACATCTTCGTCGTTGTACCCTTCGTCAAAGAGGTGTTGAGCGTTCATATAGAGCATACGCGAGCGTCCTTAAGTGGCAAGGGTCCTTGAATAAGAAGTGCGAGTTGGTAGAGAACTTTGGGGCAACGGTTGAGGATAGTTGTCGTCGCCGTTGCACTCACGGCAGTGTAACTAAGTTGTTAAGCGCCAGTCGTCGGGATCAAATGGACACGTGCAAAAATCGCTGATCATCGTTCTTACTTCTGATCCAAAGGCCTAAAGCACTTTCACTTTTAACTTTTATATCGCTCAAGGCATACTGGGATCAGACTGGAATACAGCAATCAAGTTCACAACGCAGCACTAATTTTTGGACTAAAATTTCATACAATTTAGATGACTTCTGCCGCACACCCCATTTAAGCAATCCTCTATTAACCTGCAGAGAAGCGCCATCCTACCGCAGTCGGCATATAGGTCTATGTTTTGGTCAAAGGACGCTGCCCAAGCTGGATACCAGCAGGAAATGGCACGAGGAGACCAGGATGGTAAGAATAAACAGGGCAGGAAAAGGAGTGTTAGTGAAATGTCAAGGAAAAATATTAGTAGAAAATAAGATAGAGTAAAAGTAGGGTAAATGATCCACCATCCGTTATGCACGCTTCCCAACCAACGGTGGAATTTCAGAGAAATAGGGTATGGCAAGTGCCGCAACAACCACCATGACGGTGATCGCGCCTGCAACAAGACAAGATGTCGTACTAGAAGTGTGAGGAGTTGAAACAAGGTTTTCCCGTTTGGTTTTTGCCGAAGGAGACGAGGAATGATATGAAGGAGGAGATGGGAACAGTCGGACGTACCCAATGGATTTAAAACCATGGATGCTACGGATTAACATTCATGAATATCTGAGTATGTCGGGTGAAAACAGGCTACTGACTAATATCCTTCTAGATTTTTCTTGATTTCATCTTCCATACCAAGAGGCACTCCAGCGAGCGATAGCGTAATCTTAGTAGAGTCTGAAGATTGTGCTAGGGTGGTCGTCAATGTGCCGGTGTGTCCTGAAAGAATTAAAACGATAAAGCGTTCAAATCAACGTTAGTTCACCGAATACTTCTTGAATCAAGACTCCCCACCAGATGGCCACGTTGGACTTTGTAGGGCCCACGTCTGGACAATCTTAGTTGGAGCATCAAGAGACATATACTTTCCCTTGACCCCTCCGCCAAAGAGTGAATAGTCTGTGTCGGGCTTCGCTGCGGACTGTAACAAGCAATCAATAAGCAGTAAAAAAGACATATGCAAACTGTTTACCTGAGCAGGAGCCCTCGTCCATGCTGGAATCCTTTTCTCGTCCGTAAGCAGACTAAACAGGTCATCCGCCGCAGCCATGAACGAGGCATCCACAGTGACCGTGGCGGAGTTGACAGACACCTTCTTTGCCTCTTTCTTGACGGCAGGAACGACAGAGGGAGTTGCTGACGCCACCGTCGCCGCAGAGGTCGTGGAAGCCGCAGATGCAGGAGCAGGTGTTCCGGATCGACTGGGGTCGGCGCTGACTGTTAGATCTTTGCCGTGAGTTTCAATCAACGCAGCGGGGAAACGACTGAAGATTTCTTCGAGGAGAGGTGGAGCACGCGTCTTTGCCATTGCTACCAAAGCCTCAGCAGCAGCGGAGGCGCCGGAAGTGATGGACCAGAAGTACTAGTTCATGCCGAGTTAAGTTATTAAACAGCAACGACGGGATCTGACGGCCTTACCTGATGATCAGAAGACTTATCGAGGGTGGTTTCATGGGAGACTTCTGGAATATCCAGATGCCCAGTAACTTCAGAGCCGTCACTGGCTTTCCCTGACCATTCGAGGTTGACCTTACAGTCATAGATAGTAATCAGTCTCGATAAATATAATCAGTATAAGTAGTTGGATGTGTACGATATAAGTATACAAAACTCACTTGGATTTTCTCTGGCCAAGTTCGACATCTCCTTCAAACTCATATATACTGGTGATGGTTAACTCTTCGCCCTCTTTATCTCCCTTCACACTCAGGTTTTCCAATTCCTTGGTGAACCAATTTCTGCCCCATTGAGTGACATTCTTGTTCTTCCAGTGCCAGTTTGCGGTCGATGGTGGGAGTGCCATTGGAGGTATAAAAACACGCGCAAGACAGAGAGCGAGAACGGAGAAAGTAGGTCAAGAGTAGATGGCAAGAAGGAGCCTTTTTGAACAACGAAAGAAATCGATGGAAAGAGACAGAAAAACGCGTAAAGTGGAAGTTTCCAGAAGTGCCATATAAGGCGCTAATTAATGGGCGCTTGTGCTGAAGACAGGAATTGGCAACGTCAACCGCGGCCTCAAGACATTAAATCGTCAACGCGCATTATACTACTCTTTCCTGCGCGATGCTTGAGAGGAGATATAGGGAGATATGCCATTGCTCCTGTTAACTCCACCGTGACTCGGACACTGAACAAGGTTACTTCAAATCCAAAGGATACCAGAATCTAGAAATTGTAACTCGGCAGTTCCATATCTCCTTGTGTGTGCATCCTAAGAAAGACTGCTTCCGTTGGACATGAAGAGTTGACGATTCCAGCGCGAGTCTTCATCTAGTCCACATCTTCCTTCACTTACTATTGCGCATTTACGTGTCGCGACTGGTATAAGATTCGACATGGCGTTGTGTCTGCGGCGGAGTATATCAAGTGAGTTAATCAAAATTCTACCTATAAACACTGTAATTGTAAGTTAACTATTCTAGAGCAACTACTCGCTACTTGCGGTGGTTGATTGACCATCTATTGTGCCGTACGTATATCTATCTCTGATCTCAGCGTCACTTAGACTATGTCTGGAACACTCCATGTAGGTTTTTATTTCTTTCTCTCATCGCGACCTGATGCGATTATATTCGCAACTTAAATACTCAATTTCAACGCATAACAACGGTTTTGTCCTCGGAATTTGTACCGTGCTTATAAAAGAAACAGGCTGGTGCTATACAAACTTTCCTCTCAAACCCAGGGTTGTATGTCGGGAAGATCCTTGGCCCTGCCACCTTTGCCTTTCCCTTTTGTGACCTCAGACGAAGACTGCGTAACTCCTGCTACAGAATATGTTCCTACAATTGCCCAGTGCACCTACAGTATTCGCTCGTGATTATCAAGGAGCGCAGTTGATGATATTCAGAGATTATCTGAGGTATACTGAGAACGAAGGTTTGTCTCATTCTGGTTCTGTTGGAGTCCCGCTGGATGTATCCAGCCCTCCGATCCTGACCCTAGTCCTAACCCCGATGATAGAAGTATCGTCCAGCATAAAAAGGAGTAAGGGTTCTACATGTAGTCGCCCTGCACTCACGACCTCAGTCCTAACTCACGCTACGCTCCTACCACCAACGAAACGAAACGCCTCTTCTTCTTCTTTGCACCACATGGTACGAGCCAAGACGAAGACCTTTGCTAGTCCCCGAAATCCCTCTCCAACTACTGCGAACAACTTCATTCTTCCGGATTTGTTATCACACTGCCGTTTTCCCCTCATTTACCATCCCAAGGGGGATGCCGTGGCCGCGGAGTCTGTCCGTTGGCTCGACACTCACTGCCCTGATTTGAGGGAAAAACGCAGGCGAGCTCTATACGGCCTACGAGCAGGAGAACTGACTGCATTCTGCTACAACACCGCGTCCGATGAACGCCTCAGAATAATATCCGATTTCATGAACTATCTCTTCCACTTGTGAGTAATCCTAGTCATGCTTGACACTAACTGTATGCATCGCTTCACCTTCTAGGGACAATATCAGCGATGGGATGATGACCAACGATACTGAGGCTCTATCCGACGCTGTCATGAATGCCTTGCAGTTCACCGACTCGAAGTTTTATTGTCCTACCGCTGAGCTTAATTATGTGCGGCTCGAAGACGAACTGAACGCAGCGAAATTAGCCAGAGAGTAAGTACTCCACTCCGTGCTTCGAATACACGTCCTACTCCGCCTGTTTTTTAAATTCATTCTAACTCAAGCCCTTCTCCGACATGCAGCTTCTGGGGTCGTTGTATACGCGGAGCCAGTTCTGGCTGCCAATCCCGGTTCAAAGATAATCTTGGACTTTTCTTCCAGGCTGTCAGCAATCAAACTAAATCTCGCGATGCTGGAGTTATCCCTGATCTAGAGTCATACATCGAGATACGAAGGAATACTTCTGGTTTGTCTTCTTTCATATCGTTATCTTAGTTTACTCACAGGTTGGGCTTTGTGTTCAGGTTGCAAGCCTTGTTGGGCTCTCATAGAGTGAGTCAGATTGTACTTGTCGATTTTCAATAGCGCTGGACAAAATATGATTCAGATATGCTCTCGACATCGACCTTCCAGATTTCGTGGTTGAAGACCCTATCATCATAGCTCTGAACCAAACGACTAATGATCTTGTTACTTGGTCTAACGTGAGGTTCTTTTAACGTGTAATATTGTGCGTCTCCTTATCTTTATCATTATTTAGGATATCTTCTCTTACAATGTTGAGCAATCTCGAGGTGACACGCACAACATGATCGTTATCCTCATGAAGCATCATGGACACACCCTTCAGGGTGCGGTTGATTACGTCGGGAATCTCTGCTACCAGACCATTGAATATTTCAACGCGAATAGGTCCAAGTTACCATTCTGGGGAGCTGAAGTTGATGATATGGTGCAGCGCTACGTGCAAGGCTTGCAGGACTGGATCATTGGGTATGTGTCTCTATTGGAGTCTCTCCCTCGTGGTGCACCATTCACAGAACGCAAATCTGACACAGGTCGCTTCATTGGAGCTTTTTGACGACACGATACTTTGGAGAAGAGGGTCAAGATGTCAGACAGCATAGATTTATTGAGCTTATGCCAATACGGGAGGAGAACAAATGGTAGTACAGTACATCCCATCGCCAAGCAAGGTGAGGTCCACGACAGTGGCGCCTAGTGGTAGTAGTTCCTCTTCATACCGTAGATAAAGCACAATACGCTCGCAAGTAAGTACCCTTTGAAATATGGCCGTTTCAAATGTAAACCTGTTATGTAAGGGCACAAGGCGGCAAAATACGTTGCGGGCGCCAACGACTTTTCGATTTCTTGTCCATCTGTTCAAGTTTCAGATCTCTTTATTCTTTGTCCAAAACACCCTTCTCACCCTCATGCCTGTTTGACCACATGTCTTGGAGATCTTTCTACTTTCTACATCTGCCTGGTGCACTCTTTTTTCTCCCTTTCCTTTTTAATGTCGCGGCAGTCACCGGTGCTGTCAATCGTTCTATCGATGATACCCTAGGGGACTCTGTAACTGGACAGAGGCCGATATTTCTACCTACTACTCCGGGAGTTTGGGAAGATGAGACATGCGCAGGAAAGTTTCTCTCTATCTATCCAAATGTTACTTAAATTTAACAAAATCTTCAACAGGCTGTGCCCTTCAACCACCTATCTCGAGTGCCTTTGGTGGCACGTACACAGCTGCGACTTACAACTCTGGTTTGCAGAATATTTCTATCACGTTTGACTTCACCGGTTCGAGGAAGAATTTTTTCATTTCCTGTTTATCAAACTGATTCGATTTATCATCTTAGGTACTGCCATTTACGTCTACTTCATCCTCGCAAACAATCCTGCTCCTGGGATTACCGCCACCACCGCCGCCAACTTCACTCTTGATGGCTCTCTGGTCGGCACGTTTAATCACTCACCCAATACTAGTACTAGTGCTCCAGATTTTCAATTCAACCAGAGTGCGCTGGCGTTCTCCAAGGATGGCTTGAAAAATATCACGCATCAGATGGTCATTAGCACGTCGGGTCTGAGCGAGGATGTTTGGGTAAATTTTGACTATGCTCTCTACACGTAAGCTTCAGCTCATCAAGTTGAATTACACATTGTCTCAATTGTCATCAGCTTCCAGGACGCTACAACGATTTCCTCGTCAGAATCTCTCTCTTCATCCTCCACGAACAATCTTCCATCAGCTACAGCTTCTACTTCTTCCAATATAGGGATATCATCCTCACAATCTACAGATGCGATGCGCATCGGCGTTATTATCGGGGGAGCAATTGGTGGATTAGTCGTACTTGGTGCATTAATAACAATGCTGTGCATCTGCCATAAACGACGTAGGAGACGGAATCAACAGGGACGAGCCAATATCCATGTTATTAACGATCTCGAATCTGGTTCCAAAGGTTCTGTCGTTGTAGAGCGCAATAAACTCGATCCGCTCAAACGACCCACTACGTCTCTTTCTACTTTGGACTTAAGTTCAGAAACTCAGCACCAAAATGCTTTCGGGTCATTGTTCTCGGTTCACAAGACTGAGATACCCTCAGAGACTGGACTTGCGCTTGCCTCATTCATGAACGACGGTATTGACTCCGCATCAAGACGACACAGCCATTGTATCGAGAACAACGATATTTCTACTTCTGCCCCTGAGTACCAATATCGATCTGTGATATCCACGTTACCCTCTGGGCGAACTGTTATGGCCCCTGGCACAACGCAAGACTTCCTCACTACTCCTCTCTCTTCCTCCGGAAATCTCACCGGGTCTACTTTCTCCAAGTTAACTTCTGCAACTCGAGTCGTTCCGACAGGCAATGCAGCATCTGAGAAATACAAACTACGCCGTATGCGACAACAGGAACTCGAGCAACAGATGCGAGCGATCAACGAGGAAATTGAAGAGCTCAAGAACGAGGCTGCAGAGCGTTCAGACCCTACTTCGACTGGCTTAATGTCTCGAACTAGCGTCCGAAAGAAGAAATCCATCAGAAAAGGGAGAAACACTGATGAGAATACGGACTCTGTCGCGCAGCTGAAAGCACAAATTCGGGAGATGTCAGAGGAGATTTTATCATTGCAGTCTCAACAAAACTCGGCCTGGGCACAGGGCCTCAGCGACGAACCGCCGCCGGGATATTCTCCTCGCCTTGTGGTTGCAAACATCAACTCGGATGAATAAGTGCTCGGGGCAGGTTTCCTCTGATGTCGCATTGCATGAAGTATTGTAAATGGCTTGTCGGCAATTGGATCTTGAACAGGTATTCTTCAATTGTTATATCATTATTTATGGGGGGGCTGTAGTGAAAGTGTATGAATGGACATCAACTTTGGGGAAGTTGTTATGCAAGAACCTCTTGCGCAAAATGCGTAACGATTCACCTTCTTTCTCAATCTTGAAAATCGAATTGAACACGAACACAGGATTTCTACATGTAGACTGTACAAATTCATGCAATCAGAGCAGTGGAACCTCACCGGCACCTGACAGTTTCGTGGAACTAGAGAACGTTGTACTCAGTAAGCACGTTGATCAAGACCACGCAAATACGAACCCAGAGTGTCATTTCAACCACATATATCGGATGGGGTGGTTCATGGCATTGTTTGATAGCACCCTAAAGCTTCTCTGGTAGACATTGGAGTGCAAAATAATCTTGTCAGTGGGGAAGATATACTTATTTTCCAGAGTTTTACAATTTGAAAAATGTGAGCCAAATATTCGCGAGCGTGAGGAATCCTAGCTGCTCCTGGAAGCATACAATTGGCGACTCGTAGAGAAAAAGGGGATTAGGACCAGGATAGTAAGATAAATTAGTAGGATGCGACCTGAGGCCTGAGGTAGCCTGAGGTCCCGAATGGAGAAAAAAGCGAAACGACAAGAATCATTCTGTCGCGTGACTCAAACACTACCTATGCCCTTATAATGACATTGAATACTGACGTTCAGTCGAATTGGACTAATGATCCTCGAGCGTATGGTCTAGGTGACTGGACAGATGATCCCAGAGCATACGGCCTAGGATATTCCAATCCAGATATTGATATCCCGCTGGAGGACCTTGACGAGTTGCAAAGACCTAATACGTCTTCTCAATCTGGACAATTAATTTCCCTCGCAGATTCTGTATCCAGCGACTCAAAAGGAATGCCACCAAAAGGAAAGGCTGCTCCTGCGGGGCTCGTCGAAGAAGAGCAGCATGACGAAGAACCTTCCAGCTGTGGGGCTGCCTCGTCACCCTTGCCAGCGGTTTTGGATGCATCTACACCATCCGGAAGCCAAAAATTTCCTCTTTCACCCCCGATCCTTCCGGTGACCATCCACCCTTTAGATGCTTCCTCTCCTACGATTAGTATTGCCGACGAGGACGAATTTCCCCATCCATCTCAGCTCACACAGATGGCTCGAGCAATGAGACCAACACCAACACCGAAACCGAAGACGCAGAGGGATAAAGCTGACAGAGAGGATCAGCCAATTGAAATACTTGACGATGTAGAAAGCGACGTGAGCTTATTTCCACGGATCAAACTTGTGTTCTCATTGTCCTTTTCATTTAGGATTCTACAAAGTCCGCGAAGTTCCAAGGGAAGCAGCGCGAACAGTACCATTCCCTGGCCGGTGCTGGACCCAGTACACTAGCCTTTGCGAAGCGCAAATGGGATAAATCGATATCGTCCTCTCCGTCTACCGCGAGGCCAAAACAGCGACTCAAAAACTCCTATGACCCAGGAAACGAAGAAAATGAGAGTTCGTCTGGTTCTCGCTCTAGAACATCCTCGGACTTTCTCAGATATCACTTTCACGATTCATTCCTGTATTTGGATGCCAGTGTCATCGTCCGCATCGGATTAACACAGTTCAAACTGCATCGTACATTACTAGCGGAACACGGAGTGTGGTTCACGGAGCGTTTTCAAAATGACCCAGATGACAGGTTCGGGGAACTCCCGGTGTACATACTAGATGGTGTTATTGAAGAGCCTGATTTTGTGAACTTGTTGACAGCAGTGAAGGAAGCTATGTACGTGCGCTGTTTCTGAGTTGCATGACCGATATCTCAAACATGATTTTACGTTGCCACAGCACATATATAGATGACCCCCCGGATTTACAAACCCTCGTCTCCATCTTTCGAGCCGCACATAAGCTCAAATGTACCAGATTCGAGAAATGGATAAAATCCCTGTTGGAGAAAATGTGGCCCGCGCAATTAGATCCTCTGGATACAACATCAATACCTGCAGAGCCAACACCAGACCGCAACAAAACGCGCTTATCTACACGTTTGTCCCCTAGTGAGGCTACCGCGGTTGTATTGCTTGCCCGCGAATGTGGTCTTCAGAGTGTTCTAAAACGCGCACTCTATGAACTCGTACGAACAGATGGTTTTGGGCAAACTTTGGGTAGTTCTAGTTCTACATCGGTTTCAGGTCCCTGTGATCAACTCTCGGCCGAGGATCATCGTCTGCTCGTGAAAGCACGAGAAAGGCTGATCGCCTTGTGGATGTCGGTTGCAGCACCATCTTTTCCCCCCTGTCCGCTTGCTGATATTCGAGTCAATGATACGCGCCCAGCATGTACAGCATGTGATCCCGTCCAGGATACTAGTGTTTACAGCAACGTGTTGCATGGCATTCCGTCTGTTTCTCAACCGGATACAGAAATTCCGAAGTCCTTATTCATGACTTATACCAATGATCCTCTTTGTGGGCTCGAGAAGCTGGTAAAATTACCTTGGGAAGCGCCCAATACTTCAGACGTTCCAGAGGGTAAGGGCTTAGATTATTGCCATTCCTGCGCTAAGGTACGGAGGGTGTTCTGGGAGACACGTAGGAAAGAATGGTGGGATGTCTTCGGACAAGTAGTGGGTTGCTGAATACTTTAATATGGATACATAACTCTCATCCCTTTTTGTGAACTATACCCTATATTGTATCTAATAATCGAAAACTTGCAAGTGCATATTTTCCATATCACATCTGTATGTGCATATCTGATGCGATGCAGAGAGAAATAAAATACTAAACGAGTTTTCTCTCAATGACCATTTCTTCTTATCAGATTTTTATTTGGAATTGCCCAGTTAGTTCGATCTACGGTCTCTAAACTAAATGAATACATAATGATTGTACGGTTGAAGGTAGATACGAAGCAAGCACCGATATGGGAAAGCGCTCATGCAGCAGAATGTATAATATGCCGGTGCTCCAGTGAGGGAAGACTAACGAGTGATAGCAGTAAAGAAATAGGATGGATACAGGTGAAATGGATACACTGCGTGCTTAAAACAAAAACAAAGCGGAAAAACTATGCAAGAAGTAACATGCGGATAGATGAGATATAATTAGATCATGCGAATCCCAGCCAAGTATATACGGCGGGAGTAGATAAATGGCACAGTCCTTAGGCTACTCGCTCGTGCGGTTTTTCTTAGTAAAACCTCGCTTCAGCGAGAATAACCTCGACCGCTTGCCCTTCTTTTCGCCATCCTCTGTTAAATTTCGGCTGCTAAATCGTTCCGAAAGATTTGTTTGTATTCTCCTGATAGCTACACCATCATCCTCTGCGGCAAAGTCAAAACCACGATCCACAGAGACGAGTCCTGTGGACATATCCGTTCTACTTGCAGACCTGAAATCCACTGAAGGTCTTGGTCTACCTCCTGAAAGATCTAAGCTTGCAACGCTGCTAACCCTCGACGAATGCCGGGAAACATGTTCAGCAAGGGAGTCGTCCATACGAGACGTACGTCGGCGTTGTTTCATTTCAGTGAGCCCAATACCAAGGTTAGATTGCTGATGGTCGTAATGTTTGAAGTCGAAATAAGGATTTTCTTTCTTAATCCACCGCACAATATCTATGTCGCTCGGGAAAAAGCTTGCCTTGTATGCCTTGGCGAGGTAGCGAGGTGCAAGGGCGAGGAAAAAGGTGATAATCAGCCCGAACCAAAAGTAAGGAGAGGCACCCAGGAAGTAGTAGAAGCCCCACAGGTTTGTGAACTCGTAGCCCGGCGACAACGCAGAATAAATAAACTGTTTGAAAAGAACATGATGAGTGTCGTGCGGTCAAATGTCAGCATTGATGCTCACTGTAAAAGCCCAAACTACAACAATACCGATGAAGACAAAGAACGCAAGCCACCATGTCCAAGCGGAGGCGCACATTCCAGTGAATATGTCTGCAACGAGGACACCGGATACAGCAGTGACCTGAAAGTGCATTGATGAAGCCAAACGTTTGAACAGGCGCCATTGAAAAACCTACCGTAGACCACTCATACTGATCCACGCTATATCCATCATGACGAGCAGAGGTTGTCTCATATGCGAACATAATGAAGAAATAGATAATGACAGACTAATGTGACGTTTAGAGCGGGTGCACAAGATATGAGACTGCGAGGCTTACTTGATAAATACCATCAAGCATATATATGAAGAAATCCCGCCACGAAAACCAATACTTTTCACGGCCATAATGATACAGCTCCGGTAAGTCCATGAGGATTTGAGAGTCTGCAAAAATCGCATAAAAATCGCGTCGTATGATAAGCGTGCAGGGAGGAGAACTTACCGAGTACTCGGTCGAACAAGCCAACCCCAACAACAGGGGCAATAGTCCATAGGGAGTTCCAGAAGAGAATGTACGTATAGTCCATGACACTGCGGGTAAATGAGTTTAACTACCGATCCATAGGATATGCACTTACAATGTGGCACTCCACGCACAATAAATCTGAAACCACCATAAGATACCTGTTGGGACGACGTTCTTGTAGAAGAAGTTAAGAATCCTGGAGCGGAATTAGCATGTATACCAAATTCATTCTACACGTTACTAACATGATTCCGTTGCGAGCATATGACCAATGACCGTGAACCAGAAGCAACTTCTTCAAGAAACGGAACTACAGGAAAAACGTCAGTGGAGTACAGTTTCTTTCAAAGCAAACAACAGACTTGAGCGATAGCGTAGTCAGACGAATTGACAGCTTGAAGACCTTCTTCACCGGAGATACCAACCCCAACATCTGCAGCCTGAATCATACTGACATCGTTTGCGCCATCTCCAATGGCTAACGTCATCGCCTTGAGACCATCCTTGACCAATCTAACCACGAGAGCTTTCTGCAGCGGAGAAACTCGACAGCAAATCACGCCTTCGCAAAGGGTACCGAGTTTGAGCAAAATGGCCTTCGTTTCCTCTGATTCGAATGCCTGCGAGCACAAACAAAACAGAAAATGAGCAAAACCCTTCCTTCGTAAATCCCAAAAAACGGACATGTAGTAAAGCGGCACCATCAACTACGAGCACAAAACCTCCAGGTCGATCTCCGTTATCACCACCAACGATAGATGAGACGTTCGTATCCGCACGAGTCAGAGGATGCATCCTTGAAGGAGTCGACGGGCGGGAAGGTGGTCTTTCTTGCATTTGATGTTCAGAAAAGAATCTTTCCAACGCATTGCTTATTTGTTGGTGCACAGGCTTCGAGTTTCCTCGAACGATGATAATGTTTGAATCGTGTCCGATGAGATTGGTACTGCGTCCGATAGCTAAACACGAAAATCTAGAATCTGCTACAACCAGGTAGGAAATACACGTACCAATAGCAGTCTCGAGCTTGTCACCGGTGGCAACCCATATCTTAATGCCAGCACGTTTAAGATCAGCAATGGCTTCTGGTACTCCATCCTGCAGACGATCTTCTATAGCCGTAGCACCAAGCAACCGAAGCCCCTGCTCCATCTCATCGGAAACAATTTCGACTTTTTCTTCACGGTTATCTATAGCAATCAAAGCATCTTGATATCGATGGCTCCATGATTGATATTCATCCTCTGATCGCGAAAATATATCATGAGCGATCTAAAATCCCAGAACAAGGCAGAGCTCATAACATACCTCCGATGGTTTTATATGCCAAAGTCAGTGTCCTCAATCCCTCATTAGCGAACTCGGACAAATGCCTCTCCGTTTCCGCCTTCAAATCTTCATTACCCTTCCTTAACCTCTCGAAGATCACATTATCCGCTCCCTTACTCAACAGGAATATCCTGCCCTCTCCTTCACCTTCTCTGCCTTCCTCGTCCATCTTGCGCACAATGACACTCATCCTCTTCCTGGCGCTCGAAAACTCTAATATATGCAGTAATTCGTAGCGTTCAGCAATTTCAGACCCGGGTGTACGGATAGACAGAATTTCCTTGTCGCGACCAAGAAAGACGTAGCCGACGTCAGCCGCAGCTTGGACTAACGCAGCTTCATCGGGTGATTGCGCTTTGTATTCGATTTCACGCGTGAGCGGGTCGACAGAAGTTAAGACAGTGTGGCATAGACCTAGAACTGAGAAAAATCCGTTGAGAGCTCGTGCGCGCGCAGCTTCAGTACCAGCGGGTTCGTCCTCCGTACAGGCAAGTGCAATGTCGGAGGTGAGTACGGCGTCACGAAAGCGAGGATTAGTGGTCTTTGTTCGAGGTGTTGACGATGAGTTAGACAGATTTAGTCGAGAACTAGTGGCGTCGGTGAAGTCACCAGAAGGCACAGGTCGAGTTGTGGTATTATGCTGTAATTCCTTCTCTAATTCGATAGAGTCCGATATTTTGTTAGGCTGTATATCGTCATCACCATCTGTGAGGACTTCTGGGTCACCGCGGTAGGCTTTACCTCCAATGGAACATTGTCGGAAAACCATGGAGTTCTTTGTGAAAGATGTAAATAAACTGATTCTCTTTGACAATTTTCATGGATATACCTGAGTCAATGTGCCAGTTTTGTCCGAGAAAATATACTCGATTTGACCTAGATCATCCGATAGATTCCAACTTCTTGCTTGCGTAGCTTGAGGAGGTTGGCCGGGTCTGTCATATGCAATATCCTTGTCAAAGTATATGAATATTGCCTGTATGGTACGGACGACTTCGATGGAGAGATAGAGAGAGATGGGGACTAAATCTTGGAACCTGGAAAAGACAAGTTGGGATAAACCTGTTTGTTTGTCGAGCAGGGAATAGACACATACGTTAGTAGCGCAAAAGCCCAAGTGATACCGCCATTTGCACTGGGATTGTCATCCGGATGATCATCGCTATATAACCACGGCGCGTTTAGAGGTACGTATTCTTTTTCCAAGACCGAGTCGACAATGGCACAGACGACAGCCATTACAGCAATAAGCGCGAGATTAATGAGGCTGTATAGAACGGCGATCAGTTGAAATGCCGGAGATAAACGACAAAGGGGGCGAGAGCGGGGAGATAAGAAGGGAAGAAAGCAGATGACCGAAACACTCACACTTGAGGATTCATTTGTCTCTCCACGCGGCTTCGCTTACTCGGCGTCTTACCAGCGTTCATAACAATCTTTGTATCCTCCCCAGTAAACAAAACAACACCAATCACCCAGTCCGTGTTCTTCAATACTGTGCCTCTCAGTAACACCGTCTGCAAGTCAACCGAATACTTGGCCCCGGTCCCGCTGCCATCACCATCATTTTTACCCATCTCAACCATCGCATTAAGCCGATACATGTTTGTCTCTGGCTTGTCACAATTGATCTTGAAAGAATTCTCAGCGCTCGCACAGGCTTCCGGGGAACGCAGATGGGTCAATCCCGGTACAGCATTCCGCGATTTAAGGTTAGTCTCTCCATCCAGATTTTTTGTTTCGATAAAGGCGACGTTTTCGGGATCGGATGTGGCGCATATGAGGATATCGGCAGGAATGGGATGGCCATCAGTTATACGTACAAAGTCGCCTACACGGATGTCTTCCCAAAGTGTAGGTTTCCAGAAAGCTTCATCATCAGAGGAAGAGAAGAACGGGTTGATGAAAGATAAGCGATGGCTATTTCGTCGTCGATTAGATGAAGCCAAGTCGGGAGAAAGGGCGACTGTAGCATCGGGATCTTCATGTGTTACTGGCTTGAATTTGGAAGCTGGATCAGGAGTAGCGGAAGCGGTGGGAGCTCCAGCAGCGGATTTTCTTCTCAGCCTCGGTGTAGGGATAATACCTCTGACGAATGTCCTACTCTTGCCTTGAGTGACATTGGGATTCATCCATTTACTTCCAGCGAGTACATCGACTTCAGTTTGGTTAACTCTTTTGTCGGACTGATGCCGTCGAAAGTCTTCGTAGGCGTCTTTGAGTGCTGTAAGGGCGATAATGATGATCAAAGGAAGAATGACGACTCCGGGCGCTATAGTAGAGAACATCGGGAAAAACTGGAGGATGGCAATTCCCAGGAAGTAACTAGACGGCGGATGAGGTAGATTGTTAGCTTCGGAGTAACATTCATGGACTACCGCGAACAACGGAAGAATGGCGACTCACATATTGGCAACTCTTCTAAACTGTTCCAACAAGTTCCGCGGTAAAAATGTAATGAGGGTATACTTGGACGATATGACCTGGTTGGTAGCATACACATACTGTTTCTTGACCGTGCCGTTATGTTTCTTGGGATCGAAATACTCCGGCGAAAGCTTTTCATTGACGAAGACGGTACGTGGGGGACCTGGTGGCCGTTTGCGAGAGAAGAGATCGTCGACGCTGAAAGAGGTTATTCGGCGAGCAAATGCTTTAAACGCAGAATTGCCGCCCTTCGTCGGACCCGTGGTTTTCATCGTCGTCATCCTATCGGACAATCAAGTCCGAAATTTGCCAAGGAGTAACCGAATGTAAATTGCGAAAAGGAAGAAGAAGGAAGGAGGGAAAAGGGAAACTGCAAGGGGCCGTCGACGTCTCAGTGAGAGTTCTGTACTGAGAGGTAAGGAAAAGCGGCAAGTCGTGGTAAGCCGTAAATCATTTTCGTTTCCGAAACGCAAGCAAGAATTTAATTCCGGATCACCCGAATTTCCTTTCTTGGAAGACATGAATCAGCGGATATGTCAGCGAGGTTTGTCATCGGAAACAATGCGGTTTCCGAATTCGCTCCGGGTAGAAATTGGCTCAGGATTGGCTACAACCACCATTCACGTACCCTCCAGACAGCGACATTGTCATTCCAACCTCTCGAAACTCTCATTGATGAAGCTTCAGACTCGACTTGGATATAGCCCACGGGATTTTAAAGTTCATCTGCCACAGTCTGACACTTTCAGGACTTGCGTTCCCGTTGTTGTTGGTGTTCCATATGCGTTGTTGTGTACCGATTGGTAGTGATGGTCGTCGATGATCATGGGAAGTTGAAAGGAAGCGTACCAAGGAAATCATTCACATGATGCAAGTCATGAATTCTGAAGAAATTTTGCTAGTCTTTTGCTCTCGAACCTGTTAAGCTTACTGCAGTTTTATCCTCAACCACATTGTATCATATCGTAGACGGCTCTTGGTTGTGGTTTTTGAATGAACACTACAAATATTGCCTTAATCTCTAGATCAGACTCAATAAAAAACCCGAAGACTGGTCGGACTCCTGTTACTGTTAGTTCGAATCAGGTTGAACAGCTCTGAATACAATCATAGCCTCTTCCCACATAATATTGTTTGCCTTTCCAATTCAACTCATAGCATGGCAATGTGTGGAGGCACTACCGCTCACTTAGCTGAAAAATAACTTCTACTGCGCTCTATTTGTAAAATTCCATTTATTTGTCCAGCCAGGCCCATACTACAGTCGGGGACAATCAAACCCGACAAGTCTGTAATCAGCCGATAGCGGCCGAACGAGAGTTTTTTGCAGAAAACTGATGGCAGATTCAGATTCAGAACGATGAAATACGTCTAAAAACGCACCTCCGAAGTTTTTCCCACGACGTTTTAGGTACGGCCAATTTTTTGGCAGTTTTCAACGCATCTTTAGACCCCTTTTGACAAGGATTTCCACTGATTTTCAAAAACTTCTGAGGTAAAAGTTGACCCTAAGTGGAGTAGGCGGGAGGGTCGAGCTTGAATTTTGTTTTTGATCATTTTAACACTCGGTCCGGCGGATTCTCAGGGTGATAAGTTCCATGAGAAAATCACATTTTACAGTGTCCATTGTAAATTCCATTCAGTAGCACAGTGTCTCAGCCTCAGCATCAAGTAAGTACACCATAGTAGACAAGAAATTGAGCCTTTGAGGCCAATGTGCTACTCTTTAATGGGGAATCTAGTAATATTGCATCATACAAAGTCTGAATGGAATTCTGGTAGGCCTACAGATACATGGCTATTACATAAATAAGTGGAAGCTTGCCAGGGCAACTGACAAGCAACACTAGAGAGAGACTCACAGACAACAGGTAAAGGTGAGTTCAACAATACAATCACAGTTGTCTTATCATCAATTAAGCATTAAGTGCCTACTCTAACAATATCTTTTGCACTTGTTTTTTGTGGATACTACTATCTCATCCTATCCTATCCATGTTAATGTTGGTTAAGAATGCATGGATGCCCGAGTCAAATATCACTGGCAGTTGTACTTATGGAAAAAGAATTTTTATCTTCCTTTCAATATATCTCTCAGTGCGTGATATTGTGATCAGTGGATTGTCTACGTAGATGGTTCATAAAGCTAAGTGTTTGTTCCTCAGTGTTACTAACTATCCTTCTCTTAGACTATTCCTGGGACTCTAATAGTCACAAAGACCATTCTCCCCTAAGCTGATACAGGACCCGACTGGATTCCTTTGCAGGTCCTTGCTTGGACTGAATAACCTTTCTTTAACATCAGTTCAGTTTTGTGACATTTTTGAATTCCAGACTCAAGAAATAACAATAGCCTGAACTTGAGAAAATTGAGTCTGGCATTGTTTACTGAAACACATAGCAATCTTTGGAACTCATACAGTAACACATATTCATAGACCACCCTGTATGGGTAAATCTGGTATATGCTAGACTCTAGTATGTATACTGAGGCTTTTTGTGCTCAGAAAATCGAATTCAATGTGCAGAGTATATATGAATATTTCCAGCATTTTATTGGATATCTGCTGACCTAAGTAAATATGGGGAAAAGAAACAAAGATAGATAAAGTATCTTCCATCAAAGAGGATTGAACTCTAGAAGTTACGAGGCTGTAGTTTACGGAAGTATCATCCTTATATACGGCACTCCATACAAAATTAATTTCTATATATGGTAGGAGTTTCTCCTTATTCGGACAAAAGTAACACTGAGTTGAATTGTATTGATTTTCTTGTGACCGGCATGGGATATCACAAGACTGTGACTCTGTCACAATTATTTTTTCTCGTCATCTGCAAAACCTGGATATTCGGTTAAGGGCTGAGAGCAGATCCCAGTGTTGAAAGCACCGAAAGCAACATGCTCTGGGTGCTTTCACTGCTGGGAAGTGCTCTCAACCGCTTTCAGACCCTTAGCCGAAAATACAGGTTTTGCAGATGGTCTTACTCAGTTATTCCCTAGCTACTGTAGTTTATGTGACTTTGCTTTTATTTTGTTCTCAAAAAACATTCAATGTCGGTGCCTGTAAGGCGCCCCATGTATTTGATTCCATAATATTTAATAACCCTCAAAAAAAGAGCCGAGTTTCTGCCATGCACGGTGGTGCAGTGGCCTGCAATCGCATGTTACAATTAGCCCATATTCATCAATAGATCCAATATTTCCACTGTGGCTTACACTTACCAAGGTCTATAATATACATATCATCTATGTTGTGTTTGCCTGGATTGGAATATTCAGTAGCAGACAAGAGGATTGAGGCATGCCAGGGCAAGCCACTGAACTAAATTTACAGTGGTGGTAAAAGCGGAATTACATACGAGAAATTGCCGGACCGAGTATTCAAATGATCAAAAACAAAATTGAAGCTCGACCCTCCCGCCTACGAGACCCTAAGCTACTTCATTTCATATCTGAGCACTATGGAGGTCACTGAAAGGTATAATAAGGGAACAATTGATTAGAATTTCTGTTAAATTCTACCCACTTCATTTCCCTCTGTATGTCCGAGCTGCTGCAAGCATCACATGACAGAGCATGTGAAGCTTTCCCACCCTTTTGGCAGATGGGAAACTTCATCAAAGCTGTTGTGGCACATGAGGGTCTCGTAGGCGGGAGGGTCGAGCTTCAATTTTGTTTTTGATCATTTGAATACTCGGTCCGGCAATTTCTCATGATCGAGATCATTATTCCTCTCATCTGTGCTTTGTGCTTGTTTCTGTGCTTCTTCGCTCTGCTACGGTCACTCCTAGGCGTATCCGGACCTCCCGCCTCCCGCTTCCTGCCTCGTCGCGACATTAGGTCGAGATCTTCTACTTGTACCATCAGCTTGGTGAGCTGATCTTACAAGGCACCCACCACGTCTACCTTCGGAGTCAACGTCGATTGCTCCAACCACTTTCACGCGCTTGATACTGTAACCAACACCACTTGCTACTGGGACGCTGAAGAAGAAGAGTGGGAACCCTGCTCCAGACAACCGTGCCCTAATCGATACGAGAACACATTTGACGCAAGTCCGACCGACCGTTACCAACCCATCCACAGACCAGCACCACCTGCCAGGGTAGGACGAATCAGTACTCCTACTACTTCCACTCCTGCACCTCCGCTAGCATCTGCGGAACCATTAGCTCCTGCTGTCACTGAGACCACAGCCGACCCCGATATCGAAATACAATCAATCCCTGAAGAAGACATGTCCTCAGCACAGGACGTTCGAGACGCTATTACAGAGCTTACAAAAAACCAGGCTAAGCTCCAAGACGTGGTCTCTGAGCTAGTAAGTGGCCTCAGCACTACCAAAAGTGTTGGCAAGCCACAGAACTACAATGGAAAGCGAGGAGAAGATGCCCGGCGCTTCCTAGCCGCCTTTGAGCTGTGGGCCAACTCTATCCCTGCTCTCTCCACGGATCGTAAAAAGAAAATCACATCCGCCATTACATACCTTGAGGGGGATGCAGCTATCTGGGCCACTCCTATCTCCGAAACAATTAATAGATCAAGTATAACTGGCTCAGGAGTACCTTTCCCATACGATACATGGGAAGAATTTGTTACAGCTTTCAAAACACGTTTTGAGACCACAGATGCCTCGGCCGATGCCAAGCAGCTCCTTAAACGGCTCTACCAGAATAGGACCACGGTGGGAACCTATGCCTCTACCTTCCAACAGTACGCAGACCGCACTGGCTACTCAGACAAAGACTTACGAGACCGGTTCTACGATCACCTTGCAGATTGAGTAAAAGATGGTCTTGTATTCACAACCCGCCCCACTGGCTCCCTTCAGGAACTGATTGAAGCAGCCATCGACGTAGACAACTGACAAATTACTCGAGCGTGGGAGCAAGGAAAGAAACTGGTCGATGATGGAATCCTGACCAACTTTAGACCCGCCACTGTTGCGACCCCATTCACTGCGCCTACTCGAGACCCAAATGCTATGGACATTGATGCCACCACCACTCGATCTCCTGATGCCTTTCGTCGCTTCATGATAGGACGATGCTATGGATGTGGATCTAAGGAACATCGCAAGGCCGATGGCCACCATGAGCGAGACATCTGTCGACACTGTGGCCTCAATGGCCATGTAGAGGCTGTATGCCGTCGTAAGTTCTTAGGACTCCCTGGAAGGAAGGCTACTACCATTAGTGCTACCAGCATTCCGGATACAACTCAGTCTGCCGCTCCCGGTACCATCATTGCTGCTACACCAGATCTTGCCGCGCTACTAAAGGAACTTGCAGCCAACCAGCAAGTTCTTGCTGGGCAAATTGCCGAATTACACAAGAATTTTTAAATTGGGAACCCGCCACCGCTGCAGCGTCGTTCCCCAAGTCGTACTCAAGATCTCCACCGTCTGTATATGCCTCTATCACCTCCTGTACTATTAGCGCACTAGAATTCAATGATATATCCCATTTCCGTGTGCCCATAGAGCTTAAAGGACGATTCCGGAGTACAACAAGTGCAGCTATGATTG